AGGCCTACGAAGGAGTGTCAAGGCCTACGAAGGAGTGTCAAGGCTCACGAAGGAGTGTCAAGGCCTACGAAGGAGTGTCAAGGCTCACGAAGGAGCGCCAAGGCCTACGTAGGAGTGTCAAGGCTCACGAAGGAGTGTCAAGGCCTACGAAGGAGTGTCAAGGCTCACGAAGGAGTGTCAAGGCCTACGAAGGAGTGTCAAGGCTCATGAAGGAGTGTTAAGGCTCACGAAGGAGTGTCAAGGCCTACGAAGGAGTGTCAAGGCTCACGAAGGAGTGTCAAGGCTCACAAAGGAGTGTCAAGGCTCACGAAGGAGTGTCAAGGCCTACGAAGGAGTGTCAAGGCTCACGAAGGAGTGTCAAGGCCTACGAAGGAGTGTCAAGGCTCACGAAGGAGTGTCAAGGCTCACGAAGGAGTGTCAAGGCTCACGAAGGAGTGCCAAGGCCTACGAAGGAGTGTCAAGGCTCACGAAGGAGTGTCAAAGCCTACGAAGGAGTGTCAAGGCTCACGAAGGAGTGTCAAGGCCTACGAAGGAGTGTCAAGGCTCATGAAGGAGTGTTAAGGCTCACGAAGGAGTGTCAAGGCCTACGAAGGAGTGTCAAGGCCTACGAAGGAGTGTCAAGGCTCACGAAGGAGTGTCAAGGCCTACGAAGGAGTGTCAAGGCTCACGAAGGAGTGTCAAGGCCTACGAAGGAGTGTCAAGGCTCACGAAGGAGTGTCAAGGCCTACGAAGGAGTGTCAAGGCCTACGAAGGAGTGTCAAGGCTCACGAAGGAGTGTCAAGGCTCACGAAGGAGTGTCAAGGCTCACGAAGGAGTGTCAAGGCCTACGAAGGAGTGTCAAGGCTCACGAAGGAGTGTCAAGGCTCACGAAGGAGTGTCAAGGCTCACGAAGGAGTGCCAAGGCCTACGAAGGAGTGTCAAGGCTCATGAAGGAGTGTTAAGGCTCACGAAGGAGTGTCAAGGCCTACGAAGGAGTGTCAAGGCCTACGAAGGAGTGTCAAGGCTCACGAAGGAGTGTCAAGGCTCACAAAGGAGTGTCAAGGCTAACGAAGAAGTGTCAAGGCCTACGAAGGAGTGTCAAGGCTCACGAAGGAGTGTCAAGGCCTACGAAGGAGTGTCAAGGCTCACGAAGGAGTGTCAAGGCCTACGAAGGAGTGTCAAGGCTCACGAAGGAGTGTCAAGGCCTACGAAGGAGTGTCAAGGCTCACGAAGGAGTGTCAAGGCCTACGAGGGAGTGTCAAGGCTCACGAAGGAGTGTCAAGGCCTACGAAGGAGTGTCAAGGCTCACGAAGGAGTGTCAAGGCCTACGAAGGAGTGTCAAGGCTCACGAAGGAGTGTCAAGGCTCACGAAGGAGTGTCAAGGCTCACGAAGGAGTGCCAATGCTCTCGAAAGAGTGTCAAGGCCTACGAAGGAGAGTTAAGACCTACGAAGGAGTGTCAAGGCTCACGAAGGAGTGTCAAGGCCTACGAAGGAGTGTCAAGGCTCACGAAGGAGTGTCAAGGCCTACGAAGGAGTGTCAAGGCTCACGAAAGAGTGTCAAGACCTACGAAGGAGTGTCAAGGCTCACGAAGGAGTGTCAAGGCTCAAGAAGGAGTGTCAAGGCCTACGAAGGAGTGTCAAGGCTCACGAAGGAGTGTCAAGGCTCACGAAGGAGTGTCAAGGCCTACGAAGGAGTGTCAAGGCTCACGAAGGAGTGTCAAGGCCTACGAAGGAGCGTCAAGGCTCACGAAGGAGTGTCAAGGCCTACGAAGGAGTGTCAAGGCCTACGAAGGAGTGTAAAGGCTCACGAAGGAGTGTCAAAGCCTACGAAGGAGTGTCAAGGCCTACGAAGGAGTGTCAAGGCTCACGAAGGAGTGTCAAGGCCTACGAAGGAGTGTCAAGGCTCACGAAGGAGCGCCAAGGCCTACGAAGGAGTGTCAAGGCTCACGAAGGAGTGTCAAGGCCTACGAAGGAGTGTCAAGGCTCACGAAGGAGTGTCAAGGCCTACGAAGGAGTGTCAAGGCTCATGAAGGAGTGTTAAGGCTCACGAAGGAGTGTCAAGGCCTACGAAGGAGTGTCAAGGCTCACGAAGGAGTGTCAAGGCTCACAAAGGAGTGTCAAGGCTCACGAAGGAGTGTCAAGGCCTACGAAGGAGTGTCAAGGCTCACGAAGGAGTGTCAAGGCCTACGAAGGAGTGTCAAGTCTCACGAAGGAGTGTCAAGGCTCACGAAGGAGTGTCAAGGCTCACGAAGGAGTGCCAAGGCCTACGAAGGAGTGTCAAGGCTCACGAAGGAGTGTCAAAGCCTACGAAGGAGTGTCAAGGCTCACGAAGGAGTGTCAAGGCCTACGAAGGAGTGTCAAGGCTCATGAAGGAGTGTTAAGGCTCACGAAGGAGTGTCAAGGCCTACGAAGGAGTGTCAAGGCTCACGAAGGAGTGTCAAGGCCTACGAAGGAGTGTCAAGGCTCACGAAGGAGTGTCAAGGCCTACGAAGGAGTGTCAAGGCTCACGAAAGAGTGTCAAGACCTACGAAGGAGTGTCAAGGCTCACGAAGGAGTGTCAAGGCTCAAGAAGGAGTGTCAAGGCCTACGAAGGAGTGTCAAGGCTCACGAAGGAGTGTCAAGGCTCACGAAGGAGTGTCAAGGCCTACGAAGGAGTGTCAAGGCTCACGAAGGAGTGTCAAGGCCTACGAAGGAGTGTCAAGGCTCACGAAGGAGTGTCAAGGCCTACGAAGGAGTGTCAAGGCTCATGAAGGAGTGTTAAGGCTCACGAAGGAGTGTCAAGGCCTACGAAGGAGTGTCAAGGCTCACGAAGGAGTGTCAAGGCTCACAAAGGAGTGTCAAGGCTCACGAAGGAGTGTCAAGGCCTACGAAGGAGTGTCAAGGCTCACGAAGGAGTGTCAAGGCCTACGAAGGAGTGTCAAGTCTCACGAAGGAGTGTCAAGGCTCACGAAGGAGTGTCAAGGCTCACGAAGGAGTGCCAAGGCCTACGAAGGAGTGTCAAGGCTCACGAAGGAGTGTCAAAGCCTACGAAGGAGTGTCAAGGCTCACGAAGGAGTGTCAAGGCCTACGAAGGAGTGTCAAGGCTCATGAAGGAGTGTTAAGGCTCACGAAGGAGTGTCAAGGCCTACGAAGGAGTGTCAAGGCTCACGAAGGAGTGTCAAGGCCTACGAAGGAGTGTCAAGGCTCACGAAGGAGTGTCAAGGCCTACGAAGGAGTGTCAAGGCTCACGAAAGAGTGTCAAGACCTACGAAGGAGTGTCAAGGCTCACGAAGGAGTGTCAAGGCTCAAGAAGGAGTGTCAAGGCCTACGAAGGAGTGTCAAGGCTCACGAAGGAGTGTCAAGGCTCACGAAGGAGTGTCAAGGCCTACGAAGGAGTGTCAAGGCTCACGAAGGAGTGTCAAGGCCTACGAAGGAGTGTCAAGGCTCACGAAGGAGTGTCAAGGCCTACGAAGGAGTGTCAAGGCCTACGAAGGAGTGTAAAGGCTCACGAAGGAGTGTCAAGGCCTACGAAGGAGTGTCAAGGCCTACGAAGGAGTGTCAAGGCTCACGAAGGAGTGTCAAGGCCTACGAAGGAGTGTCAAGGCTCACGAAGGAGCGCCAAGGCCTACGAAGGAGTGTCAAGGCTCACGAAGGAGTGTCAAGGCCTACGAAGGAGTGTCAAGGCTCACGAAGGAGTGTCAAGGCCTACGAAGGAGTGTCAAGGCTCATGAAGGAGTGTTAAGGCTCACGAAGGAGTGTCAAGGCCTACGAAGGAGTGTCAAGGCTCACGAAGGAGTGTCAAGGCTCACAAAGGAGTGTCAAGGCTCACGAAGGAGTGTCAAGGCCTACGAAGGAGTGTCAAGTCTCACGAAGGAGTGTCAAGGCTCACGAAGGAGTGTCAAGGCTCACGAAGGAGTGCCAAGGCCTACGAAGGAGTGTCAAGGCTCACGAAGGAGTGTCAAAGCCTACGAAGGAGTGTCAAGGCTCACGAAGGAGTGTCAAGGCCTACGAAGGAGTGTCAAGGCTCATGAAGGAGTGTTAAGGCTCACGAAGGAGTGTCAAGGCCTACGAAGGAGTGTCAAGGCTCACGAAGGAGTGTCAAGGCCTACGAAGGAGTGTCAAGGCTCACGAAGGAGTGTCAAGGCCTACGAAGGAGTGTCAAGGCTCACGAAAGAGTGTCAAGACCTACGAAGGAGTGTCAAGGCTCACGAAGGAGTGTCAAGGCTCAAGAAGGAGTGTCAAGGCCTACGAAGGAGTGTCAAGGCTCACGAAGGAGTGTCAAGGCTCACGAAGGAGTGTCAAGGCCTACGAAGGAGTGTCAAGGCTCACGAAGGAGTGTCAAGGCCTACGAAGGAGTGTCAAGGCTCACGAAGGAGTGTCAAGGCCTACGAAGGAGTGTCAAGGCCTACGAAGGAGTGTAAAGGCTCACGAAGGAGTGTCAAGGCCTACGAAGGAGTGTCAAGGCCTACGAAGGAGTGTCAAGGCTCACGAAGGAGTGTCAAGGCCTACGAAGGAGTGTCAAGGCTCACGAAGGAGCGCCAAGGCCTACGAAGGAGTGTCAAGGCTCACGAAGGAGTGTCAAGGCCTACGAAGGAGTGTCAAGGCTCACGAAGGAGTGTCAAGGCCTACGAAGGAGTGTCAAGGCTCATGAAGGAGTGTTAAGGCTCACGAAGGAGTGTCAAGGCCTACGAAGGAGTGTCAAGGCTCACGAAGGAGTGTCAAGGCTCACAAAGGAGTGTCAAGGCTCACGAAGGAGTGTCAAGGCCTACGAAGGAGTGTCAAGGCTCACGAAGGAGTGTCAAGGCCTACGAAGGAGTGTCAAGGCTCACGAAGGAGTGTCAAGGCTCACGAAGGAGTGTCAAGGCTCATGAAGGAGTGTTAAGGCTCACGAAGGAGTGTCAAGGCCTACGAAGGAGTGTCAAGGCCTACGAAGGAGTGTCAAGGCTCACGAAGGAGTGTCAAGGCTCACAAAGGAGTGTCAAGGCTCACAAAGGAGTGTCAAGGCCTACGAAGGAGTGTCAAGGCTCACGAAGGAGTGCCAATGCTCTCGAAAGAGTGTCAAGGCCTACGAAGGAGAGTTAAGACCTACGAAGGAGTGTCAAGGCTCACGAAGGAGTGTCAAGGCCTACGAAGGAGTGTCAAGGCTCACGAAGGAGTGCCAAGGCCTACGAAGGAGTGTCAAGGCTCACGAAGGAGTGTCAAGGCCTACGAAGGAGTGTCAAGGCTCACGAAAGAGTGTCAAGGCCTACGAAGGAGTGTCAAGGCTCATGAAGGAGTGTTAAGGCTCACGAAGGAGTGTCAAGGCCTACGAAGGAGTGTCAAGGCTCACGAAGGAGTGTCAAGGCCTACGAGGGAGTGTCAAGGCTCACGAAGGAGTGTCAAGGCCTACGAAGGAGTGCCAAGGCCTACGAAGGAGTGTCAAGGCTCACGAAGGAGTGTCAAGGCCTACGAAGGAGTGTCAAGGCTCACGAAGGAGTGTCAAGGCCTACGAAGGAGTGTCAAGGCTCACGAAGGAGTGTCAAGGCCTACGAAGGAGTGTCAAGGCTCACGAAGGAGTGTCAAGGCCTACGAAGGAGTGTCAAGGCTCACGAAGGAGTGTCAAGGCCTACGAAGGAGTGTCAAGGCTCATGAAGGAGTGTTAAGGCTCACGAAGGAGTGTCAAGGCCTACGAAGGAGTGTCAAGGCTCACGAAGGAGTGTCAAGGCTCACAAAGGAGTGTCAAGGCTCACGAAGGAGTGTCAAGGCCTACGAAGGAGTGTCAAGGCTCACGAAGGAGTGTCAAGGCCTACGAAGGAGTGTCAAGTCTCACGAAGGAGTGTCAAGGCTCACGAAGGAGTGTCAAGGCTCACGAAGGAGTGCCAAGGCCTACGAAGGAGTGTCAAGGCTCACGAAGGAGTGTCAAAGCCTACGAAGGAGTGTCAAGGCTCACGAAGGAGTGTCAAGGCCTACGAAGGAGTGTCAAGGCTCATGAAGGAGTGTTAAGGCTCACGAAGGAGTGTCAAGGCCTACGAAGGAGTGTCAAGGCTCACGAAGGAGTGTCAAGGCCTACGAAGGAGTGTCAAGGCTCACGAAGGAGTGTCAAGGCCTACGAAGGAGTGTCAAGGCCTACGAAGGAGTGTAAAGGCTCACGAAGGAGTGTCAAGGCCTACGAAGGAGTGTCAAGGCTCACGAAGGAGTGTCAAGGCCTACGAAGGAGTGTCAAGGCTCATGAAGGAGTGTTAAGGCTCACGAAGGAGTGTCAAGGCCTACGAAGGAGTGTCAAGGCTCACGAAGGAGTGCCAATGCTCTCGAAAGAGTGTCAAGGCTCACGAAGGAGTGTTAAGGCTCACGAAGGAGTGTCAAGGCCTACGAAGGAGTGTCAAGGCCTACGAAGGAGTGTCAAGGCTCATGAAGGAGTGTTAAGGCTCACGAAGGAGTGTCAAGGCCTACGAAGGAGTGTCAAGGCTCACGAAGGAGTGTCAAGGCCTACGAAGGAGTGTCAAGGCTCACGAAGGAGCGCCAAGGCCTACGAAGGAGTGTCAAGGCTCACGAAGGAGTGTCAAGGCCTACGAAGGAGTGTCAAGGCTCATGAAGGAGTGTTAAGGCTCACGAAGGAGTGTCAAGGCCTACGAAGGAGTGTCAAGGCTCACGAAGGAGTGTCAAGGCTCACAAAGGAGTGTCAAGGCTCACGAAGGAGTGCCAAGGCCTACGAAGGAGTGTCAAGGCTCACGAAGGAGTGTCAAGGCCTACGAAGGAGTGTCAAGGCTCACGAAGGAGTGTCAAGGCTCACGAAGGAGTGTCAAGGCTCACGAAGGAGTGCCAAGGCCTACGAAGGAGTGTCAAGGCTCACGAAGGAGTGTCAAGGCCTACGAAGGAGTGTCAAGGCCTACGAAGGAGTGTAAAGGCTCACGAAGGAGTGTCAAGGCCTACGAAGGAGTGTCAAGGCTCACGAAGGAGTGTCAAGGCCTACGAAGGAGTGTCAAGGCTCATGAAGGAGTGTTAAGGCTCACGAAGGAGTGTCAAGGCCTACGAAGGAGTGTCAAGGCTCACGAAGGAGTGTCAAGGCCTACGAAGGAGTGTCAAGGCTCACGAAGGAGTGTCAAGGCTCACGAAGGAGTGTCAAGGCTCACGAAGGAGTGCCAAGGCCTACGAAGGAGTGTCAAGGCTCACGAAGGAGTGTCAAGGCCTACGAAGGAGTGTCAAGGCCTACGAAGGAGTGTAAAGGCTCACGAAGGAGTGTCAAGGCCTACGAAGGAGTGTCAAGGCTCACGAAGGAGTGTCAAGGCCTACGAAGGAGTGTCAAGGCCTACGAAGGAGTGTCAAGGCTCACGAAGGAGTGTCAAGGCTCACAAAGGAGTGTCAAGGCTCACGAAGGAGTGTCAAGGCCTACGAAGGAGTGTCAAGGCTCACGAAGGAGTGCCAATGCTCTCGAAAGAGTGTCAAGGCCTACGAAGGAGAGTTAAGACCTACGAAGGAGTGTCAAGGCTCACGAAGGAGTGTCAAGGCCTACGAAGGAGTGTCAAGGCTCACGAAGGAGTGCCAAGGCCTACGAAGGAGTGTCAAGGCTCACGAAGGAGTGTCAAGGCCTACGAAGGAGTGTCAAGGCTCACGAAAGAGTGTCAAGGCCTACGAAGGAGTGTCAAGGCTCATGAAGGAGTGTTAAGGCTCACGAAGGAGTGTCAAGGCTCATGAAGGAGTGTTAAGGCTCACGAAGGAGTGTCAAGGCCTACGAGGGAGTGTCAAGGCTCACGAAGGAGTGTCAAGGCCTACGAGGGAGTGTCAAGGCTCACGAAGGAGTGTCAAGGCCTACGAAGGAGTGTCAAGGCTCACGAAGGAGTGTCAAGGCTCACGAAGGAGTGTCAAGGCTCACGAAGGAGTGCCAATGCTCTCGAAAGAGTGTCAAGGCTCACGAAGGAGAGTTAAGACCTACGAAGGAGTGTCAAGGCTCACGAAGGAGTGTCAAGGCCTACGAAGGAGTGTCAAGGCTCACGAAAGAGTGTCAAGACCTACGAAGGAGTGTCAAGGCTCACGAAGGAGTGTCAAGGCTCAAGAAGGAGTGTCAAGGCCTACGAAGGAGTGTCAAGGCTCACGAAGGAGTGTCAAGGCTCACGAAGGAGTGTCAAGGCCTACGAAGGAGTGTCAAGGCTCACGAAGGAGTGTCAAGGCCTACGAAGGAGTGTCAAGGCTCACGAAGGAGTGTCAAGGCCTACGAAGGAGTGTCAAGGCCTACGAAGGAGTGTAAAGGCTCACGAAGGAGTTTCAAGGCCTACGAAGGAGTGTCAAGGCTCACGAAGGAGTGTCAAGGCTCACAAAGGAGTGTCAAGGCTCACGAAGGAGTGTCAAGGCTCACGAAGGAGTGTCAAGGCCTACGAAGGAGTGTCAAGGCCTACGAAGGAGTGTCAAGGCTCACGAAGGAGTGTCAAGGCTCACGAAGGAGTGTCAAGGCTCACGAAGGAGTGTCAAGGCTCACGAAGGAGTGTCAAGGCTCACGAAGGAGTGTCAAGGCCTACGAAGGAGTGTCAAGGCCTACGAAGGAGTGTCGAGGCTCACGAAGGAGTGTCAAGGCTCACGAAGGAGTGTCAAGGCTCACGAAGGAGTGTCAAGGCTCACGAAGGAGTGTCAAGGCCTACGAAGGAGTGTCAAGGCCTACGAAGGAGTGTCAAGGCTCACGAAGGAGTGTCAAGGCTCACGAAGGAGTGTCAAGGCTCACGAAGGAGTGTCAAGGCTCACGAAGGAGTGTCAAGGCTCACGAAGGAGTGTCAAGGCCTACGAAGGAGTGTCAAGGCCTACGAAGGAGTGTCAAGGCTCACGAAGGAGTGTCAAGGCTCACGAAGGAGTGTCAAGGCTCACGAAGGAGTGCCAAGGCCTACGAAGGAGTGTCAAGGCTCACGAAGGAGTGTCAAGGCCTACGAAGGAGTGTCAAGGCTCACGAAGGAGTGTCAAGGCTCACGAAGGAGTGCCAATGCTCTCGAAAGAGTGTCAAGGCCTACGAAGGAGAGTTAAGACCTACGAAGGAGTGTCAAGGCTCACGAAGGAGTGTCAAGGCCTACGAAGGAGTGTCAAGGCTCACGAAGGAGTGTCAAGGCCTACGAAGGAGTGTCAAGGCTCACGAAAGAGTGTCAAGACCTACGAAGGAGTGTCAAGGCTCACGAAGGAGTGTCAAGGCTCAAGAAGGAGTGTCAAGGCCTACGAAGGAGTGTCAAGGCTCACGAAGGAGTGTCAAGGCTCACGAAGGAGTGTCAAGGCCTACGAAGGAGTGTCAAGGCTCACGAAGGAGTGTCAAGGCCTACGAAGGAGTGTCAAGGCTCACGAAGGAGTGTCAAGGCCTACGAAGGAGTGTCAAGGCCTACGAAGGAGTGTAAAGGCTCACGAAGGAGTGTCAAGGCCTACGAAGGAGTGTCAAGGCCTACGAAGGAGTGTCAAGGCTCACGAAGGAGTGTCAAGGCCTACGAAGGAGTGTCAAGGCTCACGAAGGAGCGCCAAGGCCTACGAAGGAGTGTCAAGGCTCACGAAGGAGTGTCAAGGCCTACGAAGGAGTGTCAAGGCTCACGAAGGAGTGTCAAGGCCTACGAAGGAGTGTCAAGGCTCATGAAGGAGTGTTAAGGCTCACGAAGGAGTGTCAAGGCCTACGAAGGAGTGTCAAGGCTCACGAAGGAGTGTCAAGGCTCACAAAGGAGTGTCAAGGCTCACGAAGGAGTGTCAAGGCCTACGAAGGAGTGTCAAGGCTCACGAAGGAGTGTCAAGGCCTACGAAGGAGTGTCAAGGCTCACGAAGGAGTGTCAAGGCTCACGAAGGAGTGTCAAGGCTCACGAAGGAGTGCCAAGGCCTACGAAGGAGTGTCAAGGCTCACGAAGGAGTGTCAAGGCCTACGAAGGAGTGTCAAGGCTCACGAAGGAGTGTCAAGGCCTACGAAGGAGTGTCAAGGCCTACGAAGGAGTGTAAAGGCTCACGAAGGAGTGTCAAGGCCTACGAAGGAGTGTCAAGGCTCACGAAGGAGTGTCAAGGCTCACAAAGGAGTGTCAAGGCTCACGAAGGAGTGTCAAGGCTCACGAAGGAGTGTCAAGGCCTACGAAGGAGTGTCAAGGCCTACGAAGGAGTGTCAAGGCTCACGAAGGAGTGTCAAGGCTCACGAAGGAGTGTCAAGGCTCACGAAGGAGTGTCAAGGCTCACGAAGGAGTGTCAAGGCTCACGAAGGAGTGTCAAGGCCTACGAAGGAGTGTCAAGGCCTACGAAGGAGTGTCAAGGCTCACGAAGGAGTGTCAAGGCTCACAAAGGAGTGTCAAGGCTCACGAAGGAGTGTCAAGGCTCACGAAGGAGTGTCAAGGCCTACGAAGGAGTGTCAAGGCCTACGAAGGAGTGTCAAGGCTCACGAAGGAGTGTCAAGGCTCACGAAGGAGTGTCAAGGCTCACGAAGGAGTGTCAAGGCTCACGAAGGAGTGTCAAGGCTCACGAAGGAGTGTCAAGGCCTACGAAGGAGTGTCAAGGCCTACGAAGGAGTGTCAAGGCTCACGAAGGAGTGTCAAGGCTCACGAAGGAGTGTCAAGGCTCACGAAGGAGTGCCAAGGCCTACGAAGGAGTGTCAAGGCTCACGAAGGAGTGTCAAGGCCTACGAAGGAGTGTCAAGGCTCACGAAAGAGTGTCAAGGCCTACGAAGGAGTGTCAAGGCTCATGAAGGAGTGTTAAGGCTCACGAAGGAGTGTCAAGGCCTACGAAGGAGTGTCAAGGCTCACGAAGGAGTGTCAAGGCCTACGAAGGAGTGTCAAGGCTCACGAAGGAGTGTCAAGGCCTACGAAGGAGTGTCAAGGCTCACGAAGGAGTGTCAAGGCTCACGAAGGAGTGTCAAGGCTCACGAAGGAGTGCCAATGCTCTCGAAAGAGTGTCAAGGCCTACGAAGGAGAGTTAAGACCTACGAAGGAGTGTCAAGGCTCACGAAGGAGTGTCAAGGCCTACGAAGGAGTGTCAAGGCTCACGAAGGAGTGTCAAGGCCTACGAAGGAGTGTCAAGGCTCACGAAAGAGTGTCAAGACCTACGAAGGAGTGTCAAGGCTCACGAAGGAGTGTCAAGGCTCAAGAAGGAGTGTCAAGGCCTACGAAGGAGTGTCAAGGCTCACGAAGGAGTGTCAAGGCTCACGAAGGAGTGTCAAGGCCTACGAAGGAGTGTCAAGGCTCACGAAGGAGTGTCAAGGCCTACGAAGGAGTGTCAAGGCTCACGAAGGAGTGTCAAGGCCTACGAAGGAGTGTCAAGGCCTACGAAGGAGTGTAAAGGCTCACGAAGGAGTGTCAAGGCCTACGAAGGAGTGTCAAGGCCTACGAAGGAGTGTCAAAGCTCACGAAGGAGTGTCAAGGCCTACGAAGGAGTGTCAAGGCTCACGAAGGAGCGCCAAGGCCTACGAAGGAGTGTCAAGGCTCACGAAGGAGTGTCAAGGCTCACGAAGGAGTGTCAAGGCTCACGAAGGAGTGCCAATGCTCTCGAAAGAGTGTCAAGGCCTACGAAGGAGAGTTAAGACCTACGAAGGAGTGTCAAGGCTCACGAAGGAGTGTCAAGGCCTACGAAGGAGTGTCAAGGCTCACGAAGGAGTGTCAAGGCCTACGAAGGAGTGTCAAGGCTCACGAAAGAGTGTCAAGACCTACGAAGGAGTGTCAAGGCTCACGAAGGAGTGTCAAGGCTCAAGAAGGAGTGTCAAGGCCTACGAAGGAGTGTCAAGGCTCACGAAGGAGTGTCAAGGCTCACGAAGGAGTGTCAAGGCCTACGAAGGAGTGTCAAGGCTCACGAAGGAGTGTCAAGGCCTACGAAGGAGTGTCAAGGCTCACGAAGGAGTGTCAAGGCCTACGAAGGAGTGTCAAGGCCTACGAAGGAGTGTAAAGGCTCACGAAGGAGTGTCAAGGCCTACGAAGGAGTGTCAAGGCCTACGAAGGAGTGTCAAAGCTCACGAAGGAGTGTCAAGGCCTACGAAGGAGTGTCAAGGCCTACGAAGGAGTGTAAAGGCTCACGAAGGAGTGTCAAGGCCTACGAAGGAGTGTCAAGGCCTACGAAGGAGTGTCAAAGCTCACGAAGGAGTGTCAAGGCCTACGAAGGAGTGTCAAGGCTCACGAAGGAGCGCCAAGGCCTACGAAGGAGTGTCAAGGCTCACGAAGGAGTGTCAAGGCCTACGAAGGAGTGTCAAGGCTCACGAAGGAGTGTCAAGGCCTACGAAGGAGTGTCAAGGCTCATGAAGGAGTGTTAAGGCTCACGAAGGAGTGTCAAGGCCTACGAAGGAGTGTCAAGGCTCACGAAGGAGTGTCAAGGCTCACAAAGGAGTGTCAAGGCTCACGAAGGAGTGTCAAGGCCTACGAAGGAGTGTCAAGGCTCATGAAGGAGTGTCAAGGCCTACGAAGGAGTGTCAAGGCTCACGAAGGAGTGTCAAGGCTCACGAAGGAGTGTCAAGGCTCACGAAGGAGTGCCAAGGCCTACGAAGGAGTGTCAAGGCTCACGAAGGAGTGTCAAAGCCTACGAAGGAGTGTCAAGGCTCACGAAGGAGTGTCAAGGCCTACGAAGGAGTGTCAAGGCTCACGAAGGAGTGTCAAGGCTCACGAAGGAGTGTCAAGGCCTACGAAGGAGTGTCAAGGCTCACGAAGGAGTGTCAAGGCCTACGAAGGAGTGTCAAGGCTCACGAAGGAGTGTCAAGGCCTACGAAGGAGTGTCAAGGCTCACGAAGGAGTGTCAAGGCTCACGAAGGAGTGTCAAGGCCTACGAAGGAGAATCAAGGCCTACGAAGGAGTGTCAAGGCTCACGAAGGAGTGTCAAGGCCTACGAAGGAGTGTCAAGGCTCACGAAGGAGTGTCAAGGCCTACGAAGGAGTGTCAAGGCCTACGAAGGAGTGTCAAGGCTCACGAAGGAGTGTCAAGGCCTACGAAGGAGTGTCAAGGCTCACGAAGGAGTGTCAAGGCCTACGAAGGAGTGTCAAGGCTCACAAAGGAGTGTCAAGGCTCACGAAGAAGTGTCAAAGCCTACGAAGGAGTGTCAAGGCTCACGAAGGAGTGTCAAGGCCTACGAAGGAGTGTCAAGGCTCACGAAGGAGTGTCAAGGCCTACGAAGGAGTGTCAAGGCTCACGAAGGAGTGTCAAGGCTCACGAAGGAGTGTCAAGGCTCACGAAGGAGTGTCAAAGCCTACGAAGGAGTGTCAAGGCTCACGAAGGAGTGTCAAGGCTCACGAAGGAGTGCCAAGGCCTACGAAGGAGTGTCAAGGCTCACGAAGGAGTGTCAAAGCCTACGAAGGAGTGTCAAGGCTCACGAAGGAGTGTCAAGGCCTACGAAGGAGTGTCAAGGCTCATGAAGGAGTGTTAAGGCTCACGAAGGAGTGTCAAGGCCTACGAAGGAGTGTCAAGGCCTACGAAGGAGTGTCAAGGCTCACGAAGGAGTGTCAAGGCTCACGAAGGAGTGTCAAGGCTCACAAAGGAGTGTCAAGGCTCACGAAGGAGTGTCAAGGCCTACGAAGGAGTGTCAAGGCTCACGAAGGAGTGTCAAGGCTCACAAAGGAGTGTCAAGGCTCACGAAGGAGTGTCAAGGCTCACGAAGGAGTGTCAAGGCTCACAAAGGAGTGTCAAGGCTCACGAAGGAGTGTCAAGGCCTACGAAGGAGAATCAAGGCCTACGAAGGAGTGTCAAGGCTCACGAAGGAGTGTCAAGGCCTACGAAGGAGTGTCAAGGCTCACGAAGGAGTGTCAAGGCCTACGAAGGAGTGTCAAGGCTCACGAAGGAGTGTCAAGGCTCACAAAGGAGTGTCAAGGCTCACGAAGAAGTGTCAAGGCCTACGAAGGAGTGTCAAGGCTCACGAAGGAGTGTCAAGGCCTACGAAGGAGTGTCAAGGCTCACGAAGGAGTGTCAAGGCTCACGAAGGAGTGTCAAGGCTCACGAAGGAGTGCCAAGGCCTACGAAGGAGTGTCAAGGCTCACGAAGGAGTGTCAAAGCCTACGAAGGAGTGTCAAGGCTCACGAAGGAGTGTCAAGGCCTACGAAGGAGTGTCAAGGCTCACGAAGGAGTGTCAAGGCTCACAAAGGAGTGTCAAGGCTCACGAAGGAGTGTCAAGGCCTACGAAGGAGTGTCAAGGCTCATGAAGGAGTGTCAAGGCCTACGAAGGAGTGTCAAGGCTCACGAAGGAGTGTCAAGGCTCACGAAGGAGTGTCAAGGCTCACGAAGGAGTGCCAAGGCCTACGAAGGAGTGTCAAGGCTCACGAAGGAGTGTCAAAGCCTACGAAGGAGTGTCAAGGCTCACGAAGGAGTGTCAAGGCCTACGAAGGAGTGTCAAGGCTCACGAAGGAGTGTCAAGGCTCACGAAGGAGTGTCAAGGCCTACGAAGGAGTGTCAAGGCTCACGAAGGAGTGTCAAGGCCTACGAAGGAGTGTCAAGGCTCACGAAGGAGTGTCAAGGCCTACGAAGGAGTGTCAAGGCTCACGAAGGAGTGTCAAGGCTCACGAAGGAGTGTCAAGGCCTACGAAGGAGAATCAAGGCCTACGAAGGAGTGTCAAGGCTCACGAAGGAGTGTCAAGGCCTACGAAGGAGTGTCAAGGCTCACGAAGGAGTGTCAAGGCCTACGAAGGAGTGTCAAGGCTCACAAAGGAGTGTCAAGGCTCACGAAGAAGTGTCAAGGCCTACGAAGGAGTGTCAAGGCTCACGAAGGAGTGTCAAGGCCTACGAAGGAGTGTCAAGGCCTACGAAGGAGTGTAAAGGCTCACGAAGGAGTGTCAAGGCCTACGAAGGAGTGTCAAGGCTCACGAAGGAGTGTCAAGGCCTACGAAGGAGTGTCAAGGCTCACGAAGGAGCGCCAAGGCCTACGAAGGAGTGTCAAGGCTCACGAAGGAGTGTCAAGGCCTACGAAGGAGTGTCAAGGCTCGCGAAGGAGTGTCAAGGCCTACGAAGGAGTGTCAAGGCTCATGAAGGAGTGTTAAGGCTCACGAAGGAGTGTCAAGGCCTACGAAGGAGTGTCAAGGCTCACGAAGGAGTGTCAAGGCTCACAAAGGAGTGTCAAGGCTCACGAAGGAGTGTCAAGGCCTACGAAGGAGTGTCAAGGCTCACGAAGGAGTGTCAAGGCCTACGAAGGAGTGTCAAGGCTCACGAAGGAGTGTCAAGGCTCACGAAGGAGTGTCAAGGCTCACGAAGGAGTGTCAAAGCCTACGAAGGAGTGTCAAGGCTCACGAAGGAGTGTCAAGGCTCACGAAGGAGTGCCAAGGCCTACGAAGGAGTGTCAAGGCTCACGAAGGAGTGTCAAAGCCTACGAAGGAGTGTCAAGGCTCACGAAGGAGTGTCAAGGCCTACGAAGGAGTGTCAAGGCTCATGAAGGAGTGTTAAGGCTCACGAAGGAGTGTCAAGGCCTACGAAGGAGTGTCAAGGCCTACGAAGGAGTGTCAAGGCTCACGAAGGAGTGTCAAGGCTCACGAAGGAGTGTCAAGGCTCACAAAGGAGTGTCAAGGCTCACGAAGGAGTGTCAAGGCCTACGAAGGAGTGTCAAGGCTCACGAAGGAGTGTCAAGGCTCACAAAGGAGTGTCAAGGCTCACGAAGGAGTGTCAAGGCTCACGAAGGAGTGTCAAGGCTCACAAAGGAGTGTCAAGGCTCACGAAGGAGTGTCAAGGCCTACGAAGGAGAATCAAGGCCTACGAAGGAGTGTCAAGGCTCACGAAGGAGTGTCAAGGCCTACGAAGGAGTGTCAAGGCTCACGAAGGAGTGTCAAGGCCTACGAAGGAGTGTCAAGGCTCACGAAGGAGTGTCAAGGCTCACAAAGGAGTGTCAAGGCTCACGAAGAAGTGTCAAGGCCTACGAAGGAGTGTCAAGGCTCACGAAGGAGTGTCAAGGCCTACGAAGGAGTGTCAAGGCTCACGAAGGAGTGTCAAGGCTCACGAAGGAGTGTCAAGGCTCACGAAGGAGTGCCAAGGCCTACGAAGGAGTGTCAAGGCTCACGAAGGAGTGTCAAAGCCTACGAAGGAGTGTCAAGGCTCACGAAGGAGTGTCAAGGCCTACGAAGGAGTGTCAAGGCTCATGAAGGAGTGTTAAGGCTCACGAAGGAGTGTCAAGGCCTACGAAGGAGTGTCAAGGCCTACGAAGGAGTGTCAAGGCTCACGAAGGAGTGTCAAGGCTCACAAAGGAGTGTCAAGGCTCACGAAGGAGTGTCAAGGCCTACGAAGGAGTGTCAAGGCTCACGAAGGAGTGTCAAGGCTCACAAAGGAGTGTCAAGGCTCACGAAGGAGTGTCAAGGCCTACGAAGGAGTGTCAAGGCTCACGAAGGAGTGTCAAGGCCTACGAAGGAGTGTCAAGGCTCACGAAGGAGTGTCAAGGCCTACGAAGGAGTGTCAAGGCTCACGAAGGAGTGTCAAGGCTCACGAAGGAGTGTCAAGGCCTACGAAGGAGAATCAAGGCCTACGAAGGAGTGTCAAGGCTCACGAAGGAGTGTCAAGGCCTACGAAGGAGTGTCAAGGCTCACGAAGGAGTGTCAAGGCTCACGAAGGAGTGTCAAGGCTCACGAAGGAGTGCCAAGGCCTACGAAGGAGTGTCAAGGCTCACGAAGGAGTGTCAAGTCCTACGAAGGAGTGTCAAGGCTCACGAAGGAGTGTCAAGGCCTACGAAGGAGTGTCAAGGCTCATGAAGGAGTGTTAAGGCTCACGAAGGAGTGTCAAGGCCTACGAAGGAGTGTCAAGGCCTACGAAGGAGTGTCAAGGCTCACAAAGGAGTGTCAAGGCTCACGAAGGAGTGTCAAGGCCTACGAAGGAGTGTCAAGGCTCACGAAGGAGTGTCAAGGCTCACAAAGGAGTGTCAAGGCTCACGAAGGAGTGTCAAGGCCTACGAAGGAGTGTCAAGGCTCACGAAGGAGTGTCAAGGCCTACGAAGGAGTGTCAAGGCTCACGAAGGAGTGTCAAGGCCTACGAAGGAGTGTCAAGGCTCACGAAGGAGTGTCAAGGCTCACGAAGGAGTGTCAAGGCCTACGAAGGAGAATCAAGGCCTACGAAGGAGTGTCAAGGCTCACGAAGGAGTGTCAAGGCTCACGAAGGAGTGTCAAGGCCTACGAAGGAGTGTCAAGGCTCATGAAGGAGTGTTAAGGCTCACGAAGGAGTGTCAAGGCCTACGAAGGAGTGTCAAGGCTCACGAAGGAGTGTCAAGGCTCACAAAGGAGTGTCAAGGCTCACGAAGGAGTGTCAAGGCCTACGAAGGAGTGTCAAGGCTCACGAAGGAGTGTCAAGGCCTACGAAGGAGTGTCAAGGCTCACGAAGGAGTGTCAAGGCTCACGAAGGAGTGTCAAGGCTCACGAAGGAGTGCCAAGGCCTACGAAGGAGTGTCAAGGCTCACGAAGGAGTGTCAAAGCCTACGAAGGAGTGTCAAGGCTCACGAAGGAGTGTCAAGGCCTACGAAGGAGTGTCAAGGCTCACGAAGGAGTGTCAAGGCTCACGAAGGAGTGTCAAGGCCTACGAAGGAGTGTCAAGGCTCACGAAGGAGTGTCAAGGCCTACGAAGGAGTGTCAAGGCTCACGAAGGAGTGTCAAGGCTCACGAAGGAGTGTCAAGGCCTACGAAGGAGAATCAAGGCCTACGAAGGAGTGTCAAGGCTCACGAAGGAGTGTCAAGGCCTACGAAGGAGTGTCAAGGCTCACGAAGGAGTGTCAAGGCCTACGAAGGAGTGTCAAGGCTCACGAAGGAGTGTCAAGGCTCACAAAGGAGTGTCAAGGCTCACGAAGAAGTGTCAAGGCCTACGAAGGAGTGTCAAGGCTCACGAAGGAGTGTCAAGGCCTACGAAGGAGTGTCAAGGCTCACGAAGGAGTGTCAAGGCTCGCGAAGGAGTGTCAAGGCCTACGAAGGAGTGTCAAGGCCTACGAAGGAGTGTTAAGGCTCACGAAGGAGTGTCAAGGCCTACGAAGGAGTGTCAAGGCTCACGAAGGAGTGTCAAGGCTCACAAAGGAGTGTCAAGGCTCACGAAGGAGTGTCAAGGCCTACGAAGGAGTGTCAAGGCCTACGAAGGAGTGTAAAGGCTCACGAAGGAGTGTCAAGGCCTACGAAGGAGTGTCAAGGCTCACGAAGGAGTGTCAAGGCCTACGAAGGAGTGTCAAGGCTCACGAAGGAGCGCCAAGGCCTACGAAGGAGTGTCAAGGCTCACGAAGGAGTGTCAAGGCCTACGAAGGAGTGTCAAGGCTCGCGAAGGAGTGTCAAGGCCTACGAAGGAGTGTCAAGGCTCATGAAGGAGTGTTAAGGCTCACGAAGGAGTGTCAAGGCCTACGAAGGAGTGTCAAGGCTCACGAAGGAGTGTCAAGGCTCACAAAGGAGTGTCAAGGCTCACGAAGGAGTGTCAAGGCCTACGAAGGAGTGTCAAGGCTCACGAAGGAGTGTCAAGGCTCACGAAGGAGTGTCAAGGCTCACGAAGGAGTGTCAAGGCTCACGAAGGAGTGCCAAGGCCTACGAAGGAGTGTCAAGGCTCACGAAGGAGTGTCAAAGCCTACGAAGGAGTGTCAAGGCTCATGAAGGAGTGTTAAGGCTCACGAAGGAGTGTCAAGGCCTACGAAGGAGTGTCAAGGCCTACGAAGGAGTGTCAAGGCTCACGAAGGAGTGTCAAGGCTCACAAAGGAGTGTCAAGGCTCACGAAGGAGTGTCAAGGCCTACGAAGGAGTGTCAAGGCTCACGAAGGAGTGTCAAGGCTCACAAAGGAGTGTCAAGGCTCACGAAGGAGTGTCAAGGCCTACGAAGGAGTGTCAAGGCTCACGAAGGAGTGTCAAGGCCTACGAAGGAGTGTCAAGGCTCACGAAGGAGTGTCAAGGCCTACGAAGGAGTGTCAAGGCTCACGAAGGAGTGTCAAGGCTCACGAAGGAGTGTCAAGGCTCACGAAGGAGTGCCAATGCTCTCGAAAGAGTGTCAAGGCCTACGAAGGAGAGTTAAGACCTACGAAGGAGTGTCAAGGCTCACGAAGGAGTGTCAAGGCCTACGAAGGAGTGTCAAGGCTCACGAAGGAGTGTCAAGGCCTACGAAGGAGTGTCAAGGCTCACGAAAGAGTGTCAAGACCTACGAAGGAGTGTCAAGGCTCACGAAGGAGTGTCAAGGCTCAAGAAGGAGTGTCAAGGCCTACGAAGGAGTGTCAAGGCTCACGAAGGAGTGTCAAGGCTCACGAAGGAGTGTCAAGGCCTACGAAGGAGTGTCAAGGCTCACGAAGGAGTGTCAAGGCCTACGAAGGAGTGTCAAGGCTCACGAAGGAGTGTCAAGGCCTACGAAGGAGTGTCAAGGCCTACGAAGGAGTGTAAAGGCTCACGAAGGAGTGTCAAGGCCTACGAAGGAGTGTCAAGGCCTACGAAGGAGTGTCAAGGCTCACGAAGGAGTGTCAAGGCCTACGAAGGAGTGTCAAGGCTCACGAAGGAGCGCCAAGGCCTACGAAGGAGTGTCAAGGCTCACGAAGGAGTGTCAAGGCTCACGAAGGAGTGTCAAAGCCTACGAAGGAGTGTCAAGGCTCACGAAGGAGTGTCAAGGCCTACGAAGGAGTGTCAAGGCTCACGAAGGAGTGTCAAGGCCTACGAAGGAGTGTCAAGGCTCACGAAGGAGTGTCAAGGCTCACGAAGGAGTGTCAAGGCCTACGAAGGAGAATCAAGGCCTACGAAGGAGTGTCAAGGCTCACGAAGGAGTGTCAAGGCCTACGAAGGAGTGTCAAGGCTCACGAAGGAGTGTCAAGGCCTACGAAGGAGTGTCAAGGCTCACGAAGGAGTGTCAAGGCCTACGAAGGAGTGTCAAGGCTCACGAAGGAGTGTCAAGGCCTACGAAGGAGTGTCAAGGCTCACGAAGGAGTGTCAAGGCTCACAAAGGAGTGTCAAGGCTCACGAAGAAGTGTCAAGGCCTACGAAGGAGTGTCAAGGCTCACGAAGGAGTGTCAAGGCCTACGAAGGAGTGTCAAGGCTCACGAAGGAGTGTCAAGGCCTACGAAGGAGTGTCAAGGCTCACGAAGGAGTGTCAAGGCCTACGAAGGAGTGTCAAGGCTCACGAAGGAGTGTCAAGGCTCACAAAGGAGTGTCAAGGCTCACGAAGAAGTGTCAAGGCCTACGAAGGAGTGTCAAGGCTCACGAAGGAGTGTCAAGGCCTACGAAGGAGTGTCAAGGCCTACGAAGGAGTGTAAAGGCTCACGAAGGAGTGTCAAGGCCTACGAAGGAGTGTCAAGGCTCACGAAGGAGTGTCAAGGCCTACGAAGGAGTGTCAAGGCTCACGAAGGAGCGCCAAGGCCTACGAAGGAGTGTCAAGGCTCATGAAGGAGTGTTAAGGCTCACGAAGGAGTGTCAAGGCTCGCGAAGGAGTGTCAAGGCCTACGAAGGAGTGTCAAGGCTCACAAAGGAGTGTCAAGGCTCACGAAGGAGTGTCAAGGCCTACGAAGGAGTGTCAAGGCTCACGAAGGAGTGTCAAGGCCTACGAAGGAGTGTCAAGGCTCACGAAGGAGTGTCAAGGCTCACGAAGGAGTGTCAAGGCTCACGAAGGAGTGCCAAGGCCTACGAAGGAGTGTCAAGGCTCACGAAGGAGTGTCAAAGCCTACGAAGGAGTGTCAAGGCTCACGAAGGAGTGTCAAGGCCTACGAAGGAGTGTCAAGGCTCATGAAGGAGTGTTAAGGCTCACGAAGGAGTGTCAAGGCCTACGAAGGAGTGTCAAGGCCTACGAAGGAGTGTCAAGGCTCACGAAGGAGTGTCAAGGCTCACAAAGGAGTGTCAAGGCCTACGAAGGAGTGTCAAGGCTCATGAAGGAGTGTCAAGGCTCACGAAGGAGTGTCAAGGCTCACAAAGGAGTGTCAAGGCTCACGAAGGAGTGTCAAGGCCTACGAAGGAGTGTCAAGGCTCACGAAGGAGTGTCAAGGCCTACGAAGGAGTGTCAAGGCTCACGAAGGAGTGTCAAGGCCTACGAAGGAGTGTCAAGGCTCACGAAGGAGTGTCAAGGCTCACGAAGGAGTGTCAAGGCCTACGAAGGAGAATCAAGGCCTACGAAGGAGTGTCAAGGCTCACGAAGGAGTGTCAAGGCCTACGAAGGAGTGTCAAGGCTCACGAAGGAGTGTCAAGGCCTACGAAGGAGTGTCAAGGCTCACGAAGGAGTGTCAAGGCTCACAAAGGAGTGTCAAGGCTCACGAAGAAGTGTCAAGGCCTACGAAGGAGTGTCAAGGCTCACGAAGGAGTGTCAAGGCCTACGAAGGAGTGTCAAGGCTCACGAAGGAGTGTCAAGGCTCACGAAGGAGTGTCAAGGCTCACGAAGGAGTGCCAAGGCCTACGAAGGAGTGTCAAGGCTCACGAAGGAGTGTCAAAGCCTACGAAGGAGTGTCAAGGCTCACGAAGGAGTGTCAAGGCCTACGAAGGAGTGTCAAGGCTCATGAAGGAGTGTTAAGGCTCACGAAGGAGTGTCAAGGCCTACGAAGGAGTGTCAAGGCCTACGAAGGAGTGTCAAGGCTCACGAAGGAGTGTCAAGGCTCACAAAGGAGTGTCAAGGCTCACGAAGGAGTGTCAAGGCCTACGAAGGAGTGTCAAGGCTCACGAAGGAGTGTCAAGGCTCACAAAGGAGTGTCAAGGCTCACGAAGGAGTGTCAAGGCCTACGAAGGAGTGTCAAGGCTCACGAAGGAGTGTCAAGGCCTACGAAGGAGTGTCAAGGCTCACGAAGGAGTGTCAAGGCCTACGAAGGAGTGTCAAGGCTCACGAAGGAGTGTCAAGGCCTACGAAGGAGTGTCAAGGCTCACGAAGGAGTGTCAAGGCTCACAAAGGAGTGTCAAGGCTCACGAAGAAGTGTCAAGGCCTACGAAGGAGTGTCAAGGCTCACGAAGGAGTGTCAAGGCCTACGAAGGAGTGTCAAGGCCTACGAAGGAGTGTAAAGGCTCACGAAGGAGTGTCAAGGCCTACGAAGGAGTGTCAAGGCTCACGAAGGAGTGTCAAGGCCTACGAGGGAGTGTCAAGGCTCACGAAGGAGCGCCAAGGCCTACGAAGGAGTGTCAAGGCTCACGAAGGAGTGTCAAGGCCTACGAAGGAGTGTCAAGGCTCACGAAGGAGTGTCAAGGCTCACAAAGGAGTGTCAAGGCTCACGAAGGAGTGCCAAGGCCTACGAAGGAGTGTCAAGGCTCACGAAGGAGTGTCAAGGCCTACGAAGGAGTGTCAAGGCCTACAAAGGAGTGTCAAGGCTCACGAAGGAGTGTTAAGGCTCACGAAGGAGTGTCAAGGCTCACGAAGGAGTGTCAAGGCTCACGAAGGAGTGCCAAGGCCTACGAAGGAGTGTCAAGGCTCACGAAGGAGTGTCAAAGCCTACGAAGGAGTGTCAAGGCTCACGAAGGAGTGTCAAGGCCTACGAAGGAGTGTCAAGGCTCACGAAGGAGTGTCAAGGCTCACGAAGGAGTGTCAAGGCCTACGAAGGAGTGTCAAGGCTCACGAAGGAGTGTCAAGGCCTACGAAGGAGTGTCAAGGCTCACGAAGGAGTGTCAAGGCCTACGAAGGAGTGTCAAGGCCTACGAAGGAGTGTAAAGGCTCACGAAGGAGTGTCAAGGCCTACGAAGGAGTGTCAAGGCCTACGAAGGAGTGTCAAGGCTCACGAAGGAGTGTCAAGGCCTACGAAGGAGTGTCAAGGCTCACGAAGGAGCGCCAAGGCCTACGAAGGAGTGTCAAGGCTCACGAAGGAGTGTCAAGGCCTACGAAGGAGTGTCAAGGCTCACGAAGGAGTGTCAAGGCCTATGAAGGAGTGTCAAGGCTCATGAAGGAGTGTTAAGGCTCACGAAGGAGTGTCAAGGCCTACGAAGGAGTGTCAAGGCTCACGAAGGAGTGTCAAGGCTCACAAAGGAGTGTCAAGGCTCACGAAGGAGTGTCAAGGCCTACGAAGGAGTGTCAAGGCTCACGAAGGAGTGTCAAGGCCTACGAAGGAGTGTCAAGGCTCACGAAGGAGTGTCAAGGCTCACGAAGGAGTGCCAAGGCCTACGAAGGAGTGTCAAGGCTCACGAAGGAGTGTCAAAGCCTACGAAGGAGTGTCAAGGCTCACGAAGGAGTGTCAAGGCCTACGAAGGAGTGTCAAGGCTCACGAAGGAGTGTCAAGGCTCACGAAGGAGTGTCAAGGCCTACGAAGGAGTGTCAAGGCTCACGAAGGAGTGTCAAGGCCTACGAAGGAGTGTCAAGGCTCACGAAGGAGTGTCAAGGCCTACGAAGGAGTGTCAAGGCTCACGAAGGAGTGTCAAGGCTCACGAAGGAGTGTCAAGGCCTACGAAGGAGAATCAAGGCCTACGAAGGAGTGTCAAGGCTCACGAAGGAGTGTCAAGGCCTACGAAGGAGTGTCAAGGCTCACGAAGGAGTGTCAAGGCCTACGAAGGAGTGTCAAGGCTCACGAAGGAGTGTCAAGGCTCACAAAGGAGTGTCAAGGCTCACGAAGAAGTGTCAAGGCCTACGAAGGAGTGTCAAGGCTCACGAAGGAGTGTCAAGGCCTACGAAGGAGTGTCAAGGCTCACGAAGGAGTGTCAAGGCCTACGAAGGAGTGTCAAGGCTCACGAAGGAGTGTCAAGGCCTACGAAGGAGTGTCAAGGCTCACGAAGGAGTGTCAAGGCTCACAAAGGAGTGTCAAGGCTCACGAAGAAGTGTCAAGGCCTACGAAGGAGTGTCAAGGCTCACGAAGGAGTGTCAAGGCCTACGAAGGAGTGTCAAGGCCTACGAAGGAGTGTAAAGGCTCACGAAGGAGTGTCAAGGCCTACGAAGGAGTGTCAAGGCTCACGAAGGAGTGTCAAGGCCTACGAAGGAGTGTCAAGGCTCACGAAGGAGCGCCAAGGCCTACGAAGGAGTGTCAAGGCTCACGAAGGAGTGTCAAGGCCTACGAAGGAGTGTCAAGGCTCGCGAAGGAGTGTCAAGGCCTACGAAGGAGTGTCAAGGCTCATGAAGGAGTGTTAAGGCTCACGAAGGAGTGTCAAGGCCTACGAAGGAGTGTCAAGGCTCACGAAGGAGTGTCAAGGCTCACAAAGGAGTGTCAAGGCTCACGAAGGAGTGTCAAGGCCTACGAAGGAGTGTCAAGGCTCACGAAGGAGTGTCAAGGCCTACGAAGGAGTGTCAAGGCTCACGAAGGAGTGTCAAGGCTCACGAAGGAGTGTCAAGGCTCACGAAGGAGTGCCAAGGCCTACGAAGGAGTGTCAAGGCTCACGAAGGAGTGTCAAAGCCTACGAAGGAGTGTCAAGGCTCACGAAGGAGTGTCAAGGCCTACGAAGGAGTGTCAAGGCTCATGAAGGAGTGTTAAGGCTCACGAAGGAGTGTCAAGGCCTACGAAGGAGTGTCAAGGCCTACGAAGGAGTGTCAAGGCTCACGAAGGAGTGTCAAGGCTCACAAAGGAGTGTCAAGGCTCACGAAGGAGTGTCAAGGCCTACGAAGGAGTGTCAAGGCTCACGAAGGAGTGTCAAGGCTCACAAAGGAGTGTCAAGGCTCACGAAGGAGTGTCAAGGCCTACGAAGGAGTGTCAAGGCTCACGAAGGAGTGTCAAGGCCTACGAAGGAGTGTCAAGGCTCACGAAGGAGTGTCAAGGCCTACGAAGGAGTGTCAAGGCTCACGAAGGAGTGTCAAGGCTCACGAAGGAGTGTCAAGGCCTACGAAGGAGAATCAAGGCCTACGAAGGAGTGTCAAGGCTCACGAAGGAGTGTCAAGGCCTACGAAGGAGTGTCAAGGCTCACGAAGGAGTGTCAAGGCCTACGAAGGAGTGTCAAGGCTCACGAAGGAGTGTCAAGGCTCACAAAGGAGTGTCAAGGCTCACGAAGAAGTGTCAAGGCCTACGAAGGAGTGTCAAGGCTCACGAAGGAGTGTCAAGGCCTACGAAGGAGTGTCAAGGCTCACGAAGGAGTGTCAAGGCTCACGAAGGAGTGTCAAGGCTCACGAAGGAGTGCCAAGGCCTACGAAGGAGTGTCAAGGCTCACGAAGGAGTGTCAAAGCCTACGAAGGAGTGTCAAGGCTCACGAAGGAGTGTCAAGGCCTACGAAGGAGTGTCAAGGCTCATGAAGGAGTGTTAAGGCTCACGAAGGAGTGTCAAGGCCTACGAAGGAGTGTCAAGGCCTACGAAGGAGTGTCAAGGCTCACGAAGGAGTGTCAAGGCTCACAAAGGAGTGTCAAGGCTCACGAAGGAGTGTCAAGGCCTACGAAGGAGTGTCAAGGCTCACGAAGGAGTGTCAAGGCTCACAAAGGAGTGTCAAGGCTCACGAAGGAGTGTCAAGGCCTACGAAGGAGTGTCAAGGCTCACGAAGGAGTGTCAAGGCCTACGAAGGAGTGTCAAGGCTCACGAAGGAGTGTCAAGGCCTACGAAGGAGTGTCAAGGCTCACGAAGGAGTGTCAAGGCCTACGAAGGAGTGTCAAGGCTCACGAAGGAGTGTCAAGGCTCACAAAGGAGTGTCAAGGCTCACGAAGAAGTGTCAAGGCCTACGAAGGAGTGTCAAGGCTCACGAAGGAGTGTCAAGGCCTACGAAGGAGTGTCAAGGCCTACGAAGGAGTGTAAAGGCTCACGAAGGAGTGTCAAGGCCTACGAAGGAGTGTCAAGGCTCACGAAGGAGTGTCAAGGCCTACGAAGGAGTGTCAAGGCTCACGAAGGAGCGCCAAGGCCTACGAAGGAGTGTCAAGGCTCACGAAGGAGTGTCAAGGCCTACGAAGGAGTGTCAAGGCTCACGAAGGAGTGTCAAGGCTCACAAAGGAGTGTCAAGGCTCACGAAGGAGTGCCAAGGCCTACGAAGGAGTGTCAAGGCTCACGAAGGAGTGTCAAGGCCTACGAAGGAGTGTCAAGGCCTACAAAGGAGTGTCAAGGCTCACGAAGGAGTGTTAAGGCTCACGAAGGAGTGTCAAGGCTCACGAAGGAGTGTCAAGGCTCACGAAGGAGTGCCAAGGCCTACGAAGGAGTGTCAAGGCTCACGAAGGAGTGTCAAAGCCTACGAAGGAGTGTCAAGGCTCACGAAGGAGTGTCAAGGCCTACGAAGGAGTGTCAAGGCTCATGAAGGAGTGTTAAGGCTCACGAAGGAGTGTCAAGGCCTACGAAGGAGTGTCAAGGCCTACGAAGGAGTGTCAAGGCTCACGAAGGAGTGTCAAGGCTCACAAAGGAGTGTCAAGGCTCACGAAGGAGTGTCAAGGCCTACGAAGGAGTGTCAAGGCTCACGAAGGAGTGTCAAGGCTCACAAAGGAGTGTCAAGGCTCACGAAGGAGTGTCAAGGCTCACGAAGGAGTGTCAAGGCCTACGAAGGAGTGTCAAGGCTCACGAAGGAGTGTCAAGGCTCACGAAGGAGTGTCAAGGCCTACGAAGGAGTGTCAAGGCTCACGAAGGAGTGTCAAGGCCTACGAAGGAGTGTCAAGGCTCACGAAGGAGTGTCAAGGCCTACGAAGGAGTGTCAAGGCTCACGAAGGAGTGTCAAGGCTCACGAAGGAGTGTCAAGGCCTACGAAGGAGTGTCAAGGCTCACGAAGGAGTGTCAAGGCCTACGAAGGAGTGTCAAGGCTCACGAAGGAGTGTCAAGGCTCACGAAGGAGTGTCAAGGCTCACGAAGGAGTGCCAAGGCCTACGAAGGAGTGTCAAGGCTCACGAAGGAGTGTCAAAGCCTACGAAGGAGTGTCAAGGCTCACAAAGGAGTGTCAAGGCTCACGAAGGAGTGTCAAGGCCTACGAAGGAGTGTCAAGGCTCACGAAGGAGTGTCAAGGCTCACGAAGGAGTGTCAAGGCTCACGAAGGAGTGTCAAGGCTCACGAAGGAGTGTCAAGGCCTACGAAGGAGTGTCAAGGCTCACGAAGGAGTGTCAAGGCTCACAAAGGAGTGTCAAGGCTCACGAAGGAGTGCCAAGGCCTACGAAGGAGTGTCAAGGCTCACGAAGGAGTGTCAAGGCCTACGAAGGAGTGTCAAGGCCTACAAAGGAGTGTCAAGGCTCACGAAGGAGTGTTAAGGCTCACGAAGGAGTGTCAAGGCTCACGAAGGAGTGTCAAGGCTCACGAAGGAGTGCCAAGGCCTACGAAGGAGTGTCAAGGCTCACGAAGGAGTGTCAAAGCCTACGAAGGAGTGTCAAGGCTCACGAAGGAGTGTCAAGGCCTACGAAGGAGTGTCAAGGCTCATGAAGGAGTGTTAAGGCTCACGAAGGAGTGTCAAGGCCTACGAAGGAGTGTCAAGGCCTACGAAGGAGTGTCAAGGCTCACGAAGGAGTGTCAAGGCTCACAAAGGAGTGTCAAGGCTCACGAAGGAGTGTCAAGGCCTACGAAGGAGTGTCAAGGCTCACGAAGGAGTGTCAAGGCTCACAAAGGAGTGTCAAGGCTCACGAAGGAGTGTCAAGGCTCACGAAGGAGTGTCAAGGCCTACGAAGGAGTGTCAAGGCTCACGAAGGAGTGTCAAGGCTCACGAAGGAGTGTCAAGGCCTACGAAGGAGTGTCAAGGCTCACGAAGGAGTGTCAAGGCCTACGAAGGAGTGTCAAGGCTCACGAAGGAGTGTCAAGGCCTACGAAGGAGTGTCAAGGCTCACGAAGGAGTGTCAAGGCTCACGAAGGAGTGTCAAGGCCTACGAAGGAGTGTCAAGGCTCACGAAGGAGTGTCAAGGCCTACGAAGGAGTGTGAAGGCTCACGAAGGAGTGTCAAGGCTCACGAAGGAGTGCCAAGGCCTACGAAGGAGTGTCAAGGCTCACGAAGGAGTGTCAAAGCCTACGAAGGAGTGTCAAGGCTCACGAAGGAGTGTCAAGGCCTACGAAGGAGTGTCAAGGCTCACGAAGGAGTGTCAAGGCTCACGAAGGAGTGTCAAGGCCTACGAAGGAGTGTCAAGGCTCACGAAGGAGTGTCAAGGCCTACGAAGGAGTGTCAAGGCTCACGAAGGAGTGTCAAGGCCTACGAAGGAGTGTCAAGGCTCACGAAGGAGTGTCAAGGCTCACGAAGGAGTGTCAAGGCCTACGAAGGAGAATCAAGGCCTACGAAGGAGTGTCAAGGCTCACGAAGGAGTGTCAAGGCCTACGAAGGAGTGTCAAGGCTCACGAAGGAGTGTCAAGGCCTACGAAGGAGTGTCAAGGCTCACGAAGGAGTGTCAAGGCTCACAAAGGAGTGTCAAGGCTCACGAAGAAGTGTCAAGGCCTACGAAGGAGTGTCAAGGCTCACGAAGGAGTGTCAAGGCCTACGAAGGAGTGTCAAGGCTCACGAAGGAGTGTCAAGGCCTACGAAGGAGTGTCAAGGCTCACGAAGGAGTGTCAAGGCCTACGAAGGAGTGTCAAGGCTCACGAAGGAGTGTCAAGGCTCACAAAGGAGTGTCAAGGCTCACGAAGAAGTGTCAAGGCCTACGAAGGAGTGTCAAGGCTCACGAAGGAGTGTCAAGGCCTACGAAGGAGTGTCAAGGCCTACGAAGGAGTGTAAAGGCTCACGAAGGAGTGTCAAGGCCTACGAAGGAGTGTCAAGGCTCACGAAGGAGTGTCAAGGCCTACGAAGGAGTGTCAAGGCTCACGAAGGAGCGCCAAGGCCTACGAAGGAGTGTCAAGGCTCACGAAGGAGTGTCAAGGCCTACGAAGGAGTGTCAAGGCTCGCGAAGGAGTGTCAAGGCCTACGAAGGAGTGTCAAGGCTCATGAAGGAGTGTTAAGGCTCACGAAGGAGTGTCAAGGCCTACGAAGGAGTGTCAAGGCTCACGAAGGAGTGTCAAGGCTCACAAAGGAGTGTCAAGGCTCACGAAGGAGTGTCAAGGCCTACGAAGGAGTGTCAAGGCTCACGAAGGAGTGTCAAGGCCTACGAAGGAGTGTCAAGGCTCACGAAGGAGTGTCAAGGCTCACGAAGGAGTGTCAAGGCTCACGAAGGAGTGCCAAGGCCTACGAAGGAGTGTCAAGGCTCACGAAGGAGTGTCAAAGCCTACGAAGGAGTGTCAAGGCTCACGAAGGAGTGTCAAGGCCTACGAAGGAGTGTCAAGGCTCATGAAGGAGTGTTAAGGCTCACGAAGGAGTGTCAAGGCCTACGAAGGAGTGTCAAGGCCTACGAAGGAGTGTCAAGGCTCACGAAGGAGTGTCAAGGCTCACAAAGGAGTGTCAAGGCTCACGAAGGAGTGTCAAGGCCTACGAAGGAGTGTCAAGGCTCACGAAGGAGTGTCAAGGCTCACAAAGGAGTGTCAAGGCTCACGAAGGAGTGTCAAGGCCTACGAAGGAGTGTCAAGGCTCACGAAGGAGTGTCAAGGCCTACGAAGGAGTGTCAAGGCTCACGAAGGAGTGTCAAGGCCTACGAAGGAGTGTCAAGGCTCACGAAGGAGTGTCAAGGCTCACGAAGGAGTGTCAAGGCCTACGAAGGAGAATCAAGGCCTACGAAGGAGTGTCAAGGCTCACGAAGGAGTGTCAAGGCCTACGAAGGAGTGTCAAGGCTCACGAAGGAGTGTCAAGGCCTACGAAGGAGTGTCAAGGCTCACGAAGGAGTGTCAAGGCTCACAAAGGAGTGTCAAGGCTCACGAAGAAGTGTCAAGGCCTACGAAGGAGTGTCAAGGCTCACGAAGGAGTGTCAAGGCCTACGAAGGAGTGTCAAGACTCACGAAGGAGTGTCAAGGCACGAAGGAGTGTCAAGGCTCACGAAGGAGTGTCAAGGCCTACGAAGGAGTGTCAAGGCTCACGAAGGAGTGCCAAGGCCTACGAAGGAGTGTCAAGGCTCACGAAGGAGTGTCAAAGCCTACGAAGGAGTGTCAAGGCTCACGAAGGAGTGTCAAGGCCTACGAAGGAGTGTCAAGGCTCATGAAGGAGTGTTAAGGCTCACGAAGGAGTGTCAAGGCCTACGAAGGAGTGTCAAGGCTCACGAAGGAGTGTCAAGGCTCACAAAGGAGTGTCAAGGCTCACGAAGGAGTGTCAAGGCCTACGAAGGAGTGTCAAGGCTCACGAAGGAGTGTCAAGGCTCACAAAGGAGTGTCAAGGCTCACGAAGGAGTGTCAAGGCCTACGAAGGAGTGTCAAGGCTCACGAAGGAGTGTCAAGGCCTACGAAGGAGTGTCAAGGCTCACGAAGGAGTGTCAAGGCCTACGAAGGAGTGTCAAGGCTCACGAAGGAGTGTCAAGGCCTACGAAGGAGTGTCAAGGCTCACGAAGGAGTGTCAAGGCTCACAAAGGAGTGTCAAGGCTCACGAAGAAGTGTCAAGGCCTACGAAGGAGTGTCAAGGCTCACGAAGGAGTGTCAAGGCCTACGAAGGAGTGTCAAGGCCTACGAAGGAGTGTAAAGGCTCACGAAGGAGTGTCAAGGCCTACGAAGGAGTGTCAAGGCTCACGAAGGAGTGTCAAGGCCTACGAAGGAGTGTCAAGGCTCACGAAGGAGCGCCAAGGCCTACGAAGGAGTGTCAAGGCTCACGAAGGAGTGTCAAGGCCTACGAAGGAGTGTCAAGGCTCACGAAGGAGTGTCAAGGCTCACAAAGGAGTGTCAAGGCTCACGAAGGAGTGCCAAGGCCTACGAAGGAGTGTCAAGGCTCACGAAGGAGTGTCAAGGCCTACGAAGGAGTGTCAAGGCCTACAAAGGAGTGTCAAGGCTCACGAAGGAGTGTTAAGGCTCACGAAGGAGTGTCAAGGCTCACGAAGGAGTGTCAAGGCTCACGAAGGAGTGCCAAGGCCTACGAAGGAGTGTCAAGGCTCACGAAGGAGTGTCAAAGCCTACGAAGGAGTGTCAAGGCTCACGAAGGAGTGTCAAGGCCTACGAAGGAGTGTCAAGGCTCATGAAGGAGTGTTAAGGCTCACGAAGGAGTGTCAAGGCCTACGAAGGAGTGTCAAGGCCTACGAAGGAGTATCAAGGCTCACGAAGGAGTGTCAAGGCTCACAAAGGAGTGTCAAGGCTCACGAAGGAGTGTCAAGGCCTACGAAGGAGTGTCAAGGCTCACGAAGGAGTGTCAAGGCTCACGAAGGAGTGTCAAGGCCTACGAAGGAGTGTCAAGGCTCACGAAGGAGTGTCAAGGCCTACGAAGGAGTGTCAAGGCTCACGAAGGAGTGTCAAGGCCTACGAAGGAGTGTCAAGGCTCACGAAGGAGTGTCAAGGCCTACGAAGGAGTGTCAAGGCTCACGAAGGAGTGTCAAGGCTCACGAAGGAGTGTCAAGGCCTACGAAGGAGAATCAAGGCCTACGAAGGAGTGTCAAGGCTCACGAAGGAGTGTCAAGGCCTACGAAGGAGTGTCAAGGCTCACGAAGGAGTGTCAAGGCCTACGAAGGAGTGTCAAGGCTCACGAAGGAGTGTCAAGGCTCACAAAGGAGTGTCAAGGCTCACGAAGAAGTGTCAAGGCCTACGAAGGAGTGTCAAGGCTCACGAAGGAGTGTCAAGGCCTACGAAGGAGTGTCAAGGCTCACGAAGGAGTGTCAAGGCCTACGAAGGAGTGTCAAGGCTCACGAAGGAGTGTCAAGGCCTACGAAGGAGTGTCAAGGCTCACGAAGGAGTGTCAAGGCTCACAAAGGAGTGTCAAGGCTCACGAAGAAGTGTCAAGGCCTACGAAGGAGTGTCAAGGCTCACGAAGGAGTGTCAAGGCCTACGAAGGAGTGTCAAGGCCTACGAAGGAGTGTAAAGGCTCACGAAGGAGTGTCAAGGCCTACGAAGGAGTGTCAAGGCTCACGAAGGAGTGTCAAGGCCTACGAAGGAGTGTCAAGGCTCACGAAGGAGCGCCAAGGCCTACGAAGGAGTGTCAAGGCTCACGAAGGAGTGTCAAGGCCTACGAAGGAGTGTCAAGGCTCGCGAAGGAGTGTCAAGGCCTACGAAGGAGTGTCAAGGCTCATGAAGGAGTGTTAAGGCTCACGAAGGAGTGTCAAGGCCTACGAAGGAGTGTCAAGGCTCACGAAGGAGTGTCAAGGCTCACAAAGGAGTGTCAAGGCTCACGAAGGAGTGTCAAGGCCTACGAAGGAGTGTCAAGGCTCACGAAGGAGTGTCAAGGCCTACGAAGGAGTGTCAAGGCTCACGAAGGAGTGTCAAGGCCTACGAAGGAGTGTCAAGGCTCACGAAGGAGTGTCAAGGCTCACGAAGGAGTGTCAAGGCCTACGAAGGAGAATCAAGGCCTACGAAGGAGTGTCAAGGCTCACGAAGGAGTGTCAAGGCCTACGAAGGAGTGTCAAGGCTCACGAAGGAGTGTCAAGGCTCACAAAGGAGTGTCAAGGCCTACGAAGGAGTGTCAAGGCTCGCGAAGGAGTGTCAAGGCCTACGAAGGAGTGTCAAGGCTCATGAAGGAGTGTTAAGGCTCACGAAGGAGTGTCAAGGCCTACGAAGGAGTGTCAAGGCCTACGAAGGAGTGTCAAGGCTCACAAAGGAGTGTCAAGGCTCACGAAGGAGTGTCAAGGCCTACGAAGGAGTGTCAAGGCTCACGAAGGAGTGTCAAGGCCTACGAAGGAGTGTCAAGGCTCACGAAGGAGTGTCAAGGCTCACAAAGGAGTGTCAAGGCTCACGAAGGAGTGTCAAGGCCTACGAAGGAGTGTCAAGGCTCACGAAGGAGTGTCAAGGCTCACAAAGGAGTGTCAAGGCTCACGAAGGAGTGTCAAGGCCTACGAAGGAGTGTCAAGGCTCACGAAGGAGTGTCAAGGCCTACGAAGGAGTGTCAAGGCTCACGAAGGAGTGTCAAGGCCTACGAAGGAGTGTCAAGGCTCACGAAGGAGTGTCAAGGCTCACGAAGGAGTGTCAAGGCCTACGAAGGAGTGTCAAGGCTCACGAAGGAGTGTCAAGGCTCACGAAGGAGTGTCAAGGCCTACGAAGGAGAATCAAGGCCTACGAAGGAGTGTCAAGGCTCACGAAGGAGTGTCAAGGCCTACGAAGGAGTGTCAAGGCTCACGAAGGAGTGTCAAGGCCTACGAAGGAGTGTCAAGGCTCACGAAGGAGTGTCAAGGCTCACAAAGGAGTGTCAAGGCTCACGAAGAAGTGTCAAGGCCTACGAAGGAGTGTCAAGGCTCACGAAGGAGTGTCAAGGCCTACGAAGGAGTGTCAAGGCTCACGAAGGAGTGTCAAGGCCTACGAAGGAGTGTCAAGGCTCACGAAGGAGTGTCAAGGCCTACGAAGGAGTGTCAAGGCTCACGAAGGAGTGTCAAGGCTCACAAAGGAGTGTCAAGGCTCACGAAGAAGTGTCAAGGCCTACGAAGGAGTGTCAAGGCTCACGAAGGAGTGTCAAGGCCTACGAAGGAGTGTCAAGGCCTACGAAGGAGTGTAAAGGCTCACGAAGGAGTGTCAAGGCCTACGAAGGAGTGTCAAGGCTCACGAAGGAGTGTCAAGGCCTACGAAGGAGTGTCAAGGCTCACGAAGGAGCGCCAAGGCCTACGAAGGAGTGTCAAGGCTCACGAAGGAGTGTCAAGGCCTACGAAGGAGTGTCAAGGCTCGCGAAGGAGTGTCAAGGCCTACGAAGGAGTGTCAAGGCTCATGAAGGAGTGTTAAGGCTCACGAAGGAGTGTCAAGGCCTACGAAGGAGTGTCAAGGCTCACGAAGGAGTGTCAAGGCTCACAAAGGAGTGTCAAGGCTCACGAAGGAGTGTCAAGGCCTACGAAGGAGTGTCAAGGCTCACGAAGGAGTGTCAAGGCCTACGAAGGAGTGTCAAGGCTCACGAAGGAGTGTCAAGGCCTACGAAGGAGTGTCAAGGCTCACGAAGGAGTGTCAAGGCTCACGAAGGAGTGTCAAGGCCTACGAAGGAGAATCAAGGCCTACGAAGGAGTGTCAAGGCTCACGAAGGAGTGTCAAGGCCTACGAAGGAGTGTCAAGGCTCACGAAGGAGTGTCAAGGCCTACGAAGGAGTGTCAAGGCTCACGAAGGAGTGTCAAGGCTCACAAAGGAGTGTCAAGGCTCACGAAGAAGTGTCAAGGCCTACGAAGGAGTGTCAAGGCTCACGAAGGAGTGTCAAGGCCTACGAAGGAGTGTCAAGGCTCACGAAGGAGTGTCAAGGCCTACGAAGGAGTGTCAAGGCTCACGAAGGAGTGTCAAGGCCTACGAAGGAGTGTCAAGGCTCACGAAGGAGTGTCAAGGCTCACAAAGGAGTGTCAAGGCTCACGAAGAAGTGTCAAGGCCTACGAAGGAGTGTCAAGGCTCACGAAGGAGTGTCAAGGCCTACGAAGGAGTGTCAAGGCCTACGAAGGAGTGTAAAGGCTCACGAAGGAGTGTCAAGGCCTACGAAGGAGTGTCAAGGCTCACGAAGGAGTGTCAAGGCCTACGAAGGAGTGTCAAGGCTCACGAAGGAGCGCCAAGGCCTACGAAGGAGTGTCAAGGCTCACGAAGGAGTGTCAAGGCCTACGAAGGAGTGTCAAGGCTCGCGAAGGAGTGTCAAGGCCTACGAAGGAGTGTCAAGGCTCATGAAGGAGTGTTAAGGCTCACGAAGGAGTGTCAAGGCCTACGAAGGAGTGTCAAGGCTCACGAAGGAGTGTCAAGGCTCACAAAGGAGTGTCAAGGCTCACGAAGGAGTGTCAAGGCCTACGAAGGAGTGTCAAGGCTCACGAAGGAGTGTCAAGGCCTACGAAGGAGTGTCAAGGCTCACGAAGGAGTGTCAAGGCCTACGAAGGAGTGTCAAGGCTCACGAAGGAGTGTCAAGGCTCACGAAGGAGTGTCAAGGCCTACGAAGGAGAATCAAGGCCTACGAAGGAGTGTCAAGGCTCACGAAGGAGTGTCAAGGCCTACGAAGGAGTGTCAAGGCTCACGAAGGAGTGTCAAGGCTCACAAAGGAGTGTCAAGGCCTACGAAGGAGTGTCAAGGCTCGCGAAGGAGTGTCAAGGCCTACGAAGGAGTGTCAAGGCTCATGAAGGAGTGTTAAGGCTCACGAAGGAGTGTCAAGGCCTACGAAGGAGTGTCAAGGCCTACGAAGGAGTGTCAAGGCTCACAAAGGAGTGTCAAGGCTCACGAAGGAGTGTCAAGGCCTACGAAGGAGTGTCAAGGCTCACGAAGGAGTGTCAAGGCCTACGAAGGAGTGTCAAGGCTCACGAAGGAGTGTCAAGGCTCACAAAGGAGTGTCAAGGCTCACGAAGGAGTGTCAAGGCCTACGAAGGAGTGTCAAGGCTCACGAAGGAGTGTCAAGGCTCACAAAGGAGTGTCAAGGCTCACGAAGGAGTGTCAAGGCCTACGAAGGAGTGTCAAGGCTCACGAAGGAGTGTCAAGGCCTACGAAGGAGTGTCAAGGCTCACGAAGGAGTGTCAAGGCCTACGAAGGAGTGTCAAGGCTCACGAAGGAGTGTCAAGGCTCACGAAGGAGTGTCAAGGCCTACGAAGGAGAATCAAGGCCTACGAAGGAGTGTCAAGGCTCACGAAGGAGTGTCAAGGCCTACGAAGGAGTGTCAAGGCTCACGAAGGAGTGTCAAGGCCTACGAAGGAGTGTCAAGGCTCACGAAGGAGTGTCAAGGCTCACAAAGGAGTGTCAAGGCTCACGAAGAAGTGTCAAGGCCTACGAAGGAGTGTCAAGGCTCACGAAGGAGTGTCAAGGCCTACGAAGGAGTGTCAAGACTCACGAAGGAGTGTCAAGGCACGAAGGAGTGTCAAGGCTCACGAAGGAGTGTCAAGGCCTACGAAGGAGTGTCAAGGCTCACGAAGGAGTGCCAAGGCCTACGAAGGAGTGTCAAGGCTCACGAAGGAGTGTCAAATCCTACGAAGGAGTGTCAAGGCTCACGAAGGAGTGTCAAGGCCTACGAAGGAGTGTCAAGGCTCATGAAGGAGTGTTAAGGCTCACGAAGGAGTGTCAAGGCCTACGAAGGAGTGTCAAGGCCTACGAAGGAGTGTCAAGGCTCACGAAGGAGTGTCAAGGCTCACAAAGGAGTGTCAAGGCTCACGAAGGAGTGTCAAGGCACGAAGGAGTGTCAAGGCTCACAAAGGAGTGTCAAGGCTCACGAAGGAGTGTCAAGGCCTACGAAGGAGTGTCAAGGCTCACGAAGGAGTGTCAAGGCTCACAAAGGAGTGTCAAGGCTCACGAAGGAGTGTCAAGGCCTACGAAGGAGTGTCAAGGCTCACGAAGGAGTGTCAAGGCCTACGAAGGAGTGTCAAGGCTCACGAAGGAGTGTCAAGGCCTACGAAGGAGTGTCAAGGCTCACGAAGGAGTGTCAAGGCTCACGAAGGAGTGTCAAGGCCTACGAAGGAGAATCAAGGCCTACGAAGGAGTGTCAAGGCTCACGAAGGAGTGTCAAGGCCTACGAAGGAGTGTCAAGGCTCACGAAGGAGTGTCAAGGCCTACGAAGGAGTGTCAAGGCTCACGAAGGAGTGTCAAGGCTCACAAAGGAGTGTCAAGGCTCACGAAGAAGTGTCAAGGCCTACGAAGGAGTGTCAAGGCTCACGAAGGAGTGTCAAGGCCTACGAAGGAGTGTCAAGACTCACGAAGGAGTGTCAAGGCACGAAGGAGTGTCAAGGCTCACGAAGGAGTGTCAAGGCCTACGAAGGAGTGTCAAGGCTCACGAAGGAGTGCCAAGGCCTACGAAGGAGTGTCAAGGCTCACGAAGGAGTGTCAAATCCTACGAAGGAGTGTCAAGGCTCACGAAGGAGTGTCAAGGCCTACGAAGGAGTGTCAAGGCTCATGAAGGAGTGTTAAGGCTCACGAAGGAGTGTCAAGGCCTACGAAGGAGTGTCAAGGCCTACGAAGGAGTGTCAAGGCTCACGAAGGAGTGTCAAGGCTCACAAAGGAGTGTCAAGGCTCACGAAGGAGTGTCAAGGCCTACGAAGGAGTGTCAAGGCTCACGAAGGAGTGTCAAGGCTCACAAAGGAGTGTCAAGGCTCACGAAGGAGTGTCAAGGCCTACGAAGGAGTGTCAAGGCTCACGAAGGAGTGTCAAGGCCTACGAAGGAGTGTCAAGGCTCACGAAGGAGTGTCAAGGCCTACGAAGGAGTGTCAAGGCTCACGAAGGAGTGTCAAGGCCTACGAAGGAGTGTCAAGGCTCACGAAGGAGTGTCAAGGCTCACAAAGGAGTGTCAAGGCTCACGAAGAAGTGTCAAGGCCTACGAAGGAGTGTCAAGGCTCACGAAGGAGTGTCAAGGCCTACGAAGGAGTGTCAAGGCCTACGAAGGAGTGTAAAGGCTCACGAAGGAGTGTCAAGGCCTACGAAGGAGTGTCAAGGCTCACGAAGGAGTGTCAAGGCCTACGAAGGAGTGTCAAGGCTCACGAAGGAGCGCCAAGGCCTACGAAGGAGTGTCAAGGCTCACGAAGGAGTGTCAAGGCCTACGAAGGAGTGTCAAGGCTCACGAAGGAGTGTCAAGGCTCACAAAGGAGTGTCAAGGCTCACGAAGGAGTGCCAAGGCCTACGAAGGAGTGTCAAGGCTCACGAAGGAGTGTCAAGGCCTACGAAGGAGTGTCAAGGCCTACAAAGGAGTGTCAAGGCTCACGAAGGAGTGTTAAGGCTCACGAAGGAGTGTCAAGGCTCACGAAGGAGTGTCAAGGCTCACGAAGGAGTGCCAAGGCCTACGAAGGAGTGTCAAGGCTCACGAAGGAGTGTCAAAGCCTACGAAGGAGTGTCAAGGCTCACGAAGGAGTGTCAAGGCCTACGAAGGAGTGTCAAGGCTCATGAAGGAGTGTTAAGGCTCACGAAGGAGTGTCAAGGCCTACGAAGGAGTGTCAAGGCCTACGAAGGAGTGTCAAGGCTCACGAAGGAGTGTCAAGGCTCACAAAGGAGTGTCAAGGCTCACGAAGGAGTGTCAAGGCCTACGAAGGAGTGTCAAGGCTCACGAAGGAGTGTCAAGGCTCACGAAGGAGTGTCAAGGCCTACGAAGGAGTGTCAAGGCTCACGAAGGAGTGTCAAGGCTCACGAAGGAGTGTCAAGGCCTACGAAGGAGTGTCAAGGCTCACGAAGGAGTGTCAAGGCCTACGAAGGAGTGTCAAGGCTCACGAAGGAGTGTCAAGGCCTACGAAGGAGTGTCAAGGCTCACGAAGGAGTGTCAAGGCTCACGAAGGAGTGTCAAGGCCTACGAAGGAGAATCAAGGCCTACGAAGGAGTGTCAAGGCTCACGAAGGAGTGTCAAGGCCTACGAAGGAGTGTCAAGGCTCACGAAGGAGTGTCAAGGCCTACGAAGGAGTGTCAAGGCTCACGAAGGAGTGTCAAGGCTCACAAAGGAGTGTCAAGGCTCACGAAGAAGTGTCAAGGCCTACGAAGGAGTGTCAAGGCTCACGAAGGAGTGTCAAGGCCTACGAAGGAGTGTCAAGGCTCACGAAGGAGTGTCAAGGCCTACGAAGGAGTGTCAAGGCTCACGAAGGAGTGTCAAGGCCTACGAAGGAGTGTCAAGGCTCACGAAGGAGTGTCAAGGCTCACAAAGGAGTGTCAAGGCTCACGAAGAAGTGTCAAGGCCTACGAAGGAGTGTCAAGGCTCACGAAGGAGTGTCAAGGCCTACGAAGGAGTGTCAAGGCCTACGAAGGAGTGTAAAGGCTCACGAAGGAGTGTCAAGGCCTACGAAGGAGTGTCAAGGCTCACGAAGGAGTGTCAAGGCCTACGAAGGAGTGTCAAGGCTCACGAAGGAGCGCCAAGGCCTACGAAGGAGTGTCAAGGCTCACGAAGGAGTGTCAAGGCCTACGAAGGAGTGTCAAGGCTCGCGAAGGAGTGTCAAGGCCTACGAAGGAGTGTCAAGGCTCATGAAGGAGTGTTAAGGCTCACGAAGGAGTGTCAAGGCCTACGAAGGAGTGTCAAGGCTCACGAAGGAGTGTCAAGGCTCACAAAGGAGTGTCAAGGCTCACGAAGGAGTGTCAAGGCCTACGAAGGAGTGTCAAGGCTCACGAAGGAGTGTCAAGGCCTACGAAGGAGTGTCAAGGCTCACGAAGGAGTGTCAAGGCTCACGAAGGAGTGTCAAGGCTCACGAAGGAGTGCCAAGGCCTACGAAGGAGTGTCAAGGCTCACGAAGGAGTGTCAAAGCCTACGAAGGAGTGTCAAGGCTCACGAAGGAGTGTCAAGGCCTACGAAGGAGTGTCAAGGCTCATGAAGGAGTGTTAAGGCTCACGAAGGAGTGTCAAGGCCTACGAAGGAGTGTCAAGGCCTACGAAGGAGTGTCAAGGCTCACGAAGGAGTGTCAAGGCTCACAAAGGAGTGTCAAGGCTCACGAAGGAGTGTCAAGGCCTACGAAGGAGTGTCAAGGCTCACGAAGGAGTGTCAAGGCTCACAAAGGAGTGTCAAGGCTCACGAAGGAGTGTCAAGGCCTACGAAGGAGTGTCAAGGCTCACGAAGGAGTGTCAAGGCCTACGAAGGAGTGTCAAGGCTCACGAAGGAGTGTCAAGGCCTACGAAGGAGTGTCAAGGCTCACGAAGGAGTGTCAAGGCTCACGAAGGAGTGTCAAGGCCTACGAAGGAGAATCAAGGCCTACGAAGGAGTGTCAAGGCTCACGAAGGAGTGTCAAGGCCTACGAAGGAGTGCCAAGGCTCACGAAGGAGTGTCAAGGCCTACGAAGGAGTGTCAAGGCTCACGAAGGAGTGTCAAGGCTCACAAAGGAGTGTCAAGGCTCACGAAGAAGTGTCAAGGCCTACGAAGGAGTGTCAAGGCTCACGAAGGAGTGTCAAGGCCTACGAAGGAGTGTCAAGGCTCACGAAGGAGTGTCAAGGCCTACGAAGGAGTGTCAAGGCTCACGAAGGAGTGTCAAGGCCTACGAAGGAGTGTCAAGGCTCACGAAGGAGTGTCAAGGCCTACGAAGGAGTGTCAAGGCTCACGAAGGAGTGTCAAGGCTCACAAAGGAGTGTCAAGGCCTACGAAGGAGTGTCAAGGCCTACGAAGGAGTGTCAAGGCTCACGAAGGAGTGTCAAGGCTCACAAAGGAGTGTCAAGGCTCACGAAGGAGTGTCAAGGCTCATGAAGGAGTGTCAAGGCCTACGAAGGAGTGTCAAGGCCTACGAAGGAGTGTCAAGGCTCACGAAGGAGTGTCAAGGCTCACGAAGGAGTGTCAAGGCTCACGAAGGAGTGTCAAGGCTCACGAAGGAGTGTCAAGGCTCACGAAGGAGTGCCAAGGCCTACGAAGGAGTGTCAAGGCTCACGAAGGAGTGTCAAGGCCTACGAAGGAGTGTCAAGGCTCACGAAGGAGTGTCAAGGCCTACGAAGGAGTGTCAAGGCTCACGAAGGAGTGTCAAGGCTCACGAAGGAGTGTCAAGGCCTACGAAGGAGAGTCAAAGCCTACGAAGGAGTGTCAAGGCTCACGAAGGAGTGTCAAGGCCTACGAAGGAGTGTCAAGGCTCACGAAGGAGTGTCAAGGCCTACGAAGGAGTGTCAAGGCTCACGAAGGAGTGTCAAGGCCTACGAAGGAGTGTCAAGGCTCACGAAGGAGTGTCAAGGCCTACGAAGGAGTGTCAAGGCTCATGAAGGAGTGTTAAGGCTCACGAAGGAGTGTCAAGGCCTACGAAGGAGTGTCAAGGCTCACGAAGGAGTGTCAAGGCCTACGAAGGAGTGTCAAGGCTCACGAAGGAGTGTCAAGGCCTACGAAGGAGTGTCAAGGCTCACGAAGGAGTGTCAAGGCTCACAAAGGAGTGTCAAGGCCTACGAAGGAGTGTCAAGGCCTACGAAGGAGTGTCAAGGCTCACGAAGGAGTGTCAAGGCTCACAAAGGAGTGTCAAGGCTCACGAAGGAGTGTCAAGGCTCATGAAGGAGTGTCAAGGCCTACGAAGGAGTGTCAAGGCCTACGAAGGAGTGTCAAGGCTCACGAAGGAGTGTCAAGGCTCACGAAGGAGTGTCAAGGCTCACGAAGGAGTGTCAAGGCTCACGAAGGAGTGTCAAGGCTCACGAAGGAGTGCCAAGGCCTACGAAGGAGTGTCAAGGCTCACGAAGGAGTGTCAAGGCCTACGAAGGAGTGTCAAGGCTCACGAAGGAGTGTCAAGGCTCACGAAGGAGTGTCAAGGCCTACGAAGGAGTGTCAAGGCTCACGAAGGAGTGTCAAGGCCTACGAAGGAGTGTCAAGGCTCACGAAGGAGTGTCAAGGCCTACGAAGGAGTGTCAAGGCTCACGAAGGAGTGTCAAGGCTCACAAAGGAGTGTCAAGGCCTACGAAGGAGTGTCAAGGCCTACGAAGGAGTGTCAAGGCTCACGAAGGAGTGTCAAGGCTCACAAAGGAGTGTCAAGGCTCACGAAGGAGTGTCAAGGCTCATGAAGGAGTGTCAAGGCCTACGAAGGAGTGTCAAGGCCTACGAAGGAGTGTCAAGGCTCACGAAGGAGTGTCAAGGCTCACGAAGGAGTGTCAAGGCTCACGAAGGAGTGTCAAGGCTCACGAAGGAGTGTCAAGGCTCACGAAGGAGTGCCAAGGCCTACGAAGGAGTGTCAAGGCTCACGAAGGAGTGTCAAGGCCTACGAAGGAGTGTCAAGGCTCACGAAGGAGTGTCAAGGCCTACGAAGGAGTGTCAAGGCTCACGAAGGAGTGTCAAGGCTCACGAAGGAGTGTCAAGGCCTACGAAGGAGAGTCAAAGCCTACGAAGGAGTGTCAAGGCTCACGAAGGAGTGTCAAGGCCTACGAAGGAGTGTCAAGGCTCACGAAGGAGTGTCAAGGCCTACGAAGGAGTGTCAAGGCTCACGAAGGAGTGTCAAGGCCTACGAAGGAGTGTCAAGGCTCACGAAGGAGTGTCAAGGCCTACGAAGGAGTGTCAAGGCTCATGAAGGAGTGTTAAGGCTCACGAAGGAGTGTCAAGGCCTACGAAGGAGTGTCAAGGCTCACGAAGGAGTGTCAAGGCCTACGAAGGAGTGTCAAGGCTCACGAAGGAGTGTCAAGGCCTACGAAGGAGTGTCAAGGCTCACGAAGGAGTGTCAAGGCTCACAAAGGAGTGTCAAGGCCTACGAAGGAGTGTCAAGGCCTACGAAGGAGTGTCAAGGCTCACGAAGGAGTGTCAAGGCTCACAAAGGAGTGTCAAGGCTCACGAAGGAGTGTCAAGGCTCATGAAGGAGTGTCAAGGCCTACGAAGGAGTGTCAAGGCCTACGAAGGAGTGTCAAGGCTCACGAAGGAGTGTCAAGGCTCACGAAGGAGTGTCAAGGCTCACGAAGGAGTGTCAAGGCTCACGAAGGAGTGTCAAGGCTCACGAAGGAGTGCCAAGGCCTACGAAGGAGTGTCAAGGCTCACGAAGGAGTGTCAAGGCCTACGAAGGAGTGTCAAGGCTCACGAAGGAGTGTCAAGGCCTACGAAGGAGTGTCAAGGCTCACGAAGGAGTGTCAAGGCTCACGAAGGAGTGTCAAGGCCTACGAAGGAGAGTCAAAGCCTACGAAGGAGTGTCAAGGCTCACGAAGGAGTGTCAAGGCCTACGAAGGAGTGTCAAGGCTCACGAAGGAGTGTCAAGGCCTACGAAGGAGTGTCAAGGCTCACGAAGGAGTGTCAAGGCCTACGAAGGAGTGTCAAGGCTCACGAAGGAGTGTCAAGGCTCACAAAGGAGTGTCAAGGCCTACGAAGGAGTGTCAAGGCCTACGAAGGAGTGTCAAGGCTCACGAAGGAGTGTCAAGGCTCACAAAGGAGTGTCAAGGCTCACGAAGGAGTGTCAAGGCTCACGAAGGAGTGTCAAGGCCTACGAAGGAGTGTCAAGGCCTACGAAGGAGTGTCAAGGCTCACGAAGGAGTGTCAAGGCTCACGAAGGAGTGTCAAGGCTCACGAAGGAGTGTCAAGGCTCACGAAGGAGTGTCAAGGCTCACGAAGGAGTGTCAAGGCCTACGAAGGAGTGTCAAGGCCTACGAAGGAGTGTCAAGGCTCACGAAGGAGTGTCAAGGCTCACGAAGGAGTGTCAAGGCTCACGAAGGAGTGCCAAGGCCTACGAAGGAGTGTCAAGGCTCACGAAGGAGTGTCAAGGCCTACGAAGGAGTGTCAAGGCTCACGAAGGAGTGTCAAGGCCTACGAAGGAGTGTCAAGGCTCACGAAGGAGTGCCAATGCTCTCGAAAGAGTGTCAAGGCCTACGAAGGAGAGTTAAGACCTACGAAGGAGTGTCAAGGCTCACGAAGGAGTGTCAAGGCCTACGAAGGAGTGTCAAGGCTCACGAAGGAGTGTCAAGGCCTACGAAGGAGTGTCAAGGCTCACGAAAGAGTGTCAAGACCTACGAAGGAGTGTCAAGGCTCACGAAGGAGTGTCAAGGCTCAAGAAGGAGTGTCAAGGCCTACGAAGGAGTGTCAAGGCTCACGAAGGAGTGTCAAGGCTCACGAAGGAGTGTCAAGGCCTACGAAGGAGTGTCAAGGCTCACGAAGGAGTGTCAAGGCCTACGAAGGAGTGTCAAGGCTCACGAAGGAGTGTCAAGGCCTACGAAGGAGTGTCAAGGCTCACGAAGGAGTGTCAAGGCCTACGAAGGAGTGTCAAGGCTCACGAAGGAGTGTCAAGGCTCACAAAGGAGTGTCAAGGCCTACGAAGGAGTGTCAAGGCCTACGAAGGAGTGTCAAGGCTCACGAAGGAGTGTCAAGGCTCACAAAGGAGTGTCAAGGCTCACGAAGGAGTGTCAAGGCTCACGAAGGAGTGTCAAGGCCTACGAAGGAGTGTCAAGGCCTACGAAGGAGTGTCAAGGCTCACGAAGGAGTGTCAAGGCTCACGAAGGAGTGTCAAGGCTCACGAAGGAGTGTCAAGGCTCACGAAGGAGTGTCAAGGCTCACGAAGGAGTGTCAAGGCCTACGAAGGAGTGTCAAGGCCTACGAAGGAGTGTCAAGGCTCACGAAGGAGTGTCAAGGCTCACGAAGGAGTGTCAAGGCTCACGAAGGAGTGCCAAGGCCTACGAAGGAGTGTCAAGGCTCACGAAGGAGTGTCAAGGCCTACGAAGGAGTGTCAAGGCTCACGAAGGAGTGTCAAGGCCTACGAAGGAGTGTCAAGGCTCACGAAGGAGTGCCAATGCTCTCGAAAGAGTGTCAAGGCCTACGAAGGAGAGTTAAGACCTACGAAGGAGTGTCAAGGCTCACGAAGGAGTGTCAAGGCCTACGAAGGAGTGTCAAGGCTCACGAAGGAGTGTCAAGGCCTACGAAGGAGTGTCAAGGCTCACGAAAGAGTGTCAAGACCTACGAAGGAGTGTCAAGGCTCACGAAGGAGTGTCAAGGCTCAAGAAGGAGTGTCAAGGCCTACGAAGGAGTGTCAAGGCTCACGAAGGAGTGTCAAGGCTCACGAAGGAGTGTCAAGGCCTACGAAGGAGTGTCAAGGCTCACGAAGGAGTGTCAAGGCCTACGAAGGAGTGTCAAGGCTCACGAAGGAGTGTCAAGGCCTACGAAGGAGTGTCAAGGCCTACGAAGGAGTGTCAAGGCTCACGAAGGAGTGTCAAGGCCTACGAAGGAGTGTCAAGGCCTACGAAGGAGTGTCAAGGCTCACGAAGGAGTGTCAAGGCCTACGAAGGAGTGTCAAGGCTCACGAAGGAGTGTCAAGGCTCACAAAGGAGTGTCAAGGCCTACGAAGGAGTGTCAAGGCCTACGAAGGAGTGTCAAGGCTCACGAAGGAGTGTCAAGGCTCACGAAGGAGTGCCAAGGCCTACGAAGGAGTGCCAAGGCTCACGAAGGAGTGTCAAGGCCTACGAAGGAGTGTCAAGGCTCACGAAGGAGTGTCAAGGCTCACGAAGGAGTGTCAAGGCCTACGAAGGAGTGTCAAGGCTCACGAAGGAGTGTCAAGGCCTACGAAGGAGTGTCAAGGCTCACGAAGGAGTGTCAAGGCCTACGAAGGAGTGTCAAGGCTCACGAAGGAGTGTCAAGGCTCACAAAGGAGTGTCAAGGCCTACGAAGGAGTGTCAAGGCCTACGAAGGAGTGTCAAGGCTCACGAAGGAGTGTCAAGGCTCACAAAGGAGTGTCAAGGCTCACGAAGGAGTGTCAAGGCTCACGAAGGAGTGTCAAGGCCTACGAAGGAGTGTCAAGGCCTACGAAGGAGTGTCAAGGCTCACGAAGGAGTGTCAAGGCTCACGAAGGAGTGTCAAGGCTCACGAAGGAGTGTCAAGGCTCACGAAGGAGTGTCAAGGCTCACGAAGGAGTGTCAAGGCCTACGAAGGAGTGTCAAGGCCTACGAAGGAGTGTCAAGGCTCACGAAGGAGTGTCAAGGCTCACGAAGGAGTGTCAAGGCTCACGAAGGAGTGCCAAGGCCTACGAAGGAGTGTCAAGGCTCACGAAGGAGTGTCAAGGCCTACGAAGGAGTGTCAAGGCTCACGAAGGAGTGTCAAGGCCTACGAAGGAGTGTCAAGGCTCACGAAGGAGTGCCAATGCTCTCGAAAGAGTGTCAAGGCCTACGAAGGAGAGTTAAGACCTACGAAGGAGTGTCAAGGCTCACGAAGGAGTGTCAAGGCCTACGAAGGAGTGTCAAGGCTCACGAAGGAGTGTCAAGGCCTACGAAGGAGTGTCAAGGCTCACGAAAGAGTGTCAAGACCTACGAAGGAGTGTCAAGGCTCACGAAGGAGTGTCAAGGCTCAAGAAGGAGTGTCAAGGCCTACGAAGGAGTGTCAAGGCTCACGAAGGAGTGTCAAGGCTCACGAAGGAGTGTCAAGGCCTACGAAGGAGTGTCAAGGCTCACGAAGGAGTGTCAAGGCCTACGAAGGAGTGTCAAGGCTCACGAAGGAGTGTCAAGGCCTACGAAGGAGTGTCAAGGCCTACGAAGGAGTGTCAAGGCTCACGAAGGAGTGTCAAGGCCTACGAAGGAGTGTCAAGGCCTACGAAGGAGTGTCAAGGCTCACGAAGGAGTGTCAAGGCCTACGAAGGAGTGTCAAGGCTCACGAAGGAGTGCCAAGGCCTACGAAGGAGTGTCAAGGCTCACGAAGGAGTGTCAAGGCCTACGAAGGAGTGTCAAGGCTCACGAAGGAGTGTCAAGGCCTACGAAGGAGTGTCAAGGCTCATGAAGGAGTGTTAAGGCTCACGAAGGAGTGTCAAGGCCTACGAAGGAGTGTCAAGGCTCACGAAGGAGTGCCAAGGCTCACAAAGGAGTGTCAAGGCTCACGAAGGAGTGTCAAGGCCTACGAAGGAGTGTCAAGGCTCACGAAGGAGTGTCAAGGCCTACGAAGGAGTGTCAAGGCTCACGAAGGAGTGTCAAGGCCTACGAAGGAGTGTCAAGGCTCACGAAGGAGTGTCAAGGCTCACAAAGGAGTGTCAAGGCCTACGAAGGAGTGTCAAGGCCTACGAAGGAGTGTCAAGGCTCACGAAGGAGTGTCAAGGCTCACAAAGGAGTGTCAAGGCTCACGAAGGAGTGTCAAGGCTCACGAAGGAGTGTCAAGGCCTACGAAGGAGTGTCAAGGCCTACGAAGGAGTGTCAAGGCTCACGAAGGAGTGTCAAGGCTCACGAAGGAGTGTCAAGGCTCACGAAGGAGTGTCAAGGCTCACGAAGGAGTGTCAAGGCTCACGAAGGAGTGTCAAGGCCTACGAAGGAGTGTCAAGGCCTACGAAGGAGTGTCAAGGCTCACGAAGGAGTGTCAAGGCTCACGAAGGAGTGTCAAGGCTCACGAAGGAGTGCCAAGGCCTACGAAGGAGTGTCAAGGCTCACGAAGGAGTGTCAAGGCCTACGAAGGAGTGTCAAGGCTCACGAAGGAGTGTCAAGGCCTACGAAGGAGTGTCAAGGCTCACGAAGGAGTGCCAATGCTCTCGAAAGAGTGTCAAGGCCTACGAAGGAGAGTTAAGACCTACGAAGGAGTGTCAAGGCTCACGAAGGAGTGTCAAGGCCTACGAAGGAGTGTCAAGGCTCACGAAGGAGTGTCAAGGCCTACGAAGGAGTGTCAAGGCTCACGAAAGAGTGTCAAGACCTACGAAGGAGTGTCAAGGCTCACGAAGGAGTGTCAAGGCTCAAGAAGGAGTGTCAAGGCCTACGAAGGAGTGTCAAGGCTCACGAAGGAGTGTCAAGGCTCACGAAGGAGTGTCAAGGCCTACGAAGGAGTGTCAAGGCTCACGAAGGAGTGTCAAGGCCTACGAAGGAGTGTCAAGGCTCACGAAGGAGTGTCAAGGCCTACGAAGGAGTGTCAAGGCCTACGAAGGAGTGTCAAGGCTCACGAAGGAGTGTCAAGGCCTACGAAGGAGTGTCAAGGCCTACGAAGGAGTGTCAAGGCTCACGAAGGAGTGTCAAGGCCTACGAAGGAGTGTCAAGGCTCACGAAGGAGTGCCAAGGCCTACGAAGGAGTGTCAAGGCTCACGAAGGAGTGTCAAGGCCTACGAAGGAGTGTCAAGGCTCACGAAGGAGTGTCAAGGCCTACGAAGGAGTGTCAAGGCTCATGAAGGAGTGTTAAGGCTCACGAAGGAGTGTCAAGGCCTACGAAGGAGTGTCAAGGCTCACGAAGGAGTGCCAAGGCTCACAAAGGAGTGTCAAGGCTCACGAAGGAGTGTCAAGGCCTACGAAGGAGTGTCAAGGCTCACGAAGGAGTGTCAAGGCCTACGAAGGAGTGTCAAGGCTCACGAAGGAGTGTCAAGGCTCACGAAGGAGTGTCAAGGCTCACGAAGGAGTGCCAAGGCCTACGAAGGAGTGTCAAGGCTCACGAAGGAGTGTCAAAGCCTACGAAGGAGTGTCAAGGCTCACGAAGGAGTGTCAAGGCCTACGAAGGAGTGTCAAGGCTCATGAAGGAGTGTTAAGGCTCACGAAGGAGTGTCAAGGCCTACGAAGGAGTGTCAAGGCCTACGAAGGAGTGTCAAGGCTCACGAAGGAGTGTCAAGGCTCACAAAGGAGTGTCAAGGCTCACGAAGGAGTGTCAAGGCCTACGAAGGAGTGTCAAGGCTCACGAAGGAGTGTCAAGGCCTACGAAGGAGTGTCAAGGCTCACGAAGGAGTGTCAAGGCCTACGAAGGAGTGTCAAGGCTCACGAAGGAGTGTCAAGGCTCACGAAGGAGTGTCAAGGCCTACGAAGGAGAGTCAAGGCCTACGAAGGAGTGTCAAGGCCTACGAAGGAGTGTCAAGGCTCACGAAGGAGTGTCAAGGCCTACGAAGGAGTGTCAAGGCTCACGAAGGAGTGTCAAGGCTCACGAAGGAGTGTCAATGCTCACGAAGGAGTGTCAAGGCTCACGAAGGAGTGTCAAGGCCTACGAAGGAGTGTCAAGGCCTACGAAGGAGTGTCAAGGCTCACAAAGGAGTGTCAAGGCCTACGAAGGAGTGTCAAGGCTCACGAAGGAGTGTCAAGGCTCACGAAGGAGTGTCAAGGCTCACGAAGGAGTGCCAAGGCCTACGAAGGAGTGTCAAGGCTCACGAAGGAGTGTCAAGGCCTACGAAGGAGTGTCAAGGCCTACGAAGGAGTGTCAAGGCTCACGAAGGAGTGTCAAGGCCTACGAAGGAGTGTCAAGGCTCACGAAGGAGTGTCAAGGCCTACGAAGGAGTGTCAAGGCTCACGAAGGAGTGTCAAGGCCTACGAAGGAGAGTCAAGGCCTACGAAGGAGTGTCAAGGCTCACGAAGGAGTGTCAAGGCTCACGAAGGAGTGTCAAGGCCTACGAAGGAGTGTCAAGGCTCACGAAGGAGTGTCAAGGCCTACGAAGGAGTGTCAAGGCTCACGAAGGAGTGTCAAGGCTCACGAAGGAGTGTCAAGGCCTACGAAGGAGAGTCAAGGCCTACGAAGGAGTGTCAAGGCTCACGAAGGAGTGTCAAGGCCTACGAAGGAGTGTCAAGGCTCACAAAGGAGTGTCAAGGCCTACGAAGGAGTGTCAAGGCCTACGAAGGAGTGTCAAGGCTCACGAAGGAGTGTCAAGGCCTACGAAGGAGTGTCAAGGCCTACGAAGGAGTGTCAAGGCTCACGAAGGAGTGTCAAGGCTCACGAAGGAGTGTCAATGCTCACGAAGGAGTGTCAGGGCTCACGAAGGAGTGTCAAGGCCTACGAAGGAGTGTCAAGGCCTACGAAGGAGTGTCAAGGCTCACGAAGGAGTGTCAAGGCCTACGAAGGAGTGTCAAGGCTCACGAAGGAGTGTCAAGGCTCACGAAGGAGTGTCAAGGCCTACGAAGGAGTGTCAAGGCTCACGAAGGATTGTCAAGGCTCACGAAGGAGTGTCAAGGCTCACGAAGGAGTGTCAAAGCCTACGAAGGAGTGTCAAGGCTCACGAAGGAGTGTCAAGGCCTACGAAGGAGTGTCAAGGCTCATGAAGGAGTGTTAAGGCTCACGAAGGAGTGTCAAGGCCTACGAAGGAGTGTCAAGGCCTACGAAGGAGTGTCAAGGCTCACGAAGGAGTGTCAAGGCTCACAAAGGAGTGTCAAGGCTCACGAAGGAGTGTCAAGGACTACGAAGGAGTGTCAAGGCTCACGAAGGAGTGTCAAGGCTCACGAAGGAGTGTCAAGGCTCACGAAGGAGTGTCAAGGCTCACGAAGGAGTGTCAAGGCTCACGAAGGAGTGTCAAGGCTCACGAAGGAGTGCCAAGGCCTACGAAGGAGTGTCAAGGCTCACGAAGGAGTGTCAAGGCCTACGAAGGAGTGTCAAGGCTCACGAAAGAGTGTCAAGGCCTACGAAGGAGTGTCAAGGCTCATGAAGGAGTGTTAAGGCTCACGAAGGAGTGTCAAGGCCTACGAAGGAGTGTCAAGGGCTACGAAAGAGTGTCAAGGCTCACGAAGGTGTGTCAAGGCCTACGAAGGAGTGTCAAGGCTCACGAAGGAGTGTCAAGGCTCACAAAGGAGTGTCAAGGCTCACGAAGGAGTGTCAAGGCCTACGAAGGAGTGTCAAGGCTCACGAAGGAGTGTCAAGGCTCACGAAGGAGTGTCAAGGCCTACGAAGGAGTGTCAAGGCTCACGAAGGAGTGTCAAGGCTCACGAAGGAGTGCCAATGCTCTCGAAAGAGTGTCAAGGCCTACGAAGGAGAGTTAAGACCTACGAAGGAGTGTCAAGGCTCACGAAGGAGTGTCAAGGCCTACGAAGGAGTGTCAAGGCTCACGAAGGAGTGTCAAGGCCTACGAAGGAGTGTCAAGGCTCACGAAAGAGTGTCAAGACCTACGAAGGAGTGTCAAGGCTCACGAAGGAGTGTCAAGGCTCACGAAGGAGTGTCAAGGCCTACGAAGGAGTGTCAAGGCTCACGAAGGAGTGTCAAGGCTCACGAAGGAGTGTCAAGGCCTACGAAGGAGTGTCAAGGCTCACGAAGGAGTGTCAAGGCCTACGAAGGAGTGTCAAGGCTCACGAAGGAGTGTCAAGGCCTACGAAGGAGTGTCAAGGCCTACGAAGGAGTGTCAAGGCTCACGAAGGAGTGTCAAGGCCTACGAAGGAGTGTCAAGGCCTACGAAGGAGTGTCAATTCTCACGAAGGAGTGCCAAGGCCTACGAAGGAGTGTCAAGGCTCACGAAGGAGTGTCAAGGCTCACGAAGGAGTGTCAAGGCTCACGAAGGAGTGTCAAGGCCTACGAAGGAGTGTCAAGGCTCATGAAGGAGTGTTAAGGCTCACGAAGGAGTGTCAAGGCTCACGAAGGAGTGTCAAGGCTCACAAAGGAGTGTCAAGGCTCACGAAGGAGTGTCAAGGCTCACGAAGGAGTGTCAAGGCTCACAAAGGAGTGTCAAGGCTCACGAAGGAGTGTCAAGGCCTACGAAGGAGTGTCAAGGCTCACGAAGGAGTGTCAAGGCCTACGAAGGAGTGTCAAGGCTCACGAAGGAGTGTCAAGGCCTACGAAGGAGTGTCAAGGCTCACGAAGGAGTGTCAAGGCCTACGAAGGAGTGTCAAGGCTCACGAAGGAGTGTCAAGGCCTACGAAGGAGTGTCAAGGCCTACGAAGGAGTGTCAAGGCCTACGAAGGAGTGTCAATTCTCACGAAGGAGTGTCAAGGCCTACGAAGGAGTGTCAAGGCTCATGAAGGAGTGCTAAGGCTCACGAAGGAGTGTCAAGGCTCACGAAGGAGTGTCAAGGCTCACAAAGGAGTGTCAAGGCTCACGAAGGAGTGTCAAGGCCTACGAAGGAGTGTCAAGGCTCACGAAGGAGTGTCAAGGCCTACGAAGGAGTGTCAAGGCTCACGAAGGAGTGTCAAGGCCTACGAAGGAGTGTCAAGGCTCACGAAGGAGTGTCAAGGCTCACGAAGGAGTGTCAAGGCCTACGAAGGAGAGTCAAAGCCTACGAAGGAGTGTCAAGGCTCACGAAGGAGTGTCAAGGCCTACGAAGGAGTGTCAAGGCTCACGAAGGAGTGTCAAGGCCTACGAAGGAGTGTCAAGGCTCACGAAGGAGTGTCAAGGCCTACGAAGGAGTGTCAAGGCTCACGAAGGAGTGTCAAGGCCTACGAAGGAGTGTCAAGGCTCACGAAGGAGTGTCAAGGCTCACAAAGGAGTGTCAAGGCCTACGAAGGAGTGTCAAGGCCTACGAAGGAGTGTCAAGGCTCACGAAGGAGTGTCAAGGCCTACGAAGGAGTGTCAATGCCTACGAAGGAGTGTCAAGGCTCACGAAGGAGTGTCAAGGCTCACGAAGGAGTGTCAAGGCTCACGAAGGAGTGCCAAGGCCTACGAAGGAGTGTCAAGGCTCACGAAGGAGTGTCAAGGCCTACGAAGGAGTGTCAAGGCTCACGAAGGAGTGTCAAGGCCTACGAAGGAGTGTCAAGGCTCACGAAGGAGTGTCAAGGCCTACGAAGGAGTGTCAAGGCTCACGAAGGAGTGTCAAGGCCTACGAAGGAGTGTCAAGGCTCACGAAGGAGTGTCAAGGCCTACGAAGGAGTGTCAAGGCTCACGAAGGAGTGTCAAGGCTCACAAAGGAGTGTCAAGGCCTACGAAGGAGTGTCAAGGCCTACGAAGGAGTGTCAAGGCTCACGAAGGAGTGTCAAGGCCTACGAAGGAGTGTCAAGGCCTACGAAGGAGTGTCAAGGCTCACGAAGGAGTGTCAAGGCTCAAGAAGGAGTGTCAAGGCTCACGAAGGAGTGCCAAGGCCTACGAAGGAGTGTCAAGGCTCACGAAGGAGTGTCAAGGCCTACGAAGGAGTGTCAAGGCTCACGAAGGAGTGTCAAGGCTCAAGAAGGAGTGTCAAGGCCTACGAAGGAGTGTCAAGGCTCACGAAGGAGTGTCAAGGCTCACGAAGGAGTGTCAAGGCCTACGAAGGAGTGTCAAGGCCTACGAAGGAGTGTCAAGGCTCACGAAGGAGTGTCAAGGCCTACGAAGGAGTGTCAAGGCCTACGAAGGAGTGTCAAGGCTCACGAAGGAGTGTCAAGGCCTACGAAGGAGTGTCAAGGCCTACGAAGGAGTGTCAAGGCTCACGAAGGAGTGTCAAGGCCTACGAAGGAGTGTCAAGGCTCACGAAGGAGTGTCAAGGCCTACGAAGGAGTGTCAAGGCTCACGAAGGAGTGTCAAGGCCTACGAAGGAGTGTCAAGGCTCACGAAGGAGTGTCAAGGCTCACGAAGGAGTGTCAAGGCCTACGAAGGAGAGTCAAAGCCTACGAAGGAGTGTCAAGGCTCACGAAGGAGTGTCAAGGCCTACGAAGGAGTGTCAAGGCTCACGAAGGAGTGTCAAGGCCTACGAAGGAGTGTCAAGGCTCACGAAGGAGTGTCAAGGCCTACGAAGGAGTGTCAAGGCTCACGAAGGAGTGTCAAGGCCTACGAAGGAGTGTCAAGGCTCACGAAGGAGTGTCAAGGCTCACAAAGGAGTGTCAAGGCCTACGAAGGAGTGTCAAGGCCTACGAAGGAGTGTCAAGGCTCACGAAGGAGTGTCAAGGCCTACGAAGGAGTGTCAAGGCCTACGAAGGAGTGTCAAGGCTCACGAAGGAGTGTCAAGGCTCACAAAGGAGTGTCAAGGCTCACGAAGGAGTGTCAAGGCCTACGAAGGAGTGTCAAGGCTCACGAAGGAGTGTCAAGGCCTACGAAGGAGTGTCAAGGCTCACGAAGGAGTGTCAAGGCCTACGAAGGAGTGTCAAGGCTCACGAAGGAGTGTCAAGGCTCACGAAGGAGTGTCAAGGCCTACGAAGGAGAGTCAAAGCCTACCAAGGAGTGTCAAGGCTCACGAAGGAGTGTCAAGGCCTACGAAGGAGTGTCAAGGCTCACGAAGGAGTGTCAAGGCTCACAAAGGAGTGTCAAGGCCTACGAAGGAGTGTCAAGGCCTACGAAGGAGTGTCAAGGCTCACGAAGGAGTGTCAAGGCCTACGAAGGAGTGTCAAGGCCTACGAAGGAGTGTCAAGGCTCACGAAGGAGTGTCAAGGCTCACAAAGGAGTGTCAAGGCTCACGAAGGAGTGTCAAGGCCTACGAAGGAGTGTCAAGGCTCACGAAGGAGTGTCAAGGCCTACGAAGGAGTGTCAAGGCTCACGAAGGAGTGTCAAGGCCTACGAAGGAGTGTCAAGGCTCACGAAGGAGTGTCAAGGCTCACGAAGGAGTGTCAAGGCCTACGAAGGAGAGTCAAAGCCTACGAAGGAGTGTCAAGGCTCACGAAGGAGTGTCAAGGCCTACGAAGGAGTGTCAAGGCTCACGAAGGAGTGTCAAGGCCTACGAAGGAGTGTCAAGGCTCACGAAGGAGTGTCAAGGCCTACGAAGGAGTGTCAAGGCTCACGAAGGAGTGTCAAGGCCTACGAAGGAGTGTCAAGGCTCACGAAGGAGTGTCAAGGCTCACAAAGGAGTGTCAAGGCCTACGAAGGAGTGTCAAGGCCTACGAAGGAGTGTCAAGGCTCACGAAGGAGTGTCAAGGCCTACGAAGGAGTGTCAAGGCCTACGAAGGAGTGTCAAGGCTCACGAAGGAGTGTCAAGGCTCACGAAGGAGTGTCAAGGCTCACGAAGGAGTGCCAAGGCCTACGAAGGAGTGTCAAGGCTCACGAAGGAGTGTCAAGGCCTACGAAGGAGTGTCAAGGCTCACGAAGGAGTGTCAAGGCCTACGAAGGAGTGTCAAGGCTCACGAAGGAGTGTCAAGGCCTACGAAGGAGTGTCAAGGCTCACGAAGGAGTGTCAAGGCCTACGAAGGAGTGTCAAGGCTCACGAAGGAGTGTCAAGGCCTACGAAGGAGTGTCAAGGCTCACGAAGGAGTGTCAAGGCTCACAAAGGAGTGTCAAGGCCTACGAAGGAGTGTCAAGGCCTACGAAGGAGTGTCAAGGCTCACGAAGGAGTGTCAAGGCCTACGAAGGAGTGTCAAGGCCTACGAAGGAGTGTCAAGGCTCACGAAGGAGTGTCAAGGCTCACGAAGGAGTGTCAAGGCTCACGAAGGAGTGCCAAGGCCTACGAAGGAGTGTCAAGGCTCACGAAGGAGTGTCAAGGCCTACGAAGGAGTGTCAAGGCTCACGAAGGAGTGTCAAGGCTCAAGAAGGAGTGTCAAGGCTCAAGAAGGAGTGTCAAGGCCTACGAAGGAGTGTCAAGGCTCACGAAGGAGTGTCAAGGCTCACGAAGGAGTGTCAAGGCCTACGAAGGAGTGTCAAGGCCTACGAAGGAGTGTCAAGGCTCACGAAGGAGTGTCAAGGCCTACGAAGGAGTGTCAAGGCCTACGAAGGAGTGTCAAGGCTCACGAAGGAGTGTCAAGGCCTACGAAGGAGTGTCAAGGCCTACGAAGGAGTGTCAAGGCTCACGAAGGAGTGTCAAGGCCTACGAAGGAGTGTCAAGGCTCACGAAGGAGTGCCAAGGCCTACGAAGGAGTGTCAAGGCTCACGAAGGAGTGTCAAGGCCTACGAAGGAGTGTCAAGGCTCACGAAGGAGTGTCAAGGCCTACGAAGGAGTGTCAAGGCTCATGAAGGAGTGTTAAGGCTCACGAAGGAGTGTCAAGGCCTACGAAGGAGTGTCAAGGCTCACGAAGGAGTGTCAAGGCTCACAAAGGAGTGTCAAGGCCTACGAAGGAGTGTCAAGGCTCACGAAGGAGTGTCAAAGCCTACGAAGGAGTGTCAAGTCTCACGAAGGAGTGTCAAGGCCTACGAAGGAGTGTCAAGGCTCATGAAGGAGTGTTAAGGCTCACGAAGGAGTGTCAAGGCCTACGAAGGAGTGTCAAGGCCTACGAAGGAGTGTCAAGGCTCACGAAGGAGTGTCAAGGCTCACAAAGGAGTGTCAAGGCTCACGAAGGAGTGTCAAGGCCTACGAAGGAGTGTCAAGGCTCACGAAGGAGTGTCAAGGCCTACGAAGGAGTGTCAAGGCTCACGAAGGAGTGTCAAGGCCTACGAAGGAGTGTCAAGGCTCACGAAGGAGTGTCAAGGCTCACGAAGGAGTGTCAAGGCCTACGAAGGAGAGTCAAGGCCTACGAAGGAGTGTCAAGGCCTACGAAGGAGTGTCAAGGCTCACGAAGGAGTGTCAAGGCTCACGAAGGAGTGTCAATGCTCACGAAGGAGTGTCAAGGCTCACGAAGGAGTGTCAAGGCCTACGAAGGAGTGTCAAGGCCTACGAAGGAGTGTCAAGGCTCACAAAGGAGTGTCAAGGCCTACGAAGGAGTGTCAAGGCTCACGAAGGAGTGTCAAGGCTCACGAAGGAGTGTCAAGGCTCACGAAGGAGTGCCAAGGCCTACGAAGGAGTGTCAAGGCTCACGAAGGAGTGTCAAGGCTCACGAAGGAGTGTCAAGGCCTACGAAGGAGTGTCAAGGCTCACGAAGGAGTGTCAAGGCTCAAGAAGGAGTGTCAAGGCTCACGAAGGAGTGTCAAGGCTCATGAAGGAGTGTTAAGGCTCACGAAGGAGTGTCAAGGCCTACGAAGGAGTGTCAAGGCTCACGAAGGAGTGTCAAGGCTCACAAAGGAGTGTCAAGGCCTACGAAGGAGTGTCAAGGCTCACGAAGGAGTGTCAAAGCCTACGAAGGAGTGTCAAGTCTCACGAAGGAGTGTCAAGGCCTACGAAGGAGTGTCAAGGCTCATGAAGGAGTGTTAAGGCTCACGAAGGAGTGTCAAGGCCTACGAAGGAGTGTCAAGGCCTACGAAGGAGTGTCAAGGCTCACGAAGGAGTGTCAAGGCTCACAAAGGAGTGTCAAGGCTCACGAAGGAGTGTCAAGGCCTACGAAGGAGTGTCAAGGCTCACGAAGGAGTGTCAAGGCCTACGAAGGAGTGTCAAGGCTCACGAAGGAGTGTCAAGGCCTACGAAGGAGTGTCAAGGCTCACGAAGGAGTGTCAAGGCTCACGAAGGAGTGTCAAGGCCTACGAAGGAGAGTCAAGGCCTACGAAGGAGTGTCAAGGCCTACGAAGGAGTGTCAAGGCTCACGAAGGAGTGTCAAGGCCTACGAAGGAGTGTCAAGGCTCACGAAGGAGTGTCAAGGCTCACGAAGGAGTGTCAATGCTCACGAAGGAGTGTCAAGGCTCACGAAGGAGTGTCAAGGCCTACGAAGGAGTGTCAAGGCCTACGAAGGAGTGTCAAGGCTCACAAAGGAGTGTCAAGGCCTACGAAGGAGTGTCAAGGCTCACGAAGGAGTGTCAAGGCTCACGAAGGAGTGTCAAGGCTCACGAAGGAGTGCCAAGGCCTACGAAGGAGTGTCAAGGCTCACGAAGGAGTGTCAAGGCCTACGAAGGAGTGTCAAGGCCTACGAAGGAGTGTCAAGGCTCACGAAGGAGTGTCAAGGCCTACGAAGGAGTGTCAAGGCTCACGAAGGAGTGTCAAGGCCTACGAAGGAGTGTCAAGGCTCACGAAGGAGTGTCAAGGCCTACGAAGGAGTGTCAAGGCTCACGAAGGAGTGTCAAGGCCTACGAAGGAGAGTCAAGGCCTACGAAGGAGTGTCAAGGCTCACGAAGGAGTGTCAAGGCTCACGAAGGAGTGTCAAGGCCTACGAAGGAGTGTCAAGGCTCACGAAGGAGTGTCAAGGCCTACGAAGGAGTGTCAAGGCTCACGAAGGAGTGTCAAGGCTCACGAAGGAGTGTCAAGGCCTACGAAGGAGAGTCAAGGCCTACGAAGGAGTGTCAAGGCTCACGAAGGAGTGTCAAGGCCTACGAAGGAGTGTCAAGGCTCACGAAGGAGTGTCAAGGCCTACGAAGGAGTGTCAAGGCTCACGAAGGAGTGTCAAGGCTCACGAAGGAGTGTCAATGCTCACGAAGGAGTGTCAAGGCTCACGAAGGAGTGTCAAGGCCTACGAAGGAGTGTCAAGGCCTACGAAGGAGTGTCAAGGCTCACGAAGGAGTGTCAAGGCCTACGAAGGAGTGTCAAGGCTCACGAAGGAGTGTCAAGGCTCACGAAGGAGTGTCAAGGCCTACGAAGGAGTGTCAAGGCTCATGAAGGAGTGTTAAGGCTCACGAAGGAGTGTCAAGGCCTACGAAGGAGTGTCAAGGCCTACGAAGGAGTGTCAAGGCTCACGAAGGAGTGTCAAGGCTCACAAAGGAGTGTCAAGGCTCACGAAGGAGTGTCAAGGCCTACGAAGGAGTGTCAAGGCTCACGAAGGAGTGTCAAGGCCTACGAAGGAGTGTCAAGGCTCACGAAGGAGTGTCAAGGCCTACGAAGGAGTGTCAAGGCTCACGAAGGAGTGTCAAGGCTCACGAAGGAGTGTCAAGGCCTACGAAGGAGAGTCAAGGCCTACGAAGGAGTGTCAAGGCCTACGAAGGAGTGTCAAGGCTCACGAAGGAGTGTCAAGGCCTACGAAGGAGTGTCAAGGCTCACGAAGGAGTGTCAAGGCTCACGAAGGAGTGTCAATGCTCACGAAGGAGTGTCAAGGCCTACGAAGGAGTGTCAAGGCTCACGAAGGAGTGTCAAGGCTCACGAAGGAGTGTCAAGGCCTACGAAGGAGAGTCAAGGCTCACGAAGGAGTGTCAAGGCCTACGAAGGAGTGTCAAGGCTCACGAAGGAGTGTCAAGGCCTACGAAGGAGTGTCAAGGCTCACGAAGGAGTGTCAAGGCCTACGAAGGAGTGTCAAGGCTCACGAAGGAGTGTCAAGGCCTACGAAGGAGAGTCAAGGCCTACGAAGGAGTGTCAAGGCTCACGAAGGAGTGTCAAGGCTCACGAAGGAGTGTCAAGGCCTACGAAGGAGTGTCAAGGCTCACGAAGGAGTGTCAAGGCCTACGAAGGAGTGTCAAGGCTCACGAAGGAGTGTCAAGGCTCACGAAGGAGTGTCAAGGCCTACGAAGGAGAGTCAAGGCCTACGAAGGAGTGTCAAGGCTCACGAAGGAGTGTCAAGGCCTACGAAGGAGTGTCAAGGCTCACGAAGGAGTGTCAAGGCCTACGAAGGAGTGTCAAGGCTCACGAAGGAGTGTCAAGGCTCACGAAGGAGTGTCAATGCTCACGAAGGAGTGTCAAGGCTCACGAAGGAGTGTCAAGGCCTACGAAGGAGTGTCAAGGCCTACGAAGGAGTGTCAAGGCTCACGAAGGAGTGTCAAGGCCTACGAAGGAGTGTCAAGGCTCACGAAGGAGTGTCAAGGCTCACGAAGGAGTGTCAAAGCCTACGAAGGAGTGTCAAGGCTCACGAAGGAGTGTCAAGGCTCACGAAGGAGTGTCAAGGCCTACGAAGGAGAGTCAAGGCCTACGAAGGAGTGTCAAGGCTCACGAAGGAGTGTCAAGGCCTACGAAGGAGTGTCAAGGCTCACGAAGGAGTGTCAAGGCCTACGAAGGAGTGTCAAGGCTCACGAAGGAGTGTCAAGGCTCACGAAGGAGTGTCAATGCTCACGAAGGAGTGTCAAGGCTCACGAAGGAGTGTCAAGGCCTACGAAGGAGTGTCAAGGCCTACGAAGGAGTGTCAAGGCTCACGAAGGAGTGTCAAGGCCTACGAAGGAGTGTCAAGGCTCACGAAGGAGTGTCAAGGCTCACGAAGGAGTGTCAAAGCCTACGAAGGAGTGTCAAGGCTCACGAAGGAGTGTCAAGGCCTACGAAGGAGTGTCAAGGCTCATGAAGGAGTGTTAAGGCTCACGAAGGAGTGTCAAGGCCTACGAAGGAGTGTCAAGGCCTACGAAGGAGTGTCAAGGCTCACGAAGGAGTGTCAAGGCTCACAAAGGAGTGTCAAGGCTCACGAAGGAGTGTCAAGGCCTACGAAGGAGTGTCAAGGCTCACGAAGGAGTGTCAAGGCCTACGAAGGAGTGTCAAGGCTCACGAAGGAGTGTCAAGGCCTACGAAGGAGTGTCAAGGCTCACGAAGGAGTGTCAAGGCTCACGAAGGAGTGTCAAGGCCTACGAAGGAGAGTCAAGGCCTACGAAGGAGTGTCAAGGCCTACGAAGGAGTGTCAAGGCTCACGAAGGAGTGTCAAGGCCTACGAAGGAGTGTCAAGGCTCACGAAGGAGTGTCAAGGCTCACGAAGGAGTGTCAATGCTCACGAAGGAGTGTCAAGGCTCACGAAGGAGTGTCAAGGCCTACGAAGGAGTGTCAAGGCCTACGAAGGAGTGTCAAGGCTCACAAAGGAGTGTCAAGGCCTACGAAGGAGTGTCAAGGCTCACGAAGGAGTGTCAAGGCTCACGAAGGAGTGTCAAGGCCTACGAAGGAGTGTCAAGGCTCACGAAGGAGTGTCAAGGCCTACGAAGGAGTGTCAAGGCTCACGAAGGAGTGTCAAGGCCTACGAAGGAGTGTCAAGGCTCACGAAGGAGTGTCAAGGCTCACAAAGGAGTGTCAAGGCCTACGAAGGAGTGTCAAGGCCTACGAAGGAGTGTCAAGGCTCACGAAGGAGTGTCAAGGCCTACGAAGGAGTGTCAAGGCCTACGAAGGAGTGTCAAGGCTCACGAAGGAGTGTCAAGGCTCACGAAGGAGTGTCAAGGCTCACGAAGGAGTGCCAAGGCCTACGAAGGAGTGTCAAGGCTCACGAAGGAGTGTCAAGGCCTACGAAGGAGTGTCAAGGCTCACGAAGGAGTGTCAAGGCTCAAGAAGGAGTGTCAAGGCCTACGAAGGAGTGTCAAGGCTCACGAAGGAGTGTCAAGGCTCACGAAGGAGTGTCAAGGCCTACGAAGGAGTGTCAAGGCCTACGAAGGAGTGTCAAGGCTCACGAAGGAGTGTCAAGGCCTACGAAGGAGTGTCAAGGCCTACGAAGGAGTGTCAAGGCTCACGAAGGAGTGTCAAGGCCTACGAAGGAGTGTCAAGGCCTACGAAGGAGTGTCAAGGCTCACGAAGGAGTGTCAAGGCCTACGAAGGAGTGTCAAGGCTCACGAAGGAGTGCCAAGGCCTACGAAGGAGTGTCAAGGCTCACGAAGGAGTGTCAAGGCCTACGAAGGAGTGTCAAGGCTCACGAAGGAGTGTCAAGGCCTACGAAGGAGTGTCAAGGCTCATGAAGGAGTGTTAAGGCTCACGAAGGAGTGTCAAGGCCTACGAAGGAGTGTCAAGGCTCACGAAGGAGTGTCAAGGCTCACAAAGGAGTGTCAAGGCTCACGAAGGAGTGTCAAGGCCTACGAAGGAGTGTCAAGGCTCACGAAGGAGTGTCAAGGCCTACGAAGGAGTGTCAAGGCTCACGAAGGAGTGTCAAGGCTCACGAAGGAGTGTCAAGGCTCACGAAGGAGTGCCAAGGCCTACGAAGGAGTGTCAAGGCTCACGAAGGAGTGTCAAAGCCTACGAAGGAGTGTCAAGGCTCACGAAGGAGTGTCAAGGCCTACGAAGGAGTGTCAAGGCTCATGAAGGAGTGTTAAGGCTCACGAAGGAGTGTCAAGGCCTACGAAGGAGTGTCAAGGCCTACGAAGGAGTGTCAAGGCTCACGAAGGAGTGTCAAGGCTCACAAAGGAGTGTCAAGGCTCACGAAGGAGTGTCAAGGCCTACGAAGGAGTGTCAAGGCTCACGAAGGAGTGTCAAGGCCTACGAAGGAGTGTCAAGGCTCACGAAGGAGTGTCAAGGCCTACGAAGGAGTGTCAAGGCTCACGAAGGAGTGTCAAGGCTCACGAAGGAGTGTCAAGGCCTACGAAGGAGAGTCAAGGCCTACGAAGGAGTGTCAAGGCCTACGAAGGAGTGTCAAGGCTCACGAAGGAGTGTCAAGGCCTACGAAGGAGTGTCAAGGCTCACGAAGGAGTGTCAAGGCTCACGAAGGAGTGTCAATGCTCACGAAGGAGTTTCAAGGCTCACGAAGGAGTGTCAAGGCCTACGAAGGAGTGTCAAGGCCTACGAAGGAGTGTCAAGGCTCACAAAGGAGTGTCAAGGCCTACGAAGGAGTGTCAAGGCTCACGAAGGAGTGTCAAGGCTCACGAAGGAGTGTCAAGGCTCACGAAGGAGTGCCAAGGCCTACGAAGGAGTGTCAAGGCTCACGAAGGAGTGTCAAGGCCTACGAAGGAGTGTCAAGGCCTACGAAGGAGTGTCAAGGCTCACGAAGGAGTGTCAAGGCCTACGAAGGAGTGTCAAGGCTCACGAAGGAGTGTCAAGGCCTACGAAGGAGTGTCAAGGCTCACGAAGGAGTGTCAAGGCCTACGAAGGAGTGTCAAGGCTCACGAAGGAGTGTCAAGGCCTACGAAGGAGAGTCAAGGCCTACGAAGGAGTGTCAAGGCTCACGAAGGAGTGTCAAGGCTCACGAAGGAGTGTCAAGGCCTACGAAGGAGTGTCAAGGCTCACGAAGGAGTGTCAAGGCCTACGAAGGAGTGTCAAGGCTCACGAAGGAGTGTCAAGGCTCACGAAGGAGTGTCAAGGCCTACGAAGGAGAGTCAAGGCCTACGAAGGAGTGCCAAGGCCTACGAAGGAGTGTCAAGGCTCACGAAGGAGTGTCAAGGCCTACGAAGGAGTGTCAAGGCCTACGAAGGAGTGTCAAGGCTCACGAAGGAGTGTCAAGGCCTACGAAGGAGTGTCAAGGCTCACGAAGGAGTGTCAAGGCTCACGAAGGAGTGTCAAGGCTCACGAAAGAGTGTCAAGGCCTACGAAGGAGAGTCAAGGCCTACGAAGGAGTGTCAAGGCTCACGAAGGAGTGTCAAGGCCTACGAAGGAGTGTCAAGGCTCACGAAGGAGTGTCAAGGCCTACGAAGGAGTGTCAAGGCTCACGAAGGAGTGTCAAGGCTCACGAAGGAGTGTCAAGGCCTACGAAGGAGTGTCAAGGCTCACGAAGGAGTGTCAAGGCTCACGAAGGAGTGTCAAGGCTCACGAAGGAGCGTCAAGGCCTACGCAGGAGTGTCAAGGCTCACGAAGGAGTGTCAAGGCTCACGAAGGAGTGTCAAGGCTCACGAAGGAGTGTCAAGGCTCACGAAGGAGTGTCAAGGCCTACGAAGGAGTGTCAAGGCTCACGAAGGAGTGTCAAGGCTCACGAAGGAGTGTCAAGGCCTACGAAGGAGTGTCAAGGCTCACGAAGGAGTGTCAAGGCTCACGAAGGAGTGTCAAGGCTCACGAAGGAGTGTCAAGGCCTACGAAGGAGTGTCAAGGCTCACGAAGGAGTGTCAAGGCCTACGAAGGAGTGTCAAGGCTCACGAAGGAGTGTCAAGGCCTACGAAGGAGTGTCAAGGCTCACGAAGGAGTGTCAAGGCCTACGAAGGAGTGTCAAGGCTCACGAAGGAGTGTCAAGGCTCACGAAGGAGTGTCAAGGCCTACGAAGGAGAGTCAAGGCCTACGAAGGAGTGTCAAGGCTCACGAAGGAGTGTCAAGGCCTACGAAGGAGTGTCAAGGCTCACGAAGGAGTGTCAAGGCCTACGAAGGAGTGTCAAGGCTCACGAAGGAGTGTCAAGGCTCACGAAGGAGTGCCAAGGCCTACGAAGGAGTGTCAAGGCTCACGAAGGAGTGTCAAGGCCTACGAAGGAGTGTCAAGGCCTACGAAGGAGTGTCAAGGCTCACGAAGGAGTGTCAAGGCCTACGAAGGAGTGTCAAGGCTCACGAAGGAGTGTCAAGGCTCACGAAGGAGTGTCAAGGCTCACGAAAGAGTGTCAAGGCCTACGAAGGAGAGTCAAGGCCTACGAAGGAGTGTCAAGGCTCACGAAGGAGTGTCAAGGCCTACGAAGGAGTGTCAAGGCTCACGAAGGAGTGTCAAGGCCTACGAAGGAGTGTCAAGGCTCACGAAGGAGTGTCAAGGCCTACGAAGGAGTGTCAAGGCCTACGAAGGAGTGTCAAGGCTCACGAAGGAGTGTTAAGGCTCACGATGGAGTGTCAAGGCCTACGAAGGAGTGTCAAGGCTCACGAAGGAGTGTCAAGGCTCACGAAGGAGTGTCGAGGCCTACGAAGGAGAGTCAAGGCCTACGAAGGAGTGTCAAGGCTCACGAAGGAGTGTCAAGGCCTACGAAGGAGTGTCAAGGCTCACGAAGGAGTGTCAAGGCCTACGAAGGAGTGTCAAGGCTCACGAAGGAGTGTCAAGGCTCACGAAGGAGTGTCAAGGCCTACGAAGGAGTGTCAAGGCTCACGAAGGAGTGTCAAGGCTCACGATGGAGTGTCAAGGCCTACGAAGGAGTGTCAAGGCTCACGAAGGAGTGTCAAGGCTCACGAAGGAGTGTCAAGGCCTACGAAGGAGTGTCACGGCTCACGAAGGAGTGTCAAGGCTCACGAAGGAGTGTCAAGGCTCACGAAGGAGTGCCAAGGCCTACGAAGGAGTGTCAAGGCTCACGAAGGAGTGTCAAGGCCTACGAAGGAGTGTCAAGGCCTACGAAGGAGTGTCAAGGCTCACGAAGGAGTGTCAAGGCCTACGAAGGAGTGTCAAGGCTCACGAAGGAGTGCCAAGGCCTACGAAGGAGAGTCAAGGCCTACGAAGGAGTGTCAAGGCTCACGAAGGAGTGTCAAGGCCTACGAAGGAGTGTCAAGGCTCACGAAGGAGTGTTAAGGCTCACGATGGAGTGTCAAGGCTCACGAAGGAGTGTCAAGGCCTACGAAGGAGTGTCAAGGCCTACGAAGGAGTGTCAAGGCTCACGAAGGAGTGTCAAGGTCTACGAAGGAGTGTCACGGCTCACGAAGGAGTGTCAAGGCTCACGAAGGAGTGTCAAGGCTCACGAAGGAGTGCCAAGGCCTACGAAGGAGTGTCAAGGCTCACGAAGGAGTGTCAAGGCCTACGAAGGAGTGTCAAGGCCTACGAAGGAGTGTCAAGGCTCACGAAGGAGTGTCAAGGCCTACGAAGGAGTGTCAAGGCTCACGAAGGAGTGTCAAGGCTCACGAAGGAGTGTCAAGGCTCACGAAAGAGTGTCAAGGCCTACGAAGGAGAGTCAAGGCCTACGAAGGAGTGTCAAGGCTCACGAAGGAGTGTCAAGGCCTACGAAGGAGTGTCAAGGCTCACGAAGGAGTGTCAAGGCCTACGAAGGAGTGTCAAGGCTCACGAAGGAGTGTCAAGGCCTACGAAGGAGTGTCAAGGCCTACGAAGGAGTGTCAAGGCCTACGAAGGAGAGTCAAGGCCTACGAAGGAGTGTCAAGGCTCACGAAGGAGTGTCAAGGCCTACGAAGGAGTGTCAAGGCCTACGAAGGAGTGTCAAGGCTCACGAAGGAGTGTCAAGGCCTACGAAGGAGTGTCAAGGCTCACGAAGGAGTGTCAAGGCTCACGAAGGAGTGTCAAGGCTCACGAAAGAGTGTCAAGGCCTACGAAGGAGAGTCAAGGCCTACGAAGGAGTGTCAAGGCTCACGAAGGAGTGTCAAGGCCTACGAAGGAGTGTCAAGGCTCACGAAGGAGTGTTAAGGCTCACGATGGAGTGTCAAGGCCTACGAAGGAGTGTCAAGGCTCACGAAGGAGTGTCAAGGCTCACGAAGGAGTGTCAAGGCCTACGAAGGAGTGTCAAGGCCTACGAAGGAGTGTCACGGCTCACGAAGGAGTGTCAAGGCTCACGAAGGAGTGTCAAGGCTCACGAAGGAGTGCCAAGGCCTACGAAGGAGTGTCAAGGCTCACGAAGGAGTGTCAAGGCCTACGAAGGAGTGTCAAGGCCTACGAAGGAGTGTCAAGGCTCACGAAGGAGTGTCAAGGCCTACGAAGGAGTGTCAAGGCTCACGAAGGAGTGTCAAGGCTCACGAAGGAGTGTCAAGGCTCACGAAAGAGTGTCAAGGCCTACGAAGGAGAGTCAAGGCCTACGAAGGAGTGTCAAGGCTCACGAAGGAGTGTCAAGGCCTACGAAGGAGTGTCAAGGCTCACGAAGGAGTGTCAAGGCCTACGAAGGAGTGTCAAGGCTCACGAAGGAGTGTCAAGGCCTACGAAGGAGTGTCAAGGCCTACGAAGGAGTGTCAAGGCTCACGAAGGAGTGTTAAGGCTCACGAAGGAGTGTCAAGGCCTACGAAGGAGTGTCAAGGCTCACGAAGGAGTGTCAAGGCCTACGAAGGAGTGTCAAGGCCTACGAAGGAGTGTTAAGGCTCACGATGGAGTGTCAAGGCCTACGAAGGAGTGTCAAGGCTCACGAAGGAGTGTCAAGGCTCACAAAGGAGTGTCAAGGCCTACGAAGGAGTGTCAAGGCTCACGAAGGAGTGTCAAGGCCTACGAAGGAGTGTCAAGGCTCACGAAGGAGTGTCAAGGCTCACGAAGGAGTGTCAAGGCCTACGAAGGAGTGTCAAGGCTCACGAAGGAGTGTCAAGGCTCACGAAGGAGTGTCAAGGCTCACGAAGGAGCGTCAAGGCCTACGCAGGAGTGTCAAGGCTCACGAAGGAGTGTCAAGGCTCACGAAGGAGTGTCAAGGCTCACGAAGGAGTGTCAAGGCTCACGAAGGAGTGTCAAGGCCTACGAAGGAGTGTCAAGGCTCACGAAGGAGTGTCAAGGCTCACGAAGGAGTGTCAAGGCCTACGAAGGAGTGTCAAGGCTCACGAAGGAGTGTCAAGGCTCACGAAGGAGTGTCAAGGCTCACGAAGGAGTGTCAAGGCCTACGAAGGAGTGTCAAGGCTCACGAAGGAGTGTCAAGGCCTACGAAGGAGTGTCAAGGCTCACGAAGGAGTGTCAAGGCCTACGAAGAAGTGTCAAGGCTCACGAAGGAGTGTCAAGGCCTACGAAGGAGTGTCAAGGCTCACGAAGGAGTGTCAAGGCTCACGAAGGAGTGTCAAGGCCTACGAAGGAGAGTCAAGGCCTACGAAGGAGTGTCAAGGCTCACGAAGGAGTGTCAAGGCCTACGAAGGAGTGTCAAGGCTCACGAAGGAGTGTCAAGGCCTACGAAGGAGTGTCAAGGCTCACGAAGGAGTGTCAAGGCTCACGAAGGAGTGCCAAGGCCTACGAAGGAGTGTCAAGGCTCACGAAGGAGTGTCAAGGCCTACGAAGGAGTGTCAAGGCCTACGAAGGAGTGTCAAGGCTCACGAAGGAGTGTCAAGGCCTACGAAGGAGTGTCAAGGCTCACGAAGGAGTGTCAAGGCTCACGAAGGAGTGTCAAGGCTCACGAAAGAGTGTCAAGGCCTACGAAGGAGAGTCAAGGCCTACGAAGGAGTGTCAAGGCTCACGAAGGAGTGTCAAGGCCTACGAAGGAGTGTCAAGGCTCACGAAGGAGTGTCAAGGCCTACGAAGGAGTGTCAAGGCTCACGAAGGAGTGTCAAGGCCTACGAAGGAGTGTCAAGGCCTACGAAGGAGTGTCAAGGCTCACGAAGGAGTGTTAAGGCTCACGATGGAGTGTCAAGGCCTACGAAGGAGTGTCAAGGCTCACGAAGGAGTGTCAAGGCTCACGAAGGAGTGTCGAGGCCTACGAAGGAGAGTCAAGGCCTACGAAGGAGTGTCAAGGCTCACGAAGGAGTGTCAAGGCCTACGAAGGAGTGTCAAGGCTCACGAAGGAGTGTCAAGGCCTACGAAGGAGTGTCAAGGCTCACGAAGGAGTGTCAAGGCTCACGAAGGAGTGTCAAGGCCTACGAAGGAGTGTCAAGGCTCACGAAGGAGTGTCAAGGCTCACGATGGAGTGTCAAGGCCTACGAAGGAGTGTCAAGGCTCACGAAGGAGTGTCAAGGCTCACGAAGGAGTGTCAAGGCCTACGAAGGAGTGTCACGGCTCACGAAGGAGTGTCAAGGCTCACGAAGGAGTGTCAAGGCTCACGAAGGAGTGCCAAGGCCTACGAAGGAGTGTCAAGGCTCACGAAGGAGTGTCAAGGCCTACGAAGGAGTGTCAAGGCCTACGAAGGAGTGTCAAGGCTCACGAAGGAGTGTCAAGGCCTACGAAGGAGTGTCAAGGCTCACGAAGGAGTGTCAAGGCTCACGAAGGAGTGTCAAGGCTCACGAAAGAGTGTCAAGGCCTACGAAGGAGAGTCAAGGCCTACGAAGGAGTGTCAAGGCTCACGAAGGAGTGTCAAGGCCTACGAAGGAGTGTCAAGGCTCACGAAGGAGTGTTAAGGCTCACGATGGAGTGTCAAGGCTCACGAAGGAGTGTCAAGGCCTACGAAGGAGTGTCAAGGCCTACGAAGGAGTGTCAAGGCTCACGAAGGAGTGTCAAGGTCTACGAAGGAGTGTCACGGCTCACGAAGGAGTGTCAAGGCTCACGAAGGAGTGTCAAGGCTCACGAAGGAGTGCCAAGGCCTACGAAGGAGTGTCAAGGCTCACGAAGGAGTGTCAAGGCCTACGAAGGAGTGTCAAGGCCTACGAAGGAGTGTCAAGGCTCACGAAGGAGTGTCAAGGCCTACGAAGGAGTGTCAAGGCTCACGAAGGAGTGTCAAGGCTCACGAAGGAGTGTCAAGGCTCACGAAAGAGTGTCAAGGCCTACGAAGGAGAGTCAAGGCCTACGAAGGAGTGTCAAGGCTCACGAAGGAGTGTCAAGGCCTACGAAGGAGTGTCAAGGCTCACGAAGGAGTGTCAAGGCCTACGAAGGAGTGTCAAGGCTCACGAAGGAGTGTCAAGGCCTACGAAGGAGTGTCAAGGCCTACGAAGGAGTGTCAAGGCTCACGAAGGAGTGTTAAGGCTCACGAAGGAGTGTCAAGGCCTACGAAGGAGTGTCAAGGCTCACGAAGGAGTGTCAAGGCCTACGAAGGAGTGTCAAGGCTCACGAAGGAGTGTCAAGGCTCACGAAGGAGTGTCAAGGCTCACGAAAGAGTGTCAAGGCCTACGAAGGAGAGTCAAGGCCTACGAAGGAGTGTCAAGGCTCACGAAGGAGTGTCAAGGCCTACGAAGGAGTGTCAAGGCTCACGAAGGAGTGTCAAGGCCTACGAAGGAGTGTCAAGGCTCACGAAGGAGTGTCAAGGCCTACGAAGGAGTGTCAAGGCCTACGAAGGAGTGTCAAGGCTCACGAAGGAGTGTTAAGGCTCACGAAGGAGTGTCAAGGCCTACGAAGGAGTGTCAAGGCTCACGAAGGAGTGTCAAGGCCTACGAAGGAGTGTCAAGGCCTACGAAGGAGTGTTAAGGCTCACGATGGAGTGTCAAGGCCTACGAAGGAGTGTCAAGGCTCACGAAGGAGTGTCAAGGCTCACAAAGGAGTGTCAAGGCCTACGAAGGAGTGTCAAGGCTCACGAAGGAGTGTCAAGGCCTACGAAGGAGTGTCAAGGCTCACGAAGGAGTGTCAAGGCTCACGAAGGAGTGTCAAGGCCTACGAAGGAGTGTCAAGGCTCACGAAGGAGTGTCAAGGCTCACGAAGGAGTGTCAAGGCTCACGAAGGAGCGTCAAGGCCTACGCAGGAGTGTCAAGGCTCACGAAGGAGTGTCAAGGCTCACGAAGGAGTGTCAAGGCTCACGAAGGAGTGTCAAGGCTCACGAAGGAGTGTCAAGGCCTACGAAGGAGTGTCAAGGCTCACGAAGGAGTGTCAAGGCTCACGAAGGAGTGTCAAGGCCTACGAAGGAGTGTCAAGGCTCACGAAGGAGTGTCAAGGCTCACGAAGGAGTGTCAAGGCTCACGAAGGAGTGTCAAGGCCTACGAAGGAGTGTCAAGGCTCACGAAGGAGTGTCAAGGCCTACGAAGGAGTGTCAAGGCTCACGAAGGAGTGTCAAGGCCTACGAAGGAGTGTCAAGGCTCACGAAGGAGTGTCAAGGCCTACGAAGGAGTGTCAAGGCTCACGAAGGAGTGTCAAGGCTCACGAAGGAGTGTCAAGGCCTACGAAGGAGAGTCAAGGCCTACGAAGGAGTGTCAAGGCTCACGAAGGAGTGTCAAGGCCTACGAAGGAGTGTCAAGGCTCACGAAGGAGTGTCAAGGCCTACGAAGGAGTGTCAAGGCTCACGAAGGAGTGTCAAGGCTCACGAAGGAGTGCCAAGGCCTACGAAGGAGTGTCAAGGCTCACGAAGGAGTGTCAAGGCCTACGAAGGAGTGTCAAGGCCTACGAAGGAGTGTCAAGGCTCACGAAGGAGTGTCAAGGCCTACGAAGGAGTGTCAAGGCTCACGAAGGAGTGTCAAGGCTCACGAAGGAGTGTCAAGGCTCACGAAAGAGTGTCAAGGCCTACGAAGGAGAGTCAAGGCCTACGAAGGAGTGTCAAGGCTCACGAAGGAGTGTCAAGGCCTACGAAGGAGTGTCAAGGCTCACGAAGGAGTGTCAAGGCCTACGAAGGAGTGTCAAGGCTCACGAAGGAGTGTCAAGGCCTACGAAGGAGTGTCAAGGCCTACGAAGGAGTGTCAAGGCTCACGAAGGAGTGTTAAGGCTCACGATGGAGTGTCAAGGCCTACGAAGGAGTGTCAAGGCTCACGAAGGAGTGTCAAGGCTCACGAAGGAGTGTCGAGGCCTACGAAGGAGAGTCAAGGCCTACGAAGGAGTGTCAAGGCTCACGAAGGAGTGTCAAGGCCTACGAAGGAGTGTCAAGGCTCACGAAGGAGTGTCAAGGCCTACGAAGGAGTGTCAAGGCTCACGAAGGAGTGTCAAGGCTCACGAAGGAGTGTCAAGGCCTACGAAGGAGTGTCAAGGCTCACGAAGGAGTGTCAAGGCTCACGATGGAGTGTCAAGGCCTACGAAGGAGTGTCAAGGCTCACGAAGGAGTGTCAAGGCTCACGAAGGAGTGTCAAGGCCTACGAAGGAGTGTCACGGCTCACGAAGGAGTGTCAAGGCTCACGAAGGAGTGTCAAGGCTCACGAAGGAGTGCCAAGGCCTACGAAGGAGTGTCAAGGCTCACGAAGGAGTGTCAAGGCCTACGAAGGAGTGTCAAGGCCTACGAAGGAGTGTCAAGGCTCACGAAGGAGTGTCAAGGCCTACGAAGGAGTGTCAAGGCTCACGAAGGAGTGTCAAGGCTCACGAAGGAGTGTCAAGGCTCACGAAAGAGTGTCAAGGCCTACGAAGGAGAGTCAAGGCCTACGAAGGAGTGTCAAGGCTCACGAAGGAGTGTCAAGGCCTACGAAGGAGTGTCAAGGCTCACGAAGGAGTGTTAAGGCTCACGATGGAGTGTCAAGGCTCACGAAGGAGTGTCAAGGCCTACGAAGGAGTGTCAAGGCCTACGAAGGAGTGTCAAGGCTCACGAAGGAGTGTCAAGGTCTACGAAGGAGTGTCACGGCTCACGAAGGAGTGTCAAGGCTCACGAAGGAGTGTCAAGGCTCACGAAGGAGTGCCAAGGCCTACGAAGGAGTGTCAAGGCTCACGAAGGAGTGTCAAGGCCTACGAAGGAGTGTCAAGGCCTACGAAGGAGTGTCAAGGCTCACGAAGGAGTGTCAAGGCCTACGAAGGAGTGTCAAGGCTCACGAAGGAGTGTCAAGGCTCACGAAGGAGTGTCAAGGCTCACGAAAGAGTGTCAAGGCCTACGAAGGAGAGTCAAGGCCTACGAAGGAGTGTCAAGGCTCACGAAGGAGTGTCAAGGCCTACGAAGGAGTGTCAAGGCTCACGAAGGAGTGTCAAGGCCTACGAAGGAGTGTCAAGGCTCACGAAGGAGTGTCAAGGCCTACGAAGGAGTGTCAAGGCCTACGAAGGAGTGTCAAGGCTCACGAAGGAGTGTTAAGGCTCACGAAGGAGTGTCAAGGCCTACGAAGGAGTGTCAAGGCTCACGAAGGAGTGTCAAGGCCTACGAAGGAGTGTCAAGGCCTACGAAGGAGTGTTAAGGCTCACGATGGAGTGTCAAGGCCTACGAAGGAGTGTCAAGGCTCACGAAGGAGTGTCAAGGCTCACAAAGGAGTGTCAAGGCCTACGAAGGAGTGTCAAGGCTCACGAAGGAGTGTCAAGGCCTACGAAGGAGTGTCAAGGCTCACGAAGGAGTGTCAAGGCTCACGAAGGAGTGTCAAGGCCTACGAAGGAGTGTCAAGGCTCACGAAGGAGTGTCAAGGCTCACGAAGGAGTGTCAAGGCTCACGAAGGAGCGTCAAGGCCTACGCAGGAGTGTCAAGGCCTACGAAGGAGTGTTAAGGCTCACGATGGAGTGTCAAGGCTCACGAAGGAGTGTCAAGGCCTACGAAGGAGTGTCAAGGCCTACGAAGGAGTGTCAAGGCTCACGAAGGAGTGTCAAGGCTCACGAAGGAGTGTCAAGGCCTACGAAGGAGTGTCACGGCTCACGAAGGGGTGTCAAGGCTCACGAAGGAGTGTCAAGGCTCACGAAGGAGTGCCAAGGCCTACGAAGGAGTGTCAAGGCTCACGAAGGAGTGTCAAGGCCTACGAAGGAGTGTCAAGGCCTACGAAGGAGTGTCAAGGCTCACGAAGGAGTGTCAAGGCCTACGAAGGAGTGTCAAGGCTCACGAAGGAGTGTCAAGGCTCACGAAGGAGTGTCAAGGCTCACGAAAGAGTGTCAAGGCCTACGAAGGAGTGTCAAGGCTCACGAAGGAGTGTTAAGGCTCACGATGGAGTGTCAAGGCTCACGAAGGAGTGTCAAGGCCTACGAAGGAGTGTCAAGGCCTACGAAGGAGTGTCAAGGCTCACGAAGGAGTGTCAAGGTCTACGAAGGAGTGTCACGGCTCACGAAGGAGTGTCAAGGCTCACGAAGGAGTGTCAAGGCTCACGAAGGAGTGCCAAGGCCTACGAAGGAGTGTCAAGGCTCACGAAGGAGTGTCAAGGCCTACGAAGGAGTGTCAAGGCCTACGAAGGAGTGTCAAGGCTCACGAAGGAGTGTCAAGGCCTACGAAGGAGTGTCAAGGCTCACGAAGGAGTGTCAAGGCTCACGAAGGAGTGTCAAGGCTCACGAAAGAGTGTCAAGGCCTACGAAGGAGAGTCAAGGCCTACGAAGGAGTGTCAAGGCTCACGAAGGAGTGTCAAGGCCTACGAAGGAGTGTCAAGGCTCACGAAGGAGTGTCAAGGCCTACGAAGGAGTGTCAAGGCTCACGAAGGAGTGTCAAGGCCTACGAAGGAGTGTCAAGGCCTACGAAGGAGTGTCAAGGCTCACGAAGGAGTGTTAAGGCTCACGAAGGAGTGTCAAGGCCTACGAAGGAGTGTCAAGGCTCACGAAGGAGTGTCAAGGCCTACGAAGGAGTGTCAAGGCCTTCGAAGGAGTGTTAAGGCTCACGATGGAGTGTCAAGGCCTACGAAGGAGTGTCAAGGCTCACGAAGGAGTGTCAAGGCTCACAAAGGAGTGTCAAGGCCTACGAAGGAGTGTCAAGGCTCACGAAGGAGTGTCAAGGCCTACGAAGGAGTGTCAAGGCTCACGAAGGAGTGTCAAGGCTCACGAAGGAGTGTCAAGGCCTACGAAGGAGTGTCAAGGCTCACGAAGGAGTGTCAAGGCTCACGAAGGAGTGTCAAGGCTCACGAAGGAGCGTCAAGGCCTACGCAGGAGTGTCAAGGCCTACGAAGGAGTGTTAAGGCTCACGATGGAGTGTCAAGGCTCACGAAGGAGTGTCAAGGCCTACGAAGGAGTGTCAAGGCCTACGAAGGAGTGTCAAGGCTCACGAAGGAGTGTCAAGGTCTACGAAGGAGTGTCACGGCTCACGAAGGAGTGTCAAGGCTCACGAAGGAGTGTCAAGGCTCACGAAGGAGTGCCAAGGCCTACGAAGGAGTGTCAAGGCTCACGAAGGAGTGTCAAGGCCTACGAAGGAGTGTCAAGGCCTACGAAGGAGTGTCAAGGCTCACGAAGGAGTGTCAAGGCCTACGAAGGAGTGTCAAGGCTCACGAAGGAGTGTCAAGGCTCACGAAGGAGTGTCAAGGCTCACGAAAGAGTGTCAAGGCCTACGAAGGAGAGTCAAGGCCTACGAAGGAGTGTCAAGGCTCACGAAGGAGTGTCAAGGCCTACGAAGGAGTGTCAAGGCTCACGAAGGAGTGTCAAGGCCTACGAAGGAGTGTCAAGGCTCACGAAGGAGTGTCAAGGCCTACGAAGGAGTGTCAAGGCCTACGAAGGAGTGTCAAGGCTCACGAAGGAGTGTTAAGGCTCACGAAGGAGTGTCAAGGCCTACGAAGGAGTGTCAAGGCTCACGAAGGAGTGTCAAGGCCTACGAAGGAGTGTCAAGGCCTACGAAGGAGTGTTAAGGCTCACGATGGAGTGTCAAGGCCTACGAAGGAGTGTCAAGGCTCACGAAGGAGTGTCAAGGCTCACAAAGGAGTGTCAAGGCCTACGAAGGAGTGTCAAGGCTCACGAAGGAGTGTCAAGGCCTACGAAGGAGTGTCAAGGCTCACGAAGGAGTGTCAAGGCTCACGAAGGAGTGTCAAGGCCTACGAAGGAGTGTCAAGGCTCACGAAGGAGTGTCAAGGCTCACGAAGGAGTGTCAAGGCTCACGAAGGAGCGTCAAGGCCTACGCAGGAGTGTCAAGGCTCACGAAGGAGTGTCAAGGCTCACGAAGGAGTGTCAAGGCTCACGAAGGAGTGTCAAGGCTCACGAAGGAGTGTCAAGGCCTACGAAGGAGTGTCAAGGCTCACGAAGGAGTGTCAAGGCTCACGAAGGAGTGTCAAGGCCTACGAAGGAGTGTCAAGGCTCACGAAGGAGTGTCAAGGCTCACGAAGGAGTGTCAAGGCTCACGAAGGAGTGTCAAGGCCTACGAAGGAGTGTCAAGGCTCACGAAGGAGTGTCAAGGCCTACGAAGGAGTGTCAAGGCTCACGAAGGAGTGTCAAGGCCTACGAAGGAGTGTCAAGGCTCACGAAGGAGTGTCAAGGCCTACGAAGGAGTGTCAAGGCTCACGAAGGAGTGTCAAGGCTCACGAAGGAGTGTCAAGGCCTACGAAGGAGAGTCAAGGCCTACGAAGGAGTGTCAAGGCTCACGAAGGAGTGTCAAGGCCTACGAAGGAGTGTCAAGGCTCACGAAGGAGTGTCAAGGCCTACGAAGGAGTGTCAAGGCTCACGAAGGAGTGTCAAGGCTCACGAAGGAGTGTCAAGGCCTACGAAGGAGTGTCAAGGCTCACGAAGGAGTGTCAAGGCCTACGAAGGAGTGTCAAGGCTCACGAAGGAGTGTCAAGGCCTACGAAGGAGTGTCAAGGCTCACGAAGGAGTGTCAAGGCCTACGAAGGAGTGTCAAGGCTCACGAAGGAGTGTCAAGGCCTACGAAGGAGTGTCAAGGCTCACGAAGGAGTGTCAAGGCCTACGAAGGAGTGTCAAGGCTCACGAAGGAGTGTCAAGGCTCACGAAGAAGTGTCAAGGCCTACGAAGGAGAGTCAAGGCCTACGAAGGAGTGTCAAGGCTCACGAAGGAGTGTCAAGGCCTACGAAGGAGTGTCAAGGCTCACGAAGGAGTGTCAAGGCTCACGAAGGAGTGTCAATGCTCACGAAAGAGTGTCAAGGCCTACGAAGGAGTGTCAAGGCTCACGAAGGAGTGTCAAGGCCTACGAAGGAGTGTCAAGGCTCACGAAGGAGTGTCAAGGCTCACGAAGGAGTGTCAAGGCCTACGAAGGAGTGTCAAGGCTCACGAAGGAGTGTCAAGGCTCACGAAGGAGTGTCAAGGCCTACGAAGGAGTGTCAAGGCTCACGAAGGAGTGTCAAGGCTCACGAAGGAGTGTCAAGGCCTACGAAGGAGTGTCAAGGCTCACGAAGGAGTGTCAAGGCTCACGAAGGAGTGTCAAGGCTCACGAAGGAGTGTCAAGGCCTACGAAGGAGTGTCAAGGCTCACGAAGGAGTGTCAAGGCCTACGAAGGAGTGTCAAGGCTCACGAAGGAGTGTCAAGGCCTACGAAGGAGTGTCAAGGCTCACGAAGGAGTGTCAAGGCCTACGAAGGAGTGTCAAGGCTCACGAAGGAGTGTCAAGGCTCACGAAGGAGTGTCAAGGCCTACGAAGGAGAGTCAAGGCCTACGAAGGAGTGTCAAGGCTCACGAAGGAGTGTCAAGGCCTACGAAGGAGTGTCAAGGCTCACGAAGGAGTGTCAAGGCCTACGAAGGAGTGTCAAGGCTCACGAAGGAGTGTCAAGGCTCACGAAGGAGTGTCAAGGCCTACGAAGGAGTGTCAAGGCTCACGAAGGAGTGTCAAGGCCTACGAAGGAGTGTCAAGGCTCACGAAGGAGTGTCAAGGCCTACGAAGGAGTGTCAAGGCTCACGAAGGAGTGTCAAGGCCTACGAAGGAGTGTCAAGGCTCACGAAGGAGTGTCAAGGCCTACGAAGGAGTGTCAAGGCTCACGAAGGAGTGTCAAGGCCTACGAAGGAGTGTCAAGGCTCACGAAGGAGTGTCAAGGCTCACGAAGGAGTGTCAAGGCCTACGAAGGAGAGTCAAGGCCTACGAAGGAGTGTCAAGGCTCACGAAGGAGTGTCAAGGCCTACGAAGGAGTGTCAAGGCTCACGAAGGAGTGTCAAGGCTCACGAAGGAGTGTCAATGCTCACGAAAGAGTGTCAAGGCCTACGAAGGAGTGTCAAGGCTCACGAAGGAGTGTCAAGGCCTACGAAGGAGTGTCAAGGCTCACGAAGGAGTGTCAAGGCTCACGAAGGAGTGTCAAGGCCTACGAAGGAGTGTCAAGGCTCACGAAGGAGTGTCAAGGCCTACGAAGGAGTGTCAAGGCCTACGAAGGAGTGTCAAGGCTCACGAAGGAGTGTTAAGGCTCACGAAGGAGTGTCAAGGCCTACGAAGGAGTGTCAAGGCTCACGAAGGAGTGTCAAGGCTCACAAAGGAGTGTCAAGGCCTACGAAGGAGTGTCAAGGCTCACGAAGGAGTGTCAAGGCCTACGAAGGAGTGTCAAGGCTCACGAAGGAGTGTCAAGGCCTACGAAGGAGTGTCAAGGCCTACGAAGGAGTGTTAAGGCTCACGATGGAGTGTCAAGGCCTACGAAGGAGTGTCAAGGCTCACGAAGGAGTGTCAAGGCTCACAAAGGAGTGTCAAGGCCTACGAAGGAGTGTCAAGGCTCACGAAGGAGTGTCAAGGCCTACGAAGGAGTGTCAAGGCTCACGAAGGAGTGTCAAGGCTCACGAAGGAGTGTCAAGGCCTACGAAGGAGTGTCAAGGCTCACGAAGGAGTGTCAAGGCTCACGAAGGAGTGTCAAGGCTCACGAAGGAGCGTCAAGGCCTACGCAGGAGTGTCAAGGCTCACGAAGGAGTGTCAAGGCTCACGAAGGAGTGTCAAGGCTCACGAAGGAGTGTCAAGGCTCACGAAGGAGTGTCAAGGCCTACGAAGGAGTGTCAAGGCTCACGAAGGAGTGTCAAGGCTCACGAAGGAGTGTCAAGGCCTACGAAGGAGTGTCAAGGCTCACGAAGGAGTGTCAAGGCTCACGAAGGAGTGTCAAGGCTCACGAAGGAGTGTCAAGGCCTACGAAGGAGTGTCAAGGCTCACGAAGGAGTGTCAAGGCCTACGAAGGAGTGTCAAGGCTCACGAAGGAGTGTCAAGGCCTACGAAGGAGTGTCAAGGCTCACGAAGGAGTGTCAAGGCCTACGAAGGAGTGTCAAGGCTCACGAAGGAGTGTCAAGGCTCACGAAGGAGTGTCAAGGCCTACGAAGGAGAGTCAAGGCCTACGAAGGAGTGTCAAGGCTCACGAAGGAGTGTCAAGGCCTACGAAGGAGTGTCAAGGCTCACGAAGGAGTGTCAAGGCCTACGAAGGAGTGTCAAGGCTCACGAAGGAGTGTCAAGGCTCACGAAGGAGTGCCAAGGCCTACGAAGGAGTGTCAAGGCTCACGAAGGAGTGTCAAGGCCTACGAAGGAGTGTCAAGGCTCACGAAGGAGTGTCAAGGCCTACGAAGGAGTGTCAAGGCTCACGAAGGAGTGTCAAGGCCTACGAAGGAGTGTCAAGGCTCACGAAGGAGTGTCAAGGCCTACGAAGGAGTGTCAAGGCTCACGAAGGAGTGTCAAGGCCTACGAAGGAGTGTCAAGGCTCACGAAGGAGTGTCAAGGCCTACGAAGGAGTGTCAAGGCTCACGAAGGAGTGTCAAGGCCTACGAAGGAGTGTCAAGGCTCACGAAGGAGTGTCAAGGCTCACGAAGGAGTGTCAAGGCCTACGAAGGAGTGTCAAGGCTCACGAAGGAGTGTCAAGGCCTACGAAGGAGTGTCAAGGCTCACGAAGGAGTGTCAAGGCCTACGAAGGAGTGTCAAGGCTCACGAAGGAGTGTCAAGGCCTACGAAGGAGTGTCAAGGCTCACGAAGGAGTGTCAAGGCCTACGAAGGAGTGTCAAGGCTCACGAAGGAGTGTCAAGGCCTACGAAGGAGTGTCAAGGCTCACGAAGGAGTGTCAAGGCTCACGAAGGAGTGTCAAGGCCTACGAAGGAGAGTCAAGGCCTACGAAGGAGTGTCAAGGCTCACGAAGGAGTGTCAAGGCCTACGAAGGAGTGTCAAGGCTCACGAAGGAGTGTCAAGGCTCACGAAGGAGTGTCAATGCTCACGAAAGAGTGTCAAGGCCTACGAAGGAGTGTCAAGGCTCACGAAGGAGTGTCAAGGCCTACGAAGGAGTGTCAAGGCTCACGAAGGAGTGTCAAGGCTCACGAAGGAGTGTCAAGGCCTACGAAGGAGTGTCAAGGCTCACGAAGGAGTGTCAAGGCCTACGAAGGAGTGTCAAGGCCACGAAGGAGTGTCAAGGCTCACGAAGGAGTGTTAAGGCTCACGAAGGAGTGTCAAGGCCTACGAAGGAGTGTCAAGGCTCACGAAGGAGTGTCAAGGCTCACAAAGGAGTGTCAAGGCCTACGAAGGAGTGTCAAGGCTCACGAAGGAGTGTCAAGGCCTACGAAGGAGTGTCAAGGCTCACGAAGGAGTGTCAAGGCCTACGAAGGAGTGTCAAGCCTACGAAGGAGTGTTAAGGCTCACGATGGAGTGTCAAGGCCTACGAAGGAGTGTCAAGGCTCACGAAGGAGTGTCAAGGCTCACAAAGGAGTGTCAAGGCCTACGAAGGAGTGTCAAGGCTCACGAAGGAGTGTCAAGGCCTACGAAGGAGTGTCAAGGCTCACGAAGGAGTGTCAAGGCTCACGAAGGAGTGTCAAGGCCTACGAAGGAGTGTCAAGGCTCACGAAGGAGTGTCAAGGCTCACGAAGGAGTGTCAAGGCTCACGAAGGAGCGTCAAGGCCTACGCAGGAGTGTCAAGGCTCACGAAGGAGTGTCAAGGCTCACGAAGGAGTGTCAAGGCTCACGAAGGAGTGTCAAGGCTCACGAAGGAGTGTCAAGGCCTACGAAGGAGTGTCAAGGCTCACGAAGGAGTGTCAAGGCTCACGAAGGAGTGTCAAGGCCTACGAAGGAGTGTCAAGGCTCACGAAGGAGTGTCAAGGCTCACGAAGGAGTGTCAAGGCTCACGAAGGAGTGTCAAGGCCTACGAAGGAGTGTCAAGGCTCACGAAGGAGTGTCAAGGCCTACGAAGGAGTGTCAAGGCTCACGAAGGAGTGTCAAGGCCTACAAAGGAGTGTCAAGGCTCACGAAGGAGTGTCAAGGCCTACGAAGGAGTGTCAAGGCTCACGAAGGAGTGTCAAGGCTCACGAAGGAGTGTCAAGGCCTACGAAGGAGAGTCAAGGCCTACGAAGGAGTGTCAAGGCTCACGAAGGAGTGTCAAGGCCTACGAAGGAGTGTCAAGGCTCACGAAGGAGTGTCAAGGCCTACGAAGGAGTGTCAAGGCTCACGAAGGAGTGCCAAGGCCTACGAAGGAGTGTCAAGGCTCACGAAGGAGTGTCAAGGCCTACGAAGGAGTGTCAAGGCTCACGAAGGAGTGTCAAGGCCTACGAAGGAGTGTCAAGGCTCACGAAGGAGTGTCAAGGCCTACGAAGGAGTGTCAAGGCTCACGAAGGAGTGTCAAGGCCTACGAAGGAGTGTCAAGGCTCACGAAGGAGTGTCAAGGCCTACGAAGGAGTGTCAAGGCTCACGAAGGAGTGCCAAGGCCTACGAAGGAGTGTCAAGGCTCACGAAGGAGTGTCAAGGCCTACGAAGGAGTGTCAAGGCTCACGAAGGAGTGTCAAGGCCTACGAAGGAGTGTCAAGGCTCACGAAGGAGTGTCAAGGCCTACGAAGGAGTGTCAAGGCTCACGAAGGAGTGTCAAGGCCTACGAAGGAGTGTCAAGGCTCACGAAGGAGTGTCAAGGCTCACGAAGGAGTGTCAAGGCCTACGAAGGAGAGTCAAGGCCTACGAAGGAGTGTCAAGGCTCACGAAGGAGTGTCAAGGCCTACGAAGGAGTGTCAAGGCTCACGAAGGAGTGTCAAGGCTCACGAAGGAGTGTCAATGCTCACGAAAGAGTGTCAAGGCCTACGAAGGAGTGTCAAGGCTCACGAAGGAGTGTCAAGGCCTACGAAGGAGTGTCAAGGCTCACGAAGGAGTGTCAAGGCTCACGAAGGAGTGTCAAGGCCTACGAAGGAGAGTCAAGGCCTACGAAGGAGTGTCAAGGCTCACGAAGGAGTGTCAAGGCCTACGAAGGAGTGTCAAGGCTCACGAAGGAGTGTCAAGGCCTACGAAGGAGTGTCAAGGCTCGCGAAGGAGTGTCAAGGCCTACGAAGGAGTGTCAAGGCTCACGAAGGAGTGTCAAGGCTCACGAAGGAGTGCCAAGGCCTACGAAGGAGTGTCAAGGCTCACGAAGGAGTGTCAAGGCCTACGAAGGAGTGTCAAGGCTCACGAAGGAATGTCAAGGCCTACGAAGGAGTGTCAAGGCTCACGAAGGAGTGTCAAGGCCTACGAAGGAGTGTCAAGGCTCACGAAGGAGTGTCAAGGCCTACGAAGGAGTGTCAAGGCTCACGAAGGAGTGTCAAGGCCTACGAAGGAGTGTCAAGGCTCACGAAGGAGTGTCAAGGCTCACGAAGGAGTGTCAAGGCCTACGAAGGAGTGTCAAGGCTCACGAAGGAGTGTCAAGGCTCACAAAGGAGTGTCAAGGCCTACGAAGGAGTGTCAAGGCTCACGAAGGAGTGTCAAGGCCTACGAAGGAGTGTCAAGGCTCACGAAGGAGTGTCAAGGCCTACGAAGGAGTGTCAAGGCCTACGAAGGAGTGTTAAGGCTCACGATGGAGTGTCAAGGCCTACGAAGGAGTGTCAAGGCTCACGAAGGAGTGTCAAGGCTCACAAAGGAGTGTCAAGGCCTACGAAGGAGTGTCAAGGCTCACGAAGGAGTGTCAAGGCCTACGAAGGAGTGTCAAGGCTCACGAAGGAGTGTCAAGGCCTACGAAGGATTGTCAAGGCTCACGAAGGAGTGTCAAGGCTCACGAAGGAGTGTCAAGGCCTACGAAGGAGTGTCAAGGCTCACGAAGGAGTGTCAAGGCTCACGAAGGAGTGTCAAGGCTCACGAAGGAGCGTCAAGGCCTACGCAGGAGTGTCAAGGCTCACGAAGGAGTGTCAAGGCTCACGAAGGAGTGTCAAGGCTCACGAAGGAGTGTCAAGGCTCACGAAGGAGTGTCAAGGCCTACGAAGGAGTGTCAAGGCTCACGAAGGAGTGTCAAGGCTCACGAAGGAGTGTCAAGGCCTACGAAGGAGTGTCAAGGCTCACGAAGGAGTGTCAAGGCTCACGAAGGAGTGTCAAGGCTCACGAAGGAGTGTCAAGGCCTACGAAGGAGTGTCAAGGCTCACGAAGGAGTGTCAAGGCCTACGAAGGAGTGTCAAGGCTCACGAAGGAGTGTCAAGGCCTACAAAGGAGTGTCAAGGCTCACGAAGGAGTGTCAAGGCCTACGAAGGAGTGTCAAGGCTCACGAAGGAGTGTCAAGGCTCACGAAGGAGTGTCAAGGCCTACGAAGGAGAGTCAAGGCCTACGAAGGAGTGTCAAGGCTCACGAAGGAGTGTCAAGGCCTACGAAGGAGTGTCAAGGCTCACGAAGGAGTGTCAAGGCCTACGAAGGAGTGTCAAGGCTCACGAAGGAGTGTCAAGGCTCACGAAGGAGTGCCAAGGCCTACGAAGGAGTGTCAAGGCTCACGAAGGAGTGTCAAGGCCTACGAAGGAGTGTCAAGGCTCACGAAGGAGTGTCAAGGCCTACGAAGGAGTGTCAAGGCTCACGAAGGAGTGTCAAGGCCTACGAAGGAGTGTCAAGGCTCACGAAGGAGTGTCAAGGCCTACGAAGGAGTGTCAAGGCTCACGAAGGAGTGTCAAGGCCTACGAAGGAGTGTCAAGGCTCACGAAGGAGTGCCAAGGCCTACGAAGGAGTGTCAAGGCTCACGAAGGAGTGTCAAGGCCTACGAAGGAGTGTCAAGGCTCACGAAGGAGTGTCAAGGCCTACGAAGGAGTGTCAAGGCTCACGAAGGAGTGTCAAGGCCTACGAAGGAGTGTCAAGGCTCACGAAGGAGTGTCAAGGCCTACGAAGGAGTGTCAAGGCTCACGAAGGAGTGTCAAGGCTCACGAAGGAGTGTCAAGGCCTACGAAGGAGAGTCAAGGCCTACGAAGGAGTGTCAAGGCTCACGAAGGAGTGTCAAGGCCTACGAAGGAGTGTCAAGGCTCACGAAGGAGTGTCAAGGCTCACGAAGGAGTGTCAATGCTCACGAAAGAGTGTCAAGGCCTACGAAGGAGTGTCAAGGCTCACGAAGGAGTGTCAAGGCCTACGAAGGAGTGTCAAGGCTCACGAAGGAGTGTCAAGGCTCACGAAGGAGTGTCAAGGCCTACGAAGGAGAGTCAAGGCCTACGAAGGAGTGTCAAGGCTCACGAAGGAGTGTCAAGGCCTACGAAGGAGTGTCAAGGCTCACGAAGGAGTGTCAAGGCCTACGAAGGAGTGTCAAGGCTCGCGAAGGAGTGTCAAGGCCTACGAAGGAGTGTCAAGGCTCACGAAGGAGTGTCAAGGCTCACGAAGGAGTGCCAAGGCCTACGAAGGAGTGTCAAGGCTCACGAAGGAGTGTCAAGGCCTACGAAGGAGTGTCAAGGCTCACGAAGGAATGTCAAGGCCTACGAAGGAGTGTCAAGGCTCACGAAGGAGTGTCAAGGCCTACGAAGGAGTGTCAAGGCTCACGAAGGAGTGTCAAGGCCTACGAAGGAGTGTCAAGGCTCACGAAGGAGTGTCAAGGCCTACGAAGGAGTGTCAAGGCTCACGAAGGAGTGTCAAGGCTCACGAAGGAGTGTCAAGGCCTACGAAGGAGAGTCAAGGCCTACGAAGGAGTGTCAAGGCTCACGAAGGAGTGTCAAGGCCTACGAAGGAGTGTCAAGGCTCACGAAGGAGTGTCAAGGCTCACGAAGGAGTGTCAATGCTCACGAAAGAGTGTCAAGGCCTACGAAGGAGTGTCAAGGCTCACGAAGGAGTGTCAAGGCCTACGAAGGAGTGTCAAGGCTCACGAAGGAGTGTCAAGGCTCACGAAGGAGTGTCAAGGCCTACGAAGGAGAGTCAAGGCCTACGAAGGAGTGTCAAGGCTCACGAAGGAGTGTCAAGGCCTACGAAGGAGTGTCAAGGCTCACGAAGGAGTGTCAAGGCCTACGAAGGAGTGTCAAGGCTCGCGAAGGAGTGTCAAGGCCTACGAAGGAGTGTCAAGGCTCACGAAGGAGTGTCAAGGCTCACGAAGGAGTGCCAAGGCCTACGAAGGAGTGTCAAGGCTCACGAAGGAGTGTCAAGGCCTACGAAGGAGTGTCAAGGCTCACGAAGGAATGTCAAGGCCTACGAAGGAGTGTCAAGGCTCACGAAGGAGTGTCAAGGCCTACGAAGGAGTGTCAAGGCTCACGAAGGAGTGTCAAGGCCTACGAAGGAGTGTCAAGGCTCACGAAGGAGTGTCAAGGCCTACGAAGGAGTGTCAAGGCTCACGAAGGAGTGTCAAGGCTCACGAAGGAGTGTCAAGGCCTACGAAGGAGTGTCAAGGCTCACGAAGGAGTGTCAAGGCTCACAAAGGAGTGTCAAGGCCTACGAAGGAGTGTCAAGGCTCACGAAGGAGTGTCAAGGCCTACGAAGGAGTGTCAAGGCTCACGAAGGAGTGTCAAGGCCTACGAAGGAGTGTCAAGGCCTACGAAGGAGTGTTAAGGCTCACGATGGAGTGTCAAGGCCTACGAAGGAGTGTCAAGGCTCACGAAGGAGTGTCAAGGCTCACAAAGGAGTGTCAAGGCCTACGAAGGAGTGTCAAGGCTCACGAAGGAGTGTCAAGGCCTACGAAGGAGTGTCAAGGCTCACGAAGGAGTGTCAAGGCCTACGAAGGATTGTCAAGGCTCACGAAGGAGTGTCAAGGCTCACGAAGGAGTGTCAAGGCCTACGAAGGAGTGTCAAGGCTCACGAAGGAGTGTCAAGGCCTACGAAGGAGTGTCAAGGCTCACGAAGGAGTGTCAAGGCCTACGAAGGAGTGTCAAGGCTCACGAAGGAGTGTCAAGGCCTACGAAGGAGTGTCAAGGCTCACGAAGGAGTGTCAAGGCCTACGAAGGAGTGTCAAGGCTCACGAAGGAGTGTCAAGGCCTACGAAGGAGTGTCAAGGCTCACGAAGGAGTGTCAAGGCTCACGAAGGAGTGTCAAGGCCTACGAAGGAGAGTCAAGGCCTACGAAGGAGTGTCAAGGCTCACGAAGGAGTGTCAAGGCCTACGAAGGAGTGTCAAGGCTCACGAAGGAGTGTCAAGGCTCACGAAGGAGTGTCAATGCTCACGAAAGAGTGTCAAGGCCTACGAAGGAGTGTCAAGGCTCACGAAGGAGTGTCAAGGCCTACGAAGGAGTGTCAAGGCTCACGAAGGAGTGTCAAGGCTCACGAAGGAGTGTCAAGGCCTACGAAGAAGTGTCAAGGCTCACGAAGGAGTGTCAAGGCCTACGAAGGAGTGTCAAGGCCTACGAAGGAGTGTCAAGGCTCACGAAGGAGTGTTAAGGCTCACGAAGGAGTGTCAAGGCCTACGAAGGAGTGTCAAGGCTCACGAAGGAGTGTCAAGGCTCACAAAGGAGTGTCAAGGCCTACGAAGGAGTGTCAAGGCTCACGAAGGAGTGTCAAGGCCTACGAAGGAGTGTCAAGGCTCACGAAGGAGTGTCAAGGCCTACGAAGGAGTGTCAAGGCCTACGAAGGAGTGTTAAGGCTCACGATGGAGTGTCAAGGCCTACGAAGGAGTGTCAAGGCTCACGAAGGAGTGTCAAGGCTCACAAAGGAGTGTCAAGGCCTACGAAGGAGTGTCAAGGCTCACGAAGGAGTGTCAAGGCCTACGAAGGAGTGTCAAGGCTCACGAAGGAGTGTCAAGGCTCACGAAGGAGTGTCAAGGCCTACGAAGGAGTGTCAAGGCTCACGAAGGAGTGTCAAGGCTCACGAAGGAGTGTCAAGGCTCACGAAGGAGCGTCAAGGCCTACGCAGGAGTGTCAAGGCTCACGAAGGAGTGTCAAGGCTCACGAAGGAGTGTCAAGGCTCACGAAGGAGTGTCAAGGCTCACGAAGGAGTGTCAAGGCCTACGAAGGAGTGTCAAGGCTCACGAAGGAGTGTCAAGGCTCACGAAGGAGTGTCAAGGCCTACGAAGGAGTGTCAAGGCTCACGAAGGAGTGTCAAGGCTCACGAAGGAGTGTCAAGGCTCACGAAGGAGTGTCAAGGCCTACGAAGGAGTGTCAAGGCTCACGAAGGAGTGTCAAGGCCTACGAAGGAGTGTCAAGGCTCACGAAGGAGTGTCAAGGCCTACGAAGGAGTGTCAAGGCTCACGAAGGAGTGTCAAGGCCTACGAAGGAGTGTCAAGGCTCACGAAGGAGTGTCAAGGCTCACGAAGGAGTGTCAAGGCTCACGAAGGAGTGTCAAGGCCTACGAAGGAGAGTCAAGGCCTACGAAGGAGTGTCAAGGCTCACGAAGGAGTGTCAAGGCCTACGAAGGAGTGTCAAGGCTCACGAAGGAGTGTCAAGGCCTACGAAGGAGTGTCAAGGCTCACGAAGGAGTGTCAAGGCTCACGAAGGAGTGCCAAGGCCTACGAAGGAGTGTCAAGGCTCACGAAGGAGTGTCAAGGCCTACGAAGGAGTGTCAAGGCTCACGAAGGAGTGTCAAGGCCTACGAAGGAGTGTCAAGGCTCACGAAGGAGTGTCAAGGCCTACGAAGGAGTGTCAAGGCTCACGAAGGAGTGTCAAGGCCTACGAAGGAGTGTCAAGGCTCACGAAGGAGTGTCAAGGCCTACGAAGGAGTGTCAAGGCTCACGAAGGAGTGCCAAGGCCTACGAAGGAGTGTCAAGGCTCACGAAGGAGTGTCAAGGCCTACGAAGGAGTGTCAAGGCTCACGAAGGAGTGTCAAGGCCTACGAAGGAGTGTCAAGGCTCACGAAGGAGTGTCAAGGCCTACGAAGGAGTGTCAAGGCTCACGAAGGAGTGTCAAGGCCTACGAAGGAGTGTCAAGGCTCACGAAGGAGTGTCAAGGCCTACGAAGGAGTGTCAAGGCTCACGAAGGAGTGTCAAGGCTCACGAAGGAGTGTCAAGGCCTACGAAGGAGAGTCAAGGCCTACGAAGGAGTGTCAAGGCTCACGAAGGAGTGTCAAGGCTCACGAAGGAGTGTCAATGCTCACGAAAGAGTGTCAAGGCCTACGAAGGAGTGTCAAGGCTCACGAAGGAGTGTCAAGGCCTACGAAGGAGTGTCAAGGCTCACGAAGGAGTGTCAAGGCTCACGAAGGAGTGTCAAGGCCTACGAAGGAGAGTCAAGGCCTACGAAGGAGTGTCAAGGCTCACGAAGGAGTGTCAAGGCCTACGAAGGAGTGTCAAGGCTCACGAAGGAGTGTCAAGGCCTACGAAGGAGTTTCAAGGCTCACGAAGGAGTGTCAAGGCCTACGAAGGAGTGTCAAGGCTCACGAAGGAGTGTCAAGGCTCACGAAGGAGTGCCAAGGCCTACGAAGGAGTGTCAAGGCTCACGAAGGAGTGTCAAGGCCTACGAAGGAGTGTCAAGGCTCACGAAGGAGTGTCAAGGCCTACGAAGGAGTGTCAAGGCTCACGAAGGAGTGTCAAGGCCTACGAAGGAGTGTCAAGGCTCACGAAGGAGTGTCAAGGCCTACGAAGGAGTGTCAAGGCTCACGAAGGAGTGTCAAGGCCTACGAAGGAGTGTCAAGGCTCACGAAGGAGTGTCAAGGCTCACGAAGGAGTGTCAAGGCCTGCGAAGGAGTGTCAAGGCTCACGAAGGAGTGTCAAGGCTCACAAAGGAGTGTCAAGGCCTACGAAGGAGTGTCAAGGCTCACGAAGGAGTGTCAAGGCCTACGAAGGAGTGTCAAGGCTCACGAAGGAGTGTCAAGGCCTACGAAGGAGTGTCAAGGCCTACGAAGGAGTGTTAAGGCTCACGATGGAGTGTCAAGGCCTACGAAGGAGTGTCAAGGCTCACGAAGGAGTGTCAAGGCTCACAAAGGAGTGTCAAGGCCTACGAAGGAGTGTCAAGGCTCACGAAGGAGTGTCAAGGCCTACGAAGGAGTGTCAAGGCTCACGAAGGAGTGTCAAGGCTCACGAAGGAGTGTCAAGGCCTACGAAGGAGTGTCAAGGCTCACGAAGGAGTGTCAAGGCTCACGAAGGAGTGTCAAGGCTCACGAAGGAGCGTCAAGGCCTACGCAGGAGTGTCAAGGCTCACGAAGGAGTGTCAAGGCTCACGAAGGAGTGTCAAGGCTCACGAAGGAGTGTCAAGGCTCACGAAGGAGTGTCAAGGCCTACGAAGGAGTGTCAAGGCTCACGAAGGAGTGTCAAGGCTCACGAAGGAGTGTCAAGGCCTACGAAGGAGTGTCAAGGCTCACGAAGGAGTGTCAAGGCTCACGAAGGAGTGTCAAGGCTCACGAAGGAGTGTCAAGGCCTACGAAGGAGTGTCAAGGCTCACGAAGGAGTGTCAAGGCCTACGAAGGAGTGTCAAGGCTCACGAAGGAGTGTCAAGGCCTACGAAGGAGTGTCAAGGCTCACGAAGGAGTGTCAAGGCCTACGAAGGAGTGTCAAGGCTCACGAAGGAGTGTCAAGGCTCACGAAGGAGTGTCAAGGCCTACGAAGGAGAGTCAAGGCCTACGAAGGAGTGTCAAGGCTCACGAAGGAGTGTCAAGGCCTACGAAGGAGTGTCAAGGCTCACGAAGGAGTGTCAAGGCTCACGAAGGAGTGTCAATGCTCACGAAAGAGTGTCAAGGCCTACGAAGGAGTGTCAAGGCTCACGAAGGAGTGTCAAGGCCTACGAAGGAGTGTCAAGGCTCACGAAGGAGTGTCAAGGCTCACGAAGGAGTGTCAAGGCTCACGAAGGAGTGTCAAGGCCTACGAAGGAGTGTCAAGGCTCACGAAGGAGTGTCAAGGCCTACGAAGGAGTGTCAAGGCCACGAAGGAGTGTCAAGGCTCACGAAGGAGTGTTAAGGCTCACGAAGGAGTGTCAAGGCCTACGAAGGAGTGTCAAGGCTCACGAAGGAGTGTCAAGGCTCACAAAGGAGTGTCAAGGCCTACGAAGGAGTGTCAAGGCTCACGAAGGAGTGTCAAGGCCTACGAAGGAGTGTCAAGGCTCACGAAGGAGTGTCAAGGCCTACGAAGGAGTGTCAAGGCCTACGAAGGAGTGTTAAGGCTCACGATGGAGTGTCAAGGCCTACGAAGGAGTGTCAAGGCTCACGAAGGAGTGTCAAGGCTCACAAAGGAGTGTCAAGGCCTACGAAGGAGTGTCAAGGCTCACGAAGGAGTGTCAAGGCCTACGAAGGAGTGTCAAGGCTCACGAAGGAGTGTCAAGGCTCACGAAGGAGTGTCAAGGCCTACGAAGGAGTGTCAAGGCTCACGAAGGAGTGTCAAGGCTCACGAAGGAGTGTCAAGGCTCACGAAGGAGCGTCAAGGCCTACGCAGGAGTGTCAAGGCTCACGAAGGAGTGTCAAGGCTCACGAAGGAGTGTCAAGGCTCACGAAGGAGTGTCAAGGCTCACGAAGGAGTGTCAAGGCCTACGAAGGAGTGTCAAGGCTCACGAAGGAGTGTCAAGGCTCACGAAGGAGTGTCAAGGCCTACGAAGGAGTGTCAAGGCTCACGAAGGAGTGTCAAGGCCTACGAAGGAGTGTCAAGGCTCACGAAGGAGTGTCAAGGCCTACGAAGGAGTGTCAAGGCTCACGAAGGAGTGTCAAGGCCTACGAAGGAGTGTCAAGGCTCACGAAGGAGTGTCAAGGCCTACGAAGGAGTGTCAAGGCTCACGAAGGAGTGTCAAGGCTCACGAAGGAGTGTCAAGGCCTACGAAGGAGAGTCAAGGCCTACGAAGGAGTGTCAAGGCTCACGAAGGAGTGTCAAGGCCTACGAAGGAGTGTCAAGGCTCACGAAGGAGTGTCAAGGCTCACGAAGGAGTGTCAATGCTCACGAAAGAGTGTCAAGGCCTACGAAGGAGTGTCAAGGCTCACGAAGGAGTGTCAAGGCCTACGAAGGAGTGTCAAGGCTCACGAAGGAGTGTCAAGGCTCACGAAGGAGTGTCAAGGCCTACGAAGAAGTGTCAAGGCTCACGAAGGAGTGTCAAGGCCTACGAAGGAGTGTCAAGGCCTACGAAGGAGTGTCAAGGCTCACGAAGGAGTGTTAAGGCTCACGAAGGAGTGTCAAGGCCTACGAAGGAGTGTCAAGGCTCACGAAGGAGTGTCAAGGCTCACAAAGGAGTGTCAAGGCCTACGAAGGAGTGTCAAGGCTCACGAAGGAGTGTCAAGGCCTACGAAGGAGTGTCAAGGCTCACGAAGGAGTGTCAAGGCCTACGAAGGAGTGTCAAGGCCTACGAAGGAGTGTTAAGGCTCACGATGGAGTGTCAAGGCCTACGAAGGAGTGTCAAGGCTCACGAAGGAGTGTCAAGGCTCACAAAGGAGTGTCAAGGCCTACGAAGGAGTGTCAAGGCTCACGAAGGAGTGTCAAGGCCTACGAAGGAGTGTCAAGGCTCACGAAGGAGTGTCAAGGCTCACGAAGGAGTGTCAAGGCCTACGAAGGAGTGTCAAGGCTCACGAAGGAGTGTCAAGGCTCACGAAGGAGTGTCAAGGCTCACGAAGGAGCGTCAAGGCCTACGCAGGAGTGTCAAGGCTCACGAAGGAGTGTCAAGGCTCACGAAGGAGTGTCAAGGCTCACGAAGGAGTGTCAAGGCTCACGAAGGAGTGTCAAGGCCTACGAAGGAGTGTCAAGGCTCACGAAGGAGTGTCAAGGCTCACGAAGGAGTGTCAAGGCCTACGAAGGAGTGTCAAGGCTCACGAAGGAGTGTCAAGGCTCACGAAGGAGTGTCAAGGCTCACGAAGGAGTGTCAAGGCCTACGAAGGAGTGTCAAGGCTCACGAAGGAGTGTCAAGGCCTACGAAGGAGTGTCAAGGCTCACGAAGGAGTGTCAAGGCCTACGAAGGAGTGTCAAGGCTCACGAAGGAGTGTCAAGGCCTACGAAGGAGTGTCAAGGCTCACGAAGGAGTGTCAAGGCTCACGAAGGAGTGTCAAGGCTCACGAAGGAGTGTCAAGGCCTACGAAGGAGAGTCAAGGCCTACGAAGGAGTGTCAAGGCTCACGAAGGAGTGTCAAGGCCTACGAAGGAGTGTCAAGGCTCACGAAGGAGTGTCAAGGCCTACGAAGGAGTGTCAAGGCTCACGAAGGAGTGTCAAGGCTCACGAAGGAGTGCCAAGGCCTACGAAGGAGTGTCAAGGCTCACGAAGGAGTGTCAAGGCCTACGAAGGAGTGTCAAGGCTCACGAAGGAGTGTCAAGGCCTACGAAGGAGTGTCAAGGCTCACGAAGGAGTGTCAAGGCCTACGAAGGAGTGTCAAGGCTCACGAAGGAGTGTCAAGGCCTACGAAGGAGTGTCAAGGCTCACGAAGGAGTGTCAAGGCCTACGAAGGAGTGTCAAGGCTCACGAAGGAGTGCCAAGGCCTACGAAGGAGTGTCAAGGCTCACGAAGGAGTGTCAAGGCCTACGAAGGAGTGTCAAGGCTCACGAAGGAGTGTCAAGGCCTACGAAGGAGTGTCAAGGCTCACGAAGGAGTGTCAAGGCCTACGAAGGAGTGTCAAGGCTCACGAAGGAGTGTCAAGGCCTACGAAGGAGTGTCAAGGCTCACGAAGGAGTGTCAAGGCCTACGAAGGAGTGTCAAGGCTCACGAAGGAGTGTCAAGGCTCACGAAGAAGTGTCAAGGCCTACGAAGGAGAGTCAAGGCCTACGAAGGAGTGTCAAGGCTCACGAAGGAGTGTCAAGGCTCACGAAGGAGTGTCAATGCTCACGAAAGAGTGTCAAGGCCTACGAAGGAGTGTCAAGGCTCACGAAGGAGTGTCAAGGCCTACGAAGGAGTGTCAAGGCTCACGAAGGAGTGTCAAGGCTCACGAAGGAGTGTCAAGGCCTACGAAGGAGAGTCAAGGCCTACGAAGGAGTGTCAAGGCTCACGAAGGAGTGTCAAGGCCTACGAAGGAGTGTCAAGGCTCACGAAGGAGTGTCAAGGCCTACGAAGGAGTTTCAAGGCTCACGAAGGAGTGTCAAGGCCTACGAAGGAGTGTCAAGGCTCACGAAGGAGTGTCAAGGCTCACGAAGGAGTGCCAAGGCCTACGAAGGAGTGTCAAGGCTCACGAAGGAGTGTCAAGGCCTACGAAGGAGTGTCAAGGCTCACGAAGGAGTGTCAAGGCCTACGAAGGAGTGTCAAGGCTCACGAAGGAGTGTCAAGGCCTACGAAGGAGTGTCAAGGCTCACGAAGGAGTGTCAAGGCCTACGAAGGAGTGTCAAGGCTCACGAAGGAGTGTCAAGGCCTACGAAGGAGTGTCAAGGCTCACGAAGGAGTGTCAAGGCTCACGAAGGAGTGTCAAGGCCTGCGAAGGAGTGTCAAGGCTCACGAAGGAGTGTCAAGGCTCACAAAGGAGTGTCAAGGCCTACGAAGGAGTGTCAAGGCTCACGAAGGAGTGTCAAGGCCTACGAAGGAGTGTCAAGGCTCACGAAGGAGTGTCAAGGCCTACGAAGGAGTGTCAAGGCCTACGAAGGAGTGTTAAGGCTCACGATGGAGTGTCAAGGCCTACGAAGGAGTGTCAAGGCTCACGAAGGAGTGTCAAGGCTCACAAAGGAGTGTCAAGGCCTACGAAGGAGTGTCAAGGCTCACGAAGGAGTGTCAAGGCCTACGAAGGAGTGTCAAGGCTCACGAAGGAGTGTCAAGGCTCACGAAGGAGTGTCAAGGCCTACGAAGGAGTGTCAAGGCTCACGAAGGAGTGTCAAGGCTCACGAAGGAGTGTCAAGGCTCACGAAGGAGCGTCAAGGCCTACGCAGGAGTGTCAAGGCTCACGAAGGAGTGTCAAGGCTCACGAAGGAGTGTCAAGGCTCACGAAGGAGTGTCAAGGCTCACGAAGGAGTGTCAAGGCCTACGAAGGAGTGTCAAGGCTCACGAAGGAGTGTCAAGGCTCACGAAGGAGTGTCAAGGCCTACGAAGGAGTGTCAAGGCTCACGAAGGAGTGTCAAGGCTCACGAAGGAGTGTCAAGGCTCACGAAGGAGTGTCAAGGCCTACGAAGGAGTGTCAAGGCTCACGAAGGAGTGTCAAGGCCTACGAAGGAGTGTCAAGGCTCACGAAGGAGTGTCAAGGCCTACGAAGGAGTGTCAAGGCTCACGAAGGAGTGTCAAGGCCTACGAAGGAGTGTCAAGGCTCACGAAGGAGTGTCAAGGCTCACGAAGGAGTGTCAAGGCCTACGAAGGAGAGTCAAGGCCTACGAAGGAGTGTCAAGGCTCACGAAGGAGTGTCAAGGCCTACGAAGGAGTGTCAAGGCTCACGAAGGAGTGTCAAGGCTCACGAAGGAGTGTCAATGCTCACGAAAGAGTGTCAAGGCCTACGAAGGAGTGTCAAGGCTCACGAAGGAGTGTCAAGGCCTACGAAGGAGTGTCAAGGCTCACGAAGGAGTGTCAAGGCTCACGAAGGAGTGTCAAGGCCTACGAAGGAGAGTCAAGGCCTACGAAGGAGTGTCAAGGCTCACGAAGGAGTGTCAAGGCCTACGAAGGAGTGTCAAGGCTCACGAAGGAGTGTCAAGGCCTACGAAGGAGTGTCAAGGCTCACGAAGGAGTGTCAAGGCCTACGAAGGAGTGTCAAGGCTCACGAAGGAGTGTCAAGGCTCACGAAGGAGTGCCAAGGCCTACGAAGGAGTGTCAAGGCTCACGAAGGAGTGTCAAGGCCTACGAAGGAGTGTCAAGGCTCACGAAGGAGTGTCAAGGCCTACGAAGGAGTGTCAAGGCTCACGAAGGAGTGTCAAGGCCTACGAAGGAGTGTCAAGGCTCACGAAGGAGTGTCAAGGCCTACGAAGGAGTGTCAAGGCTCACGAAGGAGTGTCAAGGCCTACGAAGGAGTGTCAAGGCTCACGAAGGAGTGTCAAGGCCTACGAAGGAGTGTCAAGGCTCACGAAGGAGTGTCAAGGCTCACGAAGGAGTGTCAAGGCCTACGAAGGAGAGTCAAGGCCTACGAAGGAGTGTCAAGGCTCACGAAGGAGTGTCAAGGCCTACGAAGGAGTGTCAAGGCTCACGAAGGAGTGTCAAGGCCTACGAAGGAGTGTCAAGGCTCACGAAGGAGTGTCAAGGCCTACGAAGGAGTGTCAAGGCTCACGAAGGAGTGTCAAGGCTCACGAAGGAGTGCCAAGGCCTACGAAGGAGTGTCAAGGCTCACGAAGGAGTGTCAAGGCCTACGAAGGAGTGTCAAGGCTCACGAAGGAGTGTCAAGGCCTACGAAGGAGTGTCAAGGCTCACGAAGGAGTGTCAAGGCCTACGAAGGAGTGTCAAGGCTCACGAAGGAGTGTCAAGGCCTACGAAGGAGTGTCAAGGCTCACGAAGGAGTGTCAAGGCCTACGAAGGAGTGTCAAGGCTCACGAAGGAGTGTCAAGGCTCACGAAGGAGTGTCAAGGCCTACGAAGGAGTGTCAAGGCTCACGAAGGAGTGTCAAGGCTCACAAAGGAGTGTCAAGGCCTACGAAGGAGTGTCAAGGCTCACGAAGGAGTGTCAAGGCCTACGAAGGAGTGTCAAGGCTCACGAAGGAGTGTCAAGGCCTACGAAGGAGTGTCAAGGCCTACGAAGGAGTGTTAAGGCTCACGATGGAGTGTCAAGGCCTACGAAGGAGTGTCAAGGCTCACGAAGGAGTGTCAAGGCTCACAAAGGAGTGTCAAGGCCTACGAAGGAGTGTCAAGGCTCACGAAGGAGTGTCAAGGCCTACGAAGGAGTGTCAAGGCTCACGAAGGAGTGTCAAGGCTCACGAAGGAGTGTCAAGGCCTACGAAGGAGTGTCAAGGCTCACGAAGGAGTGTCAAGGCTCACGAAGGAGTGTCAAGGCTCACGAAGGAGCGTCAAGGCCTACGCAGGAGTGTCAAGGCTCACGAAGGAGTGTCAAGGCTCACGAAGGAGTGTCAAGGCTCACGAAGGAGTGTCAAGGCTCACGAAGGAGTGTCAAGGCCTACGAAGGAGTGTCAAGGCTCACGAAGGAGTGTCAAGGCTCACGAAGGAGTGTCAAGGCCTACGAAGGAGTGTCAAGGCTCACGAAGGAGTGTCAAGGCTCACGAAGGAGTGTCAAGGCTCACGAAGGAGTGTCAAGGCCTACGAAGGAGTGTCAAGGCTCACGAAGGAGTGTCAAGGCCTACGAAGGAGTGTCAAGGCTCACGAAGGAGTGTCAAGGCCTACGAAGGAGTGTCAAGGCTCACGAAGGAGTGTCAAGGCCTACGAAGGAGTGTCAAGGCTCACGAAGGAGTGTCAAGGCTCACGAAGGAGTGTCAAGGCCTACGAAGGAGAGTCAAGGCCTACGAAGGAGTGTCAAGGCTCACGAAGGAGTGTCAAGGCCTACGAAGGAGTGTCAAGGCTCACGAAGGAGTGTCAAGGCCTACGAAGGAGTGTCAAGGCTCACGAAGGAGTGTCAAGGCTCACGAAGGAGTGCCAAGGCCTACGAAGGAGTGTCAAGGCTCACGAAGGAGTGTCAAGGCCTACGAAGGAGTGTCAAGGCTCACGAAGGAGTGTCAAGGCCTACGAAGGAGTGTCAAGGCTCACGAAGGAGTGTCAAGGCCTACGAAGGAGTGTCAAGGCTCACGAAGGAGTGTCAAGGCCTACGAAGGAGTGTCAAGGCTCACGAAGGAGTGTCAAGGCCTACGAAGGAGTGTCAAGGCTCACGAAGGAGTGTCAAGGCCTACGAAGGAGTGTCAAGGCTCACGAAGGAGTGTCAAGGCTCACGAAGGAGTGTCAAGGCCTACGAAGGAGTGTCAAGGCTCACGAAGGAGTGTCAAGGCTCACGAAGGAGTGTCAAGGCTCACGAAGGAGCGTCAAGGCCTACGCAGGAGTGTCAAGGCTCACGAAGGAGTGTCAAGGCTCACGAAGGAGTGTCAAGGCTCACGAAGGAGTGTCAAGGCTCACGAAGGAGTGTCAAGGCCTACGAAGGAGTGTCAAGGCTCACGAAGGAGTGTCAAGGCTCACGAAGGAGTGTCAAGGCCTACGAAGGAGTGTCAAGGCTCACGAAGGAGTGTCAAGGCTCACGAAGGAGTGTCAAGGCTCACGAAGGAGTGTCAAGGCCTACGAAGGAGTGTCAAGGCTCACGAAGGAGTGTCAAGGCCTACGAAGGAGTGTCAAGGCTCACGAAGGAGTGTCAAGGCCTACGAAGGAGTGTCAAGGCTCACGAAGGAGTGTCAAGGCCTACGAAGGAGTGTCAAGGCTCACGAAGGAGTGTCAAGGCTCACGAAGGAGTGTCAAGGCCTACGAAGGAGAGTCAAGGCCTACGAAGGAGTGTCAAGGCTCACGAAGGAGTGTCAAGGCCTACGAAGGAGTGTCAAGGCTCACGAAGGAGTGTCAAGGCCTACGAAGGAGTGTCAAGGCTCACGAAGGAGTGTCAAGGCTCACGAAGGAGTGCCAAGGCCTACGAAGGAGTGTCAAGGCTCACGAAGGAGTGTCAAGGCCTACGAAGGAGTGTCAAGGCTCACGAAGGAGTGTCAAGGCCTACGAAGGAGTGTCAAGGCTCACGAAGGAGTGTCAAGGCCTACGAAGGAGTGTCAAGGCTCACGAAGGAGTGTCAAGGCCTACGAAGGAGTGTCAAGGCTCACGAAGGAGTGTCAAGGCCTACGAAGGAGTGTCAAGGCTCACGAAGGAGTGTCAAGGCTCACGAAGGAGTGTCAAGGCCTACGAAGGAGAGTCAAGGCCTACGAAGGAGTGTCAAGGCTCACGAAGGAGTGTCAAGGCCTACGAAGGAGTGTCAAGGCTCACGAAGGAGTGTCAAGGCTCACGAAGGAGTGTCAATGCTCACGAAAGAGTGTCAAGGCCTACGAAGGAGTGTCAAGGCTCACGAAGGAGTGTCAAGGCCTACGAAGGAGTGTCAAGGCTCACGAAGGAGTGTCAAGGCTCACGAAGGAGTGTCAAGGCCTACGAAGGAGAGTCAAGGCCTACGAAGGAGTGTCAAGGCTCACGAAGGAGTGTCAAGGCCTACGAAGGAGTGTCAAGGCTCACGAAGGAGTGTCAAGGCCTACGAAGGAGTGTCAAGGCTCACGAAGGAGTGTCAAGGCCTACGAAGGAGTGTCAAGGCTCACGAAGGAGTGTCAAGGCCTACGAAGGAGTGTCAAGGCTCACGAAGGAGTGTCAAGGCCTACGAAGGAGTGTCAAGGCTCACGAAGGAGTGTCAAGGCCTACGAAGGAGTGTCAAGGCTCACGAAGGAGTGTCAAGGCCTACGAAGGAGTGTCAAGGCTCATGAAGGAGTGTCAAGGCTCACGAAGGAGTGTCAAGGCCTACGAAGGAGAGTCAAGGCCTACGAAGGAGTGTCAAGGCTCACGAAGGAGTGTCAAGGCCTACGAAGGAGTGTCAAGGCTCACGAAGGAGTGTCAAGGCCTACGAAGGAGTGTCAAGGCTCACGAAAGAGTGTCAAGGCCTACGAAGGAGTGTCAAGGCTCACGAAGGAGTGTCAAGGCCTACGAAGGAGTGTCAAGGCTCACGAAGGAGTGTCAAGGCTCACGAAGGAGTGTCAAGGCCTACGAAGGAGTGTCAAGGCTCACGAAGGAGTGTCAAGGCTCACGAAGGAGTGTCAAGGCCTACGAAGGAGAGTCAAGGCCTACGAAGGAGTGTCAAGGCTCACAAAGGAGTGTCAAGGCCTACGAAGGAGTGTCAAGGCTCACGAAGGAGTGTCAAGGCCTACGAAGGAGTGTCAAGGCTCACGAAGGAGTGTCAAGGCTCACGAAGGAGTGTCAAGGCTCACGAAAGAGTGTCAAGGCCTACGAAGGAGAGTCAAGGCCTACGAAGGAGTGTCAAGGCTCACGAAGGAGTGTCAAGGCCTACGAAGGAGTGTCAAGGCCTACGAAGGAGTGTCAAGGCTCACGAAGGAGTGTCAAGGCCTACGAAGGAGTGTCAAGGCTCACGAAGGAGTGTCAAGGCTCACGAAGGAGTGTCAAGGCCTACGAAGGAGTGTCAAGGCTCACGAAGGAGTGTCAAGGCTCACGAAGGAGTGTCAATGCTCACGAAAGAGTGTCAAGGCCTACGAAGGAGTGTCAAGGCTCACGAAGGAGTGTCAAGGCCTACGAAGGAGTGTCAAGGCTCACGAAGGAGTGTCAAGGCTCACGAAGGAGTGTCAAGGCTCACGAAAGAGTGTCAAGGCCTACGAAGGAGAGTCAAGGCCTACGAAGGAGTGTCAAGGCTCACGAAGGAGTGTCAAGGCCTACGAAGGAGTGTCAAGGCTCACGAAGGAGTGTCAAGGCCTACGAAGGAGTGTCAAGGCTCACGAAGGAGTGTCAAGGCCTACGAAGGAGTGTCAAGGCTCACGAAGGAGTGTCAAGGCCTACGAAGGAGTGTCAAGGCTCACGAAGGAGTGTCAAGGAATACGAAGGAGTGTCAAAGCTCACGAAGGAGTGTCAAGGCTCACAAAGGAGTGTCAAGGCCTACGAAGGAGTGTCAAGGCTCACGAAGGAGTGTCAAGGCCTACGAAGGAGTGTCAAGGCTCACGAAGGAGTGTCAAGGCTCACGAAGGAGTGTCAAGGCCTACGAAGGAGTGTCAAGGCTCACGAAGGAGTGTCAAGGCTCACGAAGGAGTGTCAAGGCTCACGAAGGAGCGTCAAGGCCTACGCAGGAGTGTCAAGGCTCACGAAGGAGTGTCAAGGCTCACGAAGGAGTGTCAAGGCTCACGAAGGAGTGTCAAGGCTCACGAAGGAGTGTCAAGGCCTACGAAGGAGTGTCAAGGCTCACGAAGGAGTGTCAAGGCTCACGAAGGAGTGTCAAGGCCTACGAAGGAGTGTCAAGGCTCACGAAGGAGTGTCAAGGCTCACGAAGGAGTGTCAAGGCTCACGAAGGAGTGTCAAGGCCTACGAAGGAGTGTCAAGGCTCACGAAGGAGTGTCAAGGCCTACGAAGGAGTGTCAAGGCTCACGAAGGAGTGTCAAGGCCTACGAAGGAGTGTCAAGGCTCACGAAGGAGTGTCAAGGCCTACGAAGGAGTGTCAAGGCTCACGAAGGAGTGTCAAGGCTCACGAAGGAGTGTCAAGGCCTACGAAGGAGAGTCAAGGCCTACGAAGGAGTGTCAAGGCTCACGAAGGAGTGTCAAGGCCTACGAAGGAGTGTCAAGGCTCACGAAGGAGTGTCAAGGCCTACGAAGGAGTGTCAAGGCTCACGAAGGAGTGTCAAGGCTCACGAAGGAGTGCCAAGGCCTACGAAGGAGTGTCAAGGCTCACGAAGGAGTGTCAAGGCCTACGAAGGAGTGTCAAGGCTCACGAAGGAGTGTCAAGGCCTACGAAGGAGTGTCAAGGCTCACGAAGGAGTGTCAAGGCCTACGAAGGAGTGTCAAGGCTCACGAAGGAGTGTCAAGGCCTACGAAGGAGTGTCAAGGCTCACGAAGGAGTGTCAAGGCCTACGAAGGAGTGTCAAGGCTCACGAAGGAGTGTCAAGGCTCACGAAGGAGTGTCAAGGCCTACGAAGGAGAGTCAAGGCCTACGAAGGAGTGTCAAGGCTCACGAAGGAGTGTCAAGGCCTACGAAGGAGTGTCAAGGCTCACGAAGGAGTGTCAAGGCTCACGAAGGAGTGTCAATGCTCACGAAAGAGTGTCAAGGCCTACGAAGGAGTGTCAAGGCTCACGAAGGAGTGTCAAGGCCTACGAAGGAGTGTCAAGGCTCACGAAGGAGTGTCAAGGCTCACGAAGGAGTGTCAAGGCCTACGAAGGAGAGTCAAGGCCTACGAAGGAGTGTCAAGGCTCACGAAGGAGTGTCAAGGCCTACGAAGGAGTGTCAAGGCTCACGAAGGAGTGTCAAGGCCTACGAAGGAGTGTCAAGGCTCACGAAGGAGTGTCAAGGCCTACGAAGGAGTGTCAAGGCTCACGAAGGAGTGTCAAGGCCTACGAAGGAGTGTCAAGGCTCACGAAGGAGTGTCAAGGCCTACGAAGGAGTGTCAAGGCTCACGAAGGAGTGTCAAGGCCTACGAAGGAGTGTCAAGGCTCACGAAGGAGTGTCAAGGCCTACGAAGGAGTGTCAAGGCTCACGAAGGAGTGTCAAGGCTCACGAAGGAGTGTCAAGGCCTACGAAGGAGAGTCAAGGCCTACGAAGGAGTGTCAAGGCTCACGAAGGAGTGTCAAGGCCTACGAAGGAGTGTCAAGGCTCACGAAGGAGTGTCAAGGCCTACGAAGGAGTGTCAAGGCTCACGAAGGAGTGTCAAGGCCTACGAAGGAGTGTCAAGGCTCACGAAGGAGTGTCAAGGCTCACGAAGGAGTGTCAAGGCCTACGAAGGAGTGTCAAGGCTCACGAAGGAGTGTCAAGGCCTACGAAGGAGTGTCAAGGCTCACGAAGGAGTGTCAAGGCTCACGAAGGAGTGTCAAGGCTCACGAAGGAGTGTCAAGGCTCACGAAGGAGTGTCAAGGCCTACGAAGGAGTGTCAAGGCTCACGAAGGAGTGTCAAGGCTCACGAAGGAGTGTCAAGGCTCACGAAGGAGTGTCAAGGCCTACGAAGGAGTGTCAAGGCTCACGAAGGAGTGTCAAGGCCTACGAAGGAGTGTCAAGGCTCACGAAGGAGTGTCAAGGCCTACGAAGGAGTGTCAAGGCTCACGAAGGAGTGTCAAGGCCTACGAAGGAGTGTCAAGGCTCACGAAGGAGTGTCAAGGCTCACGAAGGAGTGTCAAGGCCTACGAAGGAGTGTCAAGGCTCACGAAAGAGTGTCAAGGCCTACGAAGGAGTGTCAAGGCTCACGAAGGAGTGTCAAGGCTCACGAAGGAGTGTCAAGGCCTACGAAGGAGTGTCAAGGCTCACGAAGGAGTGTCAAGGCTCACGAAGGAGTGTCAATGCTCACGAAAGAGTGTCAAGGCCTACGAAGGAGTGTCAAGGCTCACGAAGGAGTGTCAAGGCTCACGAAAGAGTGTCAAGGCCTACGAAGGAGAGTCAAGGCCTACGAAGGAGTGTCAAGGCTCACGAACGAGTGTCAAGGCCTACGAAGGAGTGTCAAGGCTCACGAAGGAGTGTCAAGGCCTACGAAGGAGTGTCAAGGCTCACGAAGGAGTGTCAAGGCCTACGAAGGAGTGTCAAGGCCTACGAAGGAGTGTCAAGGCTCACGAAGGAGTGTCAAGGCCTACGAAGGAGTGTCAAGGCTCACGAAGGAGTGTCAAGGCCTACGAAGGAGTGTCAAGGCTCACGAAGGAGTGTCAAGGCCTACGAAGGAGTGTCAAGGCTCACGAAGGAGTGTCAAGGCCTACGAAGGAGTGTCAAGGCTCACGAAGGAGTGTCAAGGCCTACGAAGGAGTGTCAAGGCTCACGAAGGAGTGTCAAGGCCTACGAAGGAGTGTCAAGTCTCACGAAGGAGTGTCAAGGCCTACGAAGGAGTGTCAAGGCTCACGAAGGAGTGTCAAGGCTCACGAAGGAGTGTCAAGGCTCACGAAAGAGTGTCAAGGCCTACGAAGGAGAGTCAAGGCCTACGAAGGAGTGTCAAGGCTCACGAAGGAGTGTCAAGGCCTACGAAGGAGTGTCAAGGCCTACGAAGGAGTGTCAAGGCTCACGAAGGAGTGTCAAGGCCTACGAAGGAGTGTCAAGGCTCACGAAGGAGTGTCAAGGCTCACGAAGGAGTGTCAAGGCCTACGAAGGAGTGTCAAGGCTCACGAAGGAGTGTCAAGGCTCACGAAGGAGTGTCAATGCTCACGAAAGAGTGTCAAGGCCTACGAAGGAGTGTCAAGGCTCACGAAGGAGTGTCAAGACTCACGAAAGAGTGTCAAGGCCTACGAAGGAGAGTCAAGGCCTACGAAGGAGTGTCAAGGCTCACGAAGGAGTGTCAAGGCCTACGAAGGAGTGTCAAGGCTCACGAAGGAGTGTCAAGGCCTACGAAGGAGTGTCAAGGCTCACGAAGGAGTGTCAAGGCCTACGAAGGAGTGTCAAGGCCTACGAAGGAGTGTCAAGGCTCACGAAGGAGTGTCAAGGCTCACGAAGGAGTGTCAATGCTCACGAAAGAGTGTCAAGGCCTACGAAGGAGTGTCAAGGCTCACGAAGGAGTGTCAAGGCTCACGAAGGAGTGTCAAGGCCTACGAAGGAGTGTCAAGGCTCACGAAGGAGTGTCAAGGCCTACGAAGGAGTGTCAAGGCTCACGAAGGAGTGTCAAGGCCTACGAAGGAGTGTCAAGGCTCACGAAGGAGTGTCAAGGCCTACGAAGGAGTGTCAAGGCTCACGAAGGAGTGTCAAGGCCTACGAAGGAGTGTCAAGGCTCACGAAGGAGTGTCAAGGCCTACGAAGGAGTGTCAAGGCTCACGAAGGAGTGTCAAGGCTCACGAAGGAGTGTCAAGGCTCACGAAGGAGTGTCAAGGCCTACGAAGGAGAGTCAAGGCCTACGAAGGAGTGTCAAGGCTCACGAAGGAGTGTCAAGGCCTACGAAGGAGTGTCAAGGCTCACGAAGGAGTGTCAAGGCCTACGAAGGAGTGTCAAGGCTCACGAAGGAGTGTCAAGGCTCACGAAGGAGTGTCAAGGCCTACGAAGGAGAGTCAAGGCCTACGAAGGAGTGTCAAGGCTCACGAAGGAGTGTCAAGGCCTACGAAGGAGTGTCAAGGCTCACGAAGGAGTGTCAAGGCCTACGAAGGAGTGTCAAGGCTCACGAAGGAGTGTCAAGGCTCACGAAGGAGTGTCAAGGCTCACGAAGGAGTGTCAAGGCTCACGAAGGAGTGTCAATGCTCACGAAAGAGTGTCAAGGCCTACGAAGGAGTGTCAAGGCTCACGAAGGAGTGTCAAGGCCTACGAAGGAGTGTCAAGGCCTACGAAGGAGTGTCAAGGCTCACGAAGGAGTGTTAAGGCTCACGAAGGAGTGTCAAGGCCTACGAAGGAGTGTCAAGGCCTACGAAGTAGTGTCAAGGCTCACGAAGGAGAGTTAAGGCTCACGATGGAGTGTCAAGGCCTACGAAGGAGTGTCAAGGCTCACGAAGGAGTGTCAAGGCCTACGAAGGAGTGTCAAGGCCTACGAAGGAGTGTCAAGGCTCACGAAGGAGTGTTAAGGCTCACGATGGAGTGTCAAGGCCTACGAAGGAGTGTCAAGGCTCACGAAGGAGTGTCAAGGCTCACAAAGGAGTGTCAAGGCCTACGAAGGAGTGTCAAGGCTCACGAAGGAGTGTCAAGGCCTACGAAGGAGTGTCAAGGCTCACGAAGGAGTGTCAAGGCCTACGAAGGAGTGCCAAGGCTCACGAGGAGTTTCAAGGCCTACGAAGGAGTGTTAAGGCTCACGAAGGAGTGTCAAGGCCTACGAAGGAGTGTTAAGGCTCACGATGGAGAGTCAAGGCCTACGAAGGAGTGTCAAGGCTCACGAAGGAGTGTCAAGGCCTACGAAGGAGTGTCAAGGCTCACGAAGGAGTGTCAAGGCCTACGAAGGAGTGTCAAGGCTCACGAAGGAGTGTCAAGGCCTACGAAGGAGTGTCAAGGCCTACGAAGGAGTGTCAAGGCTCACGAAGGAGTGTCAAGGCCTACGAAGGAGTGTCAAGGCCTACGAAGGAGTGTCAAGGCTCACGAAGGAGTGTCAAGGCTCACGAAGGAGTGTCAAGGCCTACGAAGGAGTGTCAAGGCTCACGAAGGAGTGTCAAGGCTCACGAAGGAGTGTCAAGGCTCACGAAGGAGTGTCAATGCTCACGAAAGAGTGTCAAGGCCTACGAAGGAGTGTCAAGGCTCACGAAGGAGTGTCAAGACTCACGAAAGAGTGTCAAGGCCTACGAAGGAGAGTCAAGGCCTACGAAGGAGTGTCAAGGCTCACGAAGGAGTGTCAAGGCCTACGAAGGAGTGTCAAGGCTCACGAAGGAGTGTCAAGGCCTACGAAGGAGTGTCAAGGCTCACGAAGGAGTGTCAAGGCCTACGAAGGAGTGTCAAGGCCTACGAAGGAGTGTCAAGGCTCACGAAGGAGTGTCAAGGCTCACGAAGGAGTGTCAATGCTCACGAAAGAGTGTCAAGGCCTACGAAGGAGTGTCAAGGCTCACGAAGGAGTGTCAAGGCTCACGAAGGAGTGTCAAGGCCTACGAAGGAGTGTCAAGGCTCACGAAGGAGTGTCAAGGCCTACGAAGGAGTGTCAAGGCTCACGAAGGAGTGTCAAGGCCTACGAAGGAGTGTCAAGGCTCACGAAGGAGTGTCAAGGCCTACGAAGGAGTGTCAAGGCTCACGAAGGAGTGTCAAGGCCTACGAAGGAGTGTCAAGGCTCACGAAGGAGTGTCAAGGCCTACGAAGGAGTGTCAAGGCTCACGAAGGAGTGTCAAGGCTCACGAAGGAGTGTCAAGGCTCACGAAGGAGTGTCAAGGCCTACGAAGGAGAGTCAAGGCCTACGAAGGAGTGTCAAGGCTCACGAAGGAGTGTCAAGGCCTACGAAGGAGTGTCAAGGCTCACGAAGGAGTGTCAAGGCCTACGAAGGAGTGTCAAGGCTCACGAAGGAGTGTCAAGGCTCACGAAGGAGTGTCAAGGCCTACGAAGGAGAGTCAAGGCCTACGAAGGAGTGTCAAGGCTCACGAAGGAGTGTCAAGGCCTACGAAGGAGTGTCAAGGCTCACGAAGGAGTGTCAAGGCCTACGAAGGAGTGTCAAGGCTCACGAAGGAGTGTCAAGGCTCACGAAGGAGTGTCAAGGCTCACGAAGGAGTGTCAAGGCTCACGAAGGAGTGTCAATGCTCACGAAAGAGTGTCAAGGCCTACGAAGGAGTGTCAAGGCTCACGAAGGAGTGTCAAGGCCTACGAAGGAGTGTCAAGGCTCACGAAGGAGTGTCAAGGCTCACGAAGGAGTGTCAAGGCTCACGAAAGAGTGTCAAGGCCTACGAAGGAGAGTCAAGGCTCACGAAGGAGTGTCAAGGCCTACGAAGGAGTGTCAAGGCCTACGAAGGAGTGTCAAGGCTCACGAAGGAGTGTTAAGGCTCACGAAGGAGTGTCAAGGCCTACGAAGGAGTGTCAAGGCCTACGAAGTAGTGTCAAGGCTCACGAAGGAGAGTTAAGGCTCACGATGGAGTGTCAAGGCCTACGAAGGAGTGTCAAGGCTCACGAAGGAGTGTCAAGGCCTACGAAGGAGTGTCAAGGCCTACGAAGGAGTGTCAAGGCTCACGAAGGAGTGTTAAGGCTCACGATGGAGTGTCAAGGCCTACGAAGGAGTGTCAAGGCTCACGAAGGAGTGTCAAGGCTCACAAAGGAGTGTCAAGGCCTACGAAGGAGTGTCAAGGCTCACGAAGGAGTGTCAAGGCCTACGAAGGAGTGTCAAGGCTCACGAAGGAGTGTCAAGGCCTACGAAGGAGTGCCAAGGCTCACGAGGAGTTTCAAGGCCTACGAAGGAGTGTTAAGGCTCACGAAGGAGTGTCAAGGCCTACGAAGGAGTGTTAAGGCTCACGATGGAGAGTCAAGGCCTACGAAGGAGTGTCAAGGCTCACGAAGGAGTGTCAAGGCCTACGAAGGAGTGTCAAGGCTCACGAAGGAGTGTCAAGGCCTACGAAGGAGTGTCAAGGCTCACGAAGGAGTGTCAAGGCCTACGAAGGAGTGTCAAGGCCTACGAAGGAGTGTCAAGGCTCACGAAGGAGTGTCAAGGCCTACGAAGGAGTGTCAAGGCCTACGAAGGAGTGTCAAGGCTCACGAAGGAGTGTCAAGGCCTACGAAGGAGTGTCAAGGCTCACGAAGGAGTGTCAAGGCTCACGAAGGAGTGTCAAGGCCTACGAAGGAGTGTCAAGGCTCACGAAGGAGTGTCAAGGCTCACGAAGGAGTGTCAATGCTCACGAAAGAGTGTCAAGGCCTACGAAGGAGTGTCAAGGCTCACGAAGGAGTGTCAAGACTCACGAAAGAGTGTCAAGGCCTACGAAGGAGAGTCAAGGCCTACGAAGGAGTGTCAAGGCTCACGAAGGAGTGTCAAGGCCTACGAAGGAGTGTCAAGGCTCACGAAGGAGTGTCAAGGCCTACGAAGGAGTGTCAAGGCTCACGAAGGAGTGTCAAGGCCTACGAAGGAGTGTCAAGGCCTACGAAGGAGTGTCAAGGCTCACGAAGGAGTGTCAAGGCTCACGAAGGAGTGTCAATGCTCACGAAAGAGTGTCAAGGCCTACGAAGGAGTGTCAAGGCTCACGAAGGAGTGTCAAGGCTCACGAAGGAGTGTCAAGGCCTACGAAGGAGTGTCAAGGCTCACGAAGGAGTGTCAAGGCCTACGAAGGAGTGTCAAGGCTCACGAAGGAGTGTCAAGGCCTACGAAGGAGTGTCAAGGCTCACGAAGGAGTGTCAAGGCCTACGAAGGAGTGTCAAGGCTCACGAAGGAGTGTCAAGGCCTACGAAGGAGTGTCAAGGCTCACGAAGGAGTGTCAAGGCCTACGAAGGAGTGTCAAGGCTCACGAAGGAGTGTCAAGGCTCACGAAGGAGTGTCAAGGCTCACGAAGGAGTGTCAAGGCCTACGAAGGAGAGTCAAGGCCTACGAAGGAGTGTCAAGGCTCACGAAGGAGTGTCAAGGCCTACGAAGGAGTGTCAAGGCTCACGAAGGAGTGTCAAGGCCTACGAAGGAGTGTCAAGGCTCACGAAGGAGTGTCAAGGCTCACGAAGGAGTGTCAAGGCCTACGAAGGAGAGTCAAGGCCTACGAAGGAGTGTCAAGGCTCACGAAGGAGTGTCAAGGCCTACGAAGGAGTGTCAAGGCTCACGAAGGAGTGTCAAGGCCTACGAAGGAGTGTCAAGGCTCACGAAGGAGTGTCAAGGCTCACGAAGGAGTGTCAATGCTCACGAAAGAGTGTCAAGGCCTACGAAGGAGTGTCAAGGCTCACGAAGGAGTGTCAAGGCCTACGAAGGAGTGTCAAGGCTCACGAAGGAGTGTCAAGGCCTACGAAGGAGAGTCAAGGCCTACGAAGGAGTGTCAAGGCTCACGAAGGAGTGTCAAGGCCTACGAAGGAGTGTCAAGGCTCACGAAGGAGTGTCAAGGCCTACGAAGGAGTGTCAAGGCTCACGAAGGAGTGTCAAGGCTCACGAAGGAGTGTCAATGCTCACGAAAGAGTGTCAAGGCCTACGAAGGAGTGTCAAGGCTCACGAAGGAGTGTCAAGGCCTACGAAGGAGTGTCAAGGCTCACGAAGGAGTGTCAAGGCTCACGAAGGAGTGTCAAGGCTCACGAAAGAGTGTCAAGGCCTACGAAGGAGAGTCAAGGCTCACGAAGGAGTGTCAAGGCCTACGAAGGAGTGTCAAGGCCTACGAAGGAGTGTCAAGGCTCACGAAGGAGTGTTAAGGCTCACGAAGGAGTGTCAAGGCCTACGAAGGAGTGTCAAGGCCTACGAAGTAGTGTCAAGGCTCACGAAGGAGAGTTAAGGCTCACGATGGAGTGTCAAGGCCTACGAAGGAGTGTCAAGGCTCACGAAGGAGTGTCAAGGCCTACGAAGGAGTGTCAAGGCCTACGAAGGAGTGTCAAGGCTCACGAAGGAGTGTTAAGGCTCACGATGGAGTGTCAAGGCCTACGAAGGAGTGTCAAGGCTCACGAAGGAGTGTCAAGGCTCACAAAGGAGTGTCAAGGCCTACGAAGGAGTGTCAAGGCTCACGAAGGAGTGTCAAGGCCTACGAAGGAGTGTCAAGGCTCACGAAGGAGTGTCAAGGCCTACGAAGGAGTGCCAAGGCTCACGAGGAGTTTCAAGGCCTACGAAGGAGTGTTAAGGCTCACGAAGGAGTGTCAAGGCCTACGAAGGAGTGTCAAGGCCTACGAAGGAGTGTCAAGGCTCACGAAGGAGTGTTAAGGCTCACGATGGAGTGTCAAGGCCTACGAAGGAGTGTCAAGGCTCACGAAGGAGTGTCAAGGCTCACAAAGGAGTGTCAAGGCCTACGAAGGAGTGTCAAGGCTCACGAAGGAGTGTCAAGGCCTACGAAGGAGTGTCAAGGCTCACGAAGGAGTGTCAAGGCCTACGAAGGAGTGTCAAGGC